GGGTTTGACTTTGCATCCATCTGAACATGTTTTCCTCTCTTCTGTGACAGTAATGAGACGACAGAGCCCTGCAGACTTTGGGAACAGCATGCTAACTGTCCGACCCCTGACCCAGGCCTGCAATGTGCTCTTATTTTATTGTCGTTCATCCCAAGCACCGAGGCCAAAGCACCAATCTGGCCTCCTCACCCAGCCCACACAGACACTGAGCCTGATCCACAAGAAGAAATGGCTGTGTGCTGAAGTCTCACACTGGAAAAAAAAAGAAAACCTTGCTGGAGAGCCGGAAGAGATTGCAGAAGAGCACGCAGGGTGGGTATCCATGGCAACACTTATTGTCAAGCATCACTTCTGACAAGCAATGCACGACATTCAGCTGAACCGGAGTGACAGCTCTGCAGTTCTGTGGCATTTCAAAGCTCCCCCCATCATCTGTCCTCAACGTGAATCCATATAGAACCAATTATGTCTCAGAGAGATATTAACAAACAACACAGAATGACTCATGTTGCCGCTGCAGATGGATTTCTTTGGCTTCAGAGCCGTGCTGATGTTTCCTGCTTATCATCCTTGTGGTATTAAATTATAGATTGCGCAACAGAAAGCCACATAAAGAGTTGATTAGTTCAGTGGTTTGTGAGGAATAGTTTAATGATCCTGCTGCAGAGTCACAGAGCCAGAGAGAAAAAGGCAGAGAAAGGTTAAGTTTGGTCAATCTTGAATCAAGATCTCTTATTCTTTCTTTCTTGCCAAGTTCATGTTTTTTTTTCCTGTTTTGCAAATCTTAAATTCTCAATTTCTTTATTTCTGATCCTTCATCCACTGCTCTGCTCCAAGGATTGTCTGTGATTTCATCCTGTGACAAACTGTAGAATCTGTTCTTGTCTGTGTCACATTTTGACATTAATCAGCCAGGTGCTGGTTAACATTTTGACATTAACCAGCCAGGTGCTGGTTAACAAATAATTCCTGGGGGTCCGGACACCATTTAAATAGGTTCTGGCAGAACCCATGGAAAAGTGGGGGGGAAATTATTTATGGGTTGTTTTTATTTATTTTTTGTGGTGTTTCATAAAGGTTTTATGCTTTATGGATAAAACATAAAATATATATATAAAAAAAAATACAAATGTGCTTTTATTTGGTAAAAGGTCATTTATTTATATAGGTGAAAATTGGTAAGTTGAGATCCCCTGTGATTTAAAAGTGGTTTGGTCCTTCACCGCTGGAACTATTTAAGGCTTCAATTGCACTGGTGTTTTTGTTCATGATGCTTTGTTTGAAGAATAAACCTTTGCTGTTTCCACCTAACTCTATTAATACAGTCGCAAAACGGCGCCTTGTTACACACCTGCGGGACAGCTTTTGCCGATTTTTGTCTTCTCGTCTTTCTGCTTCAAACTGTGATCAATCTGGTCCAAATCTATGACACTAAAGATCTAAACTTCTTTCATTTGTCTGCTCTTGTGAGATTTATTTTAAAAAAATTACCTTGCAAGAGAAAATTGAAAACAAGGAGTTCATCCTGTTGGGTCTCCTCAGTATACATCCCAACAGATGTGCTGCAGGACAAAAGCATATCCCCAATTTAAGTCTGATCCTTGTCACCTTCAGCACATCATGTTTACATTAAGGTGTACAATAAGAGCTGTAGTACATGAATGCCCCTCTGCTGTGGAAATAAAAGCAGTCTAATTAGCAAGCTTATGGTAAAATAGGCAGGCAGGCAGTTGGGATGGAGATTGGATTAGCATGGAGATCAAATTGCGTTGATGAAACCAGACGACGCACATTAGGCAAAATTTAGTGGAGTCCAAATGATGTTTTTTTTTCATAGCAACAATGGTACAAAGAGAAGAAGTCTGCAACAATTTATCAGTCTCTTTTGGACGTTGACTCTAAAACGCAATAATTACAAAAGATAAACTATAAGTAAAACTGATAATCATTTCCATCACTGATCACCAATTGTTTTTCTTTATGAATGGTTCTCCAAAATTGATGCTGTCGGGCTCTTTCATTTTCATTGTTTCATTTCCTGTTTGAGATCTATTCTGTTCAGTGGTCCTCTTCATGTCAGGCTCAAAGAAACACAGATGTTCTTGTATCAAACCAAATTACCTCACTGTCTCCATGCTGCTAATTGTTACCTCAGTCTGAGTTTCCTCTGTGTGCTTACAGATGCTAAGTGCAAGTCGTCTCTGCTTTGCAGAGTTTTAATAGCTTTGTATACTTATTGCTGAAGATTTTGAGATTGCTCCATTAATATTAGATGCTGCCACACTTGATCACACTTGCCACTTATTTATTATTTATGTTTATTATTTTTATCCACCGAGACTTTGTTAATAATTGTGCTTCTGAGAGGAGATAAGCAGTTTTCATTTCTACTTTATGGATTTGAGAAAAGCTGATTTTGTCATCTAATAAAAACATTAATCGAATTTCTGCAGTATTCTCTTATTATTGTAGCACCAAGCAAATAGAAATAATTGGTAATTCTAACTATACAAAAAGGAGAGAAGTTTCATCTGATTTAATGAAGAAATACGTGTTTTTTGTTCAGCGTATGTAAACGTCTGGTTACAATTGTAAATCATCTGTCAGAATTGCTGGTTATCTTTCTTTATTTCATTTTTTAAATTTCTGTAGTCTTGGTCATGGACTCCATGGTGGTGAAGTTGACAGCTTTGTTTCCTAGTGACAGAAAGTTGCAAATTCAAATCCCAACCTCAGTCTTTTTGCATGTTGTTTCTTTCCATGCATCAAGTTTCTCCTTGCTTCCTTCCATACTGCATAAACATCAAGCTTATGTGAAGCAGCTTCGCCAAGTTGCTCTTAGGTTCAAGTGTGAGCTCATTTTTAATCATGTGTGTCTTTCCTGTGTGTCTCTGTGTTACCCTAGGATGTACTGGTGAGCTGCCCAGCATGTACCTGGCGTTTTGCCCAAAGACTGCTTTAGATGAAACCCCCTATGTTATTGCAGAAAGCTCAATGAGACAGTGAAAAGGGCTCTTAGCCCGAGATTGAAGTGTTTTGTGAAAGAGCCTAATGAATTAATGACAGAACTGCAGACATTTATAAAACTCATAATTTATTCACATTAACAGCTCTTTGCAACGGGAAGACATGGAAATTTAAGCTGTTTATTTAGTACCTTGTTTGTCTGTTGCGTAAATCTGCTGATTATGCATTAAGGTAGAGCCTCTGAGGTTTTGCTGTGGTTTCCTTCTGCCTCGTCTGTGGCTGCCTGAGCTCAGGCGGTGTGGAAAAAGGTGGGGGTAGTGGGAATTGTTGGGCTTCGCTTTTGAGGAATGATTACCCCTCTCACTCATTTTCCCAGAGCTACTGGAGTGGAATAATTAGGTAACATTTGCAAATCTGAACTCCATTCACGGTGAGAGGATAGTGATGAATGATAAAGAGGAGCAAGAGAAAGAATGGACCCTACTTCCTGTGGACTGCCCTGAGTCCTGCACAGCAGCGATCACATTATTTACAGCTGAGGATTTAATGCATTGTTCAGTAATGAGCAAGCAGCCGATGGCCTGTGATCTGAAATTTACTTATTCTCTCACTGGGCTGGGCTCCAGGACTCCAGGCCCTCCGGATTGAAACAAAGCCAACACCACCTTCTAATTCAGTCACTTTAGCCTTTTGCATTGTTGAACATTACATGCATGCATAGTAATTTAAACATAAAATTCAAAAATACATGCATTTGATGTTTTTAATAGAACAAGTCATATGAACTTGCATAATAAAACGCCCATGAAGTAGACACACTTGCCTCATTAGTAAAACTCCAGCTTCTCTGAAATCTGCTTGGCGAAAATCCAAGTTTACAGTGACATCTGGGGGTGAATATGACATATAACACCACATTCAATTTCTAGGCCAGAGACTGAAACCTTTACAATTTCTGGTCTTCTAGTTAAACTTAATAAAACGTGTTTAGAACAGCAAAAATTACACAACCTTTCCAAAAAAGACAGCTTATAATTTTGATGAAAATCTACTGTATGAAATGTGTTGTCATTCTTGAATAGCTACCATTTTATTTACATTTTGCACAAAACGTCTTCTGTGGGTCACTGATTTTTATGAAAAATATAGTAGAGGCACAGTTTTCAACCGACTGACAAAAATATAGATTTTAAAACAGGAACTATTAGGAATGTTTTGTGGTGGGCATTCAATGCAATGCATGTATTCCATGAAAAACGCTGAGCTTATTATTTTAAGAGTCACTGTGGAAGATCCATTGAACTGTGGGTTGCAGACCCCTGTCCAAGGCCATTTTGTCAGCTCACTTCAAATGGGTTTAGCTTAAATAACATCCCCAGTAGTGAAGGGCAAAATCCCTTCTTAACTTAGGATCTTTTTATTCTGCTACTTTACAGGTCCTGGTGAACTGTGACAATCAGCCTAAATGGGAGCAGCTGACCAGTCTTCCTAGAAGTGACCTGAATCGTTAGAGCAGACTGAAACCTGTTGCACTGAAACACATACTAAGAGCAAGAGAAAAGCTCATTGGAGCTAGAAACATTTTTGTTAAGTGCCCAAATCCTTTCAACACACTTTTCAGTGCTGAGGAGCAAGTCACTCTCCTTTGAGGTTCACCCACATGATGGTGCCCTGATGGAGGTCTCCAGCATAGTGGGGTTACTGTGGCCGGTGGACCTTTATTTCATTTATTTCATTCATTTTTTCACTGAAAACATTGAAGCCATTACCTGCAGAGATGTTCTGTCCAACCAACAATTCACTGTTTTCTGCATATCCAATATTGGGTCACAATGGTAACAGGTTCCGGGGGAAACCCAAACAATCTCCTGGCGATACTCTAGGGCTCACTGAGATGTTTTCAAGCAAGGAGGCATAAAACGTTCCTCAAGCATAAACAGGACTTGCCCTGGAGTCTCCTTCCAGAGGAGAACAATAGGTTGTTGTTATTTATTTTGCTTTTACATTGATTTTAAAATAAAACGATTATAATGTAAAATTGAAGTTGTGTTTATTTGTTGTTTCAAAGTAAAACTTAGTGGACAACTTTATTTGTTCCTCAAGACAAATATCTCAGCAGTGACAAAAGTGATGATTTTATTCTGTGAGATAATTATCTCATTATCATAATATGGGCATCTGAAAATATTGATAAGCAGGGTTTCCAAAGTTTTGGAAACCTTTTTTAATAAAAGTTTCAAAAGATTCTTTTTCTCTGAGTATCTTTCAAATGTCATCAGGTCTGTTGAGGAGACGAAGGTGAAAAGAACTAAGACGTGTCAGGACATCCTCCAGGACAGCAGGAGGCGCTAAAACACAAAGCCTGAGAGGAAAACCAAATTGAGACATTTAGAAATATACAGACATACATGTTTTGTCATAAAACGTCCATTAAAATTTGTCAGAACAGAAATTAGTCAATGCAATATTTATAACGTATGCAATATTTGTAATACATGAACAAACAGTACATCTCTATCTCTTCTTACCTGATGTGAAAGTTTTCATCATTGTGTCCATTTTCACAGCCAGCTCCCAAACAAATACCTTCTTCCTCCAGTAACCTCTGACAGTACAGAACGTCTGCTGACAGTCGTAACAGCTGAAATAAATCAGAACATATTTTTTAAAACACAAGTCAGAAACCTTGAAAGGCATCCAGTATGTCATTTTTGTCCCTTTAATGAGTTTCAGCTGACCTTGGCCTCTTCAATGATTTCAGCAGGTAAATGCAGGCGAGGATAAAGGAAGACACCTCCCATCGCCGGCTGGCAGCTCATCCCTGGTAGGGCGTTCAGAAGCTTGCATGCTCGTCCTGCATTCTGGGAGAGTGTTTCTTCTCTCACGAGAATCTCCTGTGTAAGAAAAATGTTATTCTACATATGCTAGCGAACAAGAAAATGTGGAAAGTCCAAAATGATCTTCTTCTGGTGCTTAGTGATTCACAAGTTTACATTTAGAGAGGTGTTGTGGTACTTTAATCAAATATTATTGACCACAGCCTGAAAATAATATTTCATTAGCTCCTCAAAATATGATTATAAATTTGCTTTTCTCTTTGTACCTGTGTGTATTTTTCATATGAAGCATCTCCAGGTGCAGGTGGATTGACCATGATCTCCATTGCCAGCTGTGGTAAAATGGAAGGACAGCACGGAGGATTGGATAAAAACTTTGTCACCGCTGGATCCAAGTTGATTAACTCCACATAGGCTCCTCTCAGACCACACCTAGACAGTGTAGTATTAGCAATGTCAACAATACCAGCAGTAAAAATATGAGGAAAGAAGACAGCAATAATAGATAGGAAAAGTCAATCTATAAAACATAAATCAGCATAAATAAAACCCAGACATAACATTTAAACAAAGTCTTCAGAAATTACTACTGTTTAGTTTTTATAAAAATCTGTCTTTATGGAAATCTTGTGCTGTATGTTTTCTAAGATGGAAACACAGAAGCTACTTTTGACAAAAACAGTGAAGTCGCACTGAAATCTTATTTAAACTTCAGAAATCCAGTCTGGGTTTTTTTTAGCTCTATTATCTAAACAATAGTGCTATTGTTCTCTCAATTTATGTAAAATTATTATTTTTTTGCTTGCATACATTTTGAAATATAATGGGTACGAGGTTGTTTTGAAGTGCATTATTCATTTTTCACAGACTACTTAGCCTCTTTTAGCCTCTTTTAACTTCTTTAAAATTGTCATAAAAAGCATCATATTTTGTGTAAGTCATGACAAAACAGAAGTGTATTTATGGTCCAGACCCCTGAGATCATGTTTGTAATGCTCACTCTCCCATTGTTGCTGTCGATATTGAGTGGAAAGATGCCATCTCCACTGTCTCTGAGTAGGAAACTCCCATCTCAAACAGGACCTTTTTAAATGAGAGAAACTCTTTGTCCTGTCCAAACACACTGCCCTGGTAAACCTAAAATGGTGCAATAATTCAGAAAGAAAGGAAGAATTTTAAATAGAGAAACTAATAATCACAGAAACTTTTCTGTGCAGAATGTGTTTACCTCTTCAACTAGCAGAACAAGTCGCTCCGATGCTGCAAAATGAATAATTTTTTCTATTTTTTCTCTGTCTTGCACATGACCTGACAAAACAATGAGAGACATTTACTTAGTTTTGGATGACAGATTAGGTTTCTACCCTCAAATCAAGATTCTGATCTTACATTGCCTCAACTTGTTTGACCATGTGTCAGTCTTATTTTGAATTACAGACACACTTTAATATGTTACATAATTTAAGATACATATTAAATGTTATGCATCCAATGACTGAACCAAAAGCAATAAGTGCTAAATAGAACCAAGAACCTGATGGAGTCTTTCTTGAAGAACTTTTTATTTTGAATGTAGAAGTTTTAGCTTTTCTGTGTCTATATATCTGTAAATTTACACATCGCACTTTACACTCTTTAATTTTTTTTTTCAAATAAAAGGCTTAGTGATTCTATTCATTTTGCTGTATCTACACTATATGTGTGTTACGCACCTGTTGGGTTTCCCGGGTTACTGATGTAAATGGCTCTGGGATCACACTGCCTCCTAGCGGTCATTAGGGCTCGGTGCAGCTCTTCCAGGTCTAAGGCCCATCCTTGCTCCTCAGTCAGCATGTAGGGCATCAGTTTCACCCCCACTTCATCCAGCAGCATGGGTAATGTGTGTGGGCATGGCAGGGGGACCAACACACCAGTCTGAGTCTGTCCATCCTCACGTGACAGCAAATGTATCATCGCCTAAATAAAACATTTTCAAAAATCCAGCATACCATGTCATCAGATGAGGTAACCTCTCATTTCTAGCTCTAGTTATCATACCGCCAAAATCTTCTGTGAGCCATTGAAGAAGATGATGTCCTCTGGATTTGAATTTATCCCACCATCTCTTTTTGTGAGAAACTCAGCAACAGATTTTCGGATTGGAGGTAACCCAAAAACAGAGGAATATGAACCTGTTGTAGGAAAATTGCCAGGTCATTTGAGCAAAGAAGTCTGAAAGTTTTAGAGATATATGCTGCTCTGGTAAGACTGTTTTGCCGATTCATTCTAGGCATTACTGTCATATTAATTTGAGGGATTAATTATTTACACATTTCCATTTCTCTTTTCCAATTGAATCACAAAATATTTAATATATTTAATTTTGCCAGTGTAGGAATCTTTGACAGCACTCATTAGACTAACTAATGCTTAGATCAGAGGGAAAATCTAATGTACTTAGGAAAATATCAGATTTGCATCATGTGGCAAAAGCTTTTTGAGCTGTTTCTTAACAAAAACATCAAGTTGAAACAATTGACAACAGGGAGTTTTTGGATGTGAAGGCAGAAACAACTAAGATTCAACCCTGTTGTGAACTGTAATATACACTGTATATTAAACAGGAACATCTTTTGTCTCTCTGCAATGATATGAGTTTTTCATCACTACAGAAAGCTGTAGTTCAAACCATCTAATCCAAGACGGAGTCAAGACCAAAACTAGACCAGAACTATGAGGATGGAGAGACAAAGCTCAAAACCAAACCAATTAGAGATCATTTTCAGCAGAATTGCAGTAATCCTAACAATTTAGTTGCAAAACATTTGTTTTTTTGAAACCCATTACAGTTGTAAGTTATGTACCCTTTACTCTGAGGAAAAACACCCTAAGTCAATAAAAATGGGATTGTGCATAAAAGTCCAACCTCATCAGGATTGCTGTTCTCACCAATGCTGCCTCCATCACAGGCTTCCAGAAGCTTCTGTGCCTTCTGTTTGACGTCCAGAGGAAAGCTGCCTTCTTTGAGGAGCTCAGGGTAACAACACAGTGATAAGACCTGAGGAAGGAAGCAGGAAGCAGCAGTGTCAGGTATGCTCCATGAGTGACTGCAGAGAAGAAAATCAGCAAGAAGAGAATGTTCAAAATTAACCTGGCGAACAAATGAGATGGGTGGCATCCCTGTCCGGTGGGGATCACAGGTGCTAAGATCAATCACCTTTGTGAAAGCTTTTTCCTCACCCTGAGAGGGAAAAAAGGGGAAAAAATATATAACTGTATGTAAAGTTTTAGCGACTGAAATCCTATTTGTGTGATGTAAGTCCTGACTTACAGTCTGGAAAACTTCTGCTAGTAAGATTGCAGAAGCACCAATCAATTCTAAAGCGATCAAGAATTTTAAGAAGTCAGGTTCAGCTGTGAAGAAATATTTAATATTTGAGCTACCTAAAAAAACAGGGTTGGGGACCTCTGATCATCCTGACTGTCTAGTGAAGAGTGTCTCTGAAGAGGTAAGGGAAACAGTAAAAGTTATCGTTCCAAAAATAAAGCATCCAAGGGTCATTAATGTGCTCAACTGCCTGAGCATGAGGATTCTGCATTCATAAATGCTAGTGTCCTTTAGTTATAGAGTTAAGATAAAGAACAAACTTCAAGCCAAAGACTTGAGTTAAAAGTTAACCAGGAAGCTGCTTAACAAACAGCTTTTCAGACTGCTTCAGGTCACAGTTCAACTTCAACCACTTTCTACAAACAACTATTGAACCCTGACTAAGGTGGCATTTGAAATATGTTGTCCATCCATTTTCTGATCACCCTTCTCCCGAACGGGGTCGGGAGGTGCTGGTGCCTCTCCAGCTGCGTTCAGGGTGAGAGGCGGGGTTCACCCTGGACAGGTCGCCAGTCTGTCGCAGGGTTGAAATATGTTGTGAAACTAATAATGTTTTTCAACTTTGCACAAATCCTATGAAACATAAACCTCTGAAGTTATAAAAGTGGAGTTACTAAGTTGACTTCTAAACAGCTGCTAAATGTATTTGAAATCTAAAGTGTAATTTGATGTTAAACAATGTTATTACAAGAAAACAAATAAGACATCAGTCCAAAAATAATTTTGAAATGTAAATAAGATGTTAGTAATCGTTGATTGTTTAAGACAGTTTATGTCGTAGCCTAACTTCTGATGACTCACCTGTGCAATCTGCCGTGAGATCTGTGCAGCCAGACTCTGCAGGTTCACTGGGTCTCTGATCCCCCGGACCTTTGGGTTTACCTCCTGCACAGAACTCATGTCTGTCCGTCTGACTGGCAAACAGGGCTGTGATCCCAGGTTAATGTCACAGGTTAATGCACAGTGACTCTTAACAGGGTATAGAGAGAATGCAACATCCATTCTTAGGGTAAGTTAATTGTTCAGATGATAAACATCTTTGTTCAAAAATAGGTGCATTTCCAAAAATCAGGTTTACTAATGGAACAATTTTGCATAACAAGAACATTATCAGACTTTGTACGTTCACTCAGCACTTAGCCTTAGGTTGTGACGTTTTAATGGAGGAATTTGTTAAGCCTTAGGCTTTATTCCATCTCACTACAATTACCTAACCTGTTTATTGTTATCTGTTAAGAAACACTGGCGCCTGATTTTAGTTACTGACAAGCTACTGAAACTTTTCCAAGGAGAGGTCAAAAGGACCTACACGTTTTAACAGACTAAACAATACTAGTGTTAAATGACTAAAGAAATAAATAAAATTCTTAAAAGAAATAATAACACAATTTTTACTTCACAATTGAAATAATAAATGTTAGACAGTCTAACTCGAGAAAATGTAGTAAGCTTGGGTGTTGCATAGACTCCCAACCACTTATTCTGGGGGCAACAGTAGGGAGGAACAATTCCTTTCTAACATAATGAAACATCCTGTGGATGTTTTATTATGTTGCATGAGCAGCTGTCTGCTGCGTCTGGATGGTAGCTGAGAGAGACAGAAAAGAGAGAAAGACAAACAGTAAAGCAGTGAGCTTTAACTGCAGGACCTGAAGTACAGCATGCTTTAATTAAGATTAGGTTTTTCTCCACTCTGTCCAAGTATTGTTTATCAGGTTTCAAATTCAAAGCAATTGTAGGATGTTTTTCATTTAGGACTTTTTTCTCTGCGGAGTTCGTATCCTTTGGACTCTGTCAGTGATGTCTCTCCTGGATCCGCAGGTGAAAAGACCGAAGACGTTTCAGGACGTCCTCGAGGACTGCAGCGGGAGCTGAAATACAGAGTCTAAAAGACAAATAGAAAAAATATTTAGGAAATTTAGATAGACAAACACCACCTGACTGAATTCTATATTTTTAGGCTTATTAGTTGAAAATAAAACTTAAAAGAAAAATACACTTTGGAAGATCAGAAACCAGATTTAGCAAGGTCTTTGAAAAATTGAGTTAATTAATAATGCAAGTCATGTATGTCTAACATAAAAAACTAATTATCTGAAATATTCTGTCCTCACCTAATGTGATAGTTTTCATCATCATGTCCATTCTCAGACCCTGGACCCAAACAAACACCTTCCTCCTCCAGTAACTTCTTACAGTACAGAACATCAGCCCGCAGCCCTGATCTCTGTCATATAGCAAAGAGACTGAATGATTATTGATGTATTACTGCAAAAAAAAAAAAAGTATGGAAGGTTTGGCCCATTGAGGGTCTGGTAACATATTTAACTTTTCTTGTTTATTTGAAGCTGACCTTAGCCTCTTCTATGATTTCATCAGGTAAATGCAGACGAGGATAAAGGAAGACTCCGCCCATCGCCTGCTGGCAGCTCATCCCTGGAACTCCATTTAGAAACTCACATGCACGATGAGCATTTTTGGTGAGGGTTTCCACTTTCTGAAGAATTTCCTTCGATGAATAAAGGAAAGATGTCAAGAAACAAAGATACATATGGAAGAGAAACCACACCCATATTTTAGACATATTCCATTCATTTCTGAGTAGCCTATAGATGATGTTGAGTCCACTCAATCTTTTCCAAACCCAGCTGTGATGAATGAGATATCCAAACAGTGCATACCCTAAAAAATATGTATTATAAAATACTTTGAAGTGTTCTCCTTACCTGGGTAAATACTTCATATGAAGCATCACCCGGTGATGGTGGATTGACCATGATTTCCAGTGCCAACTGTGGTAAAACTGGAGGGCTGCAAGGTGCCTGCATGCTCATTAAAAAGTTTTTGACCAGCAGGTCCATGTTGATGACCTCCATATAGCCTCCTCTCAAACCACACCTAAACAGAGGAATTACAAGTCAGAAAAGGTTCACCTAAATAAAATAAAACCAACATATTATATTAATGTCCATAAATATAATTTACTAAACAAATAACCATGAAAAGGAACAAAAAACAAAAGACAAACTCAGGTTTCAAGTCCAGGGCACGGGCACATACACATACACACTTAAATGTTTTAAAGTTATTTTTCATTCCAGAATTCCAATTTTGACACTTTGATAAAAATTTTAAAAAACTACTTCTCCATGCAAAAGTTGACTCACTAGTCATCACACTGGAACTTTACTGACTAACAGACTAAAAGAAAACATAGGAGAGTATGTGGAGTGTCATGATCTGATTATAGAAAAACCTTTCTCAATAACCATAAAGTCACTTAAGCAAAAATGCATTTGTGTTCCTGTTGAACTCGTGGTTACACTCACTCTCCCATTGTGCCTGCGGAGATTGAATGGAACGACACCATCTCCACTCTGTCTGAGTAGGATGCTCCCATCTCAAACAGGACTTTTTTGTATGAAAGAAACTTCTTGTCCTGCCCAAACACACTGTCCTGATACACCTACAATAATGCGAGAAGATGAAGGAAATGTGCCATTTTTTTATTAATAAGACAAACAATTCGCCTGTTCAGGGTGTACACGTACTTACCTCTTCAACTAATAGAACGAGCCGCTCTGATGCAGCAAAACGAATCACTTCTTCTATAGTTTGTAGGTCTTGTACATGACCTAACAGAAGAAAATACTTTTCATTTGCTTTAATGAAATAAAATTTGGGAAAAGTGAATCTCCCAGCAGGAAAATAACTTTGGGTGTAACTGCATGTCTGGTGATGGTGGGACTCTGAGTCATGTACCTGTGGGGTTTCCTGGGTTACTGATGTACATAGCTCTGGGGTCACAGTGCTTCCTGGCGGCCTTCAGGGCTCGGTGCAGCTCCTCCAGGTCTAAGGCCCAACCTCGCTCTTCCAGCAGTCGGTATGGCACCAGTTTGACCCCCACCTCGTCCAGCAGCATTGGCAGGGTGTGTGGACATGGGAGAGGGGTCAGCACACCTGTCTGAGTGGGCCCCTGTCCACTGGACAGCAAGTGCAGAACCAGCTAAAAGCAGCCATAAATAACAATATAAAACATTTAAAGTTGCATCATGAGGTATTTTGCCTCATGATGAAACCGTCATACGTTCAAGGTCCTCTGGGAACCGCTGGAGAAGATGATGTCCTCTGGATATGAAGCCACACCACCATCTCTGCTTGTGATGAACTCAGCAACAGATTTCTGTATTTGGGGTATCCCACAGGAAGAGGCAGAGTAGGAGCCTGCCACGGTCAAATCGATCAGCTTTTAAAGCAGACTGTTTGAAATAAATCACATGATATAAATATATTTTACCCTACCAACAGTCCCTCCATTGCAGGCACCCAGCAGCTTCTCTGCCCTCTGACAAACATCCACAGGAAAACTGTTTTCCTTCAGGAGCTCAGGGTACAAACAGACTGCCAAGACCTTAGAAAGCAAACAGAAGGTGACAGGCTGTAAAGACAAACTCAGGGAAACTGTGAAACACATTAAAAAAAACTAAATGCTCATGACCAACCTGGCGAGTAAATGAAAGGGGGGCATCCCGGCCCTGTGGGGATCCCCAGAGCTGACATCGATCACCCTCTGAAAAGGTTTCTGCTCACCCTGAAAGGAAACATGCCAAATTTTTCACAAACTCTGTGACAGTGTTTGCTGGTCCCTACCATCCAACTCCATGTGATTAAGCTGGATCAAATCAAAATAAAACATGCAGGTAGAAAGTATCTAGGTTAAAATGAAGGAAAGAAATCAAGTTGCACAACTCATCAAACATCACAATCAATAACATCTCATCTCACCTGTCTTTGAACTCTGATAATATTACGATTTTGTGCCAGACCATAAACTAATAAAATTCATGTCTTAATTGCTGTCCTTGAAGGATTATGACTTTCCACTTTAATGTTCTCTGTGTTTTGAAAGGACTTCAAATGTTAGGCTAATTAAACTTTCCATACATGCCTTGACTACTTCACATTTACATTTACATTTACTTTTACATTTTAGCATTTATGTTTACATAAAAATCCTCTCTAGCTGGTAAGATAACAATCTTCAGCTATTTATATTTGTGTTTTTATTAAATCTTGCACAGGGAAATTATTTAAAATTGAACAAATTTTAAATCAGTTTTACAATAAAAATATTTAACAAATAATTTATTTTCTGGACAACTTATTAAAACAGTGGAAAAACACTCAATTCAGGCTCCTAGTGCCGGCGACCCCCAGCTCTGTTTGGTCTTAATGCCAAACAGTTAAATGTTTGGCATTAAGACCAAACATGTAACTGAATAAATAGCTGAGTGTGCTTTCCTCCTCTACAAAGTGTTAATGTTAAACACGAACCTTCAAGATGGTGGTTTGATTAAAGTTTAACCATGAAGCTATCAGACAATGAGCCTGTTATGTTCGTTTCTAAGATAAAGCAATTGACAATCACTCCCCAGGTCAATTTGACCCGGGGAGTGATTAATCATGCAATAGTGTCAGAAACCAAAAAATTCCTCCAAGACATTTTTGTATCTGACTATTAACTCCAATGCTAACAATTTCTATCAATATTTGTCCAATGATGTTTTTTCATTTCTCAGAAATTAAGGGTTAATGACGACAACCTACTCATTTAGTCATTTGAGCAGAACAGTATCGATGTAAAAAGCAGATGCAGGGGGAGTTACAAATGTGTAAAATGAATACATTTTCAATTTATATGTAGAGTGAACCGATTAAGACAAATTAAAAAAGCTTCATGTAAAAAGAATACTTCCAACTATTTTTAAAAAATGTTTAACAGGTCAATTTGACCCACAACATAACAGGAGGGCTATTAGTTATGGCTCCAGTTTAACCTTTCACCTCTCAATAAACTTCAGTCAATGAATGATGAATCCACATATTCAGTTTTTAACTCATATGCCTAGAGATGTCTTCATTTGTTCTACACTGTTCAATATTTTATTCTTTTTAGGATACGTAGGTATTTTGTCTGTGCTTGAACAAGCCATTAAGTCAGGGTTAGAGCTGAAACAGTCAAGGTTTATCAGGACCTTTTGGCGCTATTAGTAACTCACCTGTGCGATCTGCTCAGTGATCTGTGCAGCCAGGCTCTGCAGGCTCACAGGGTCTCTAATCCCGAGGAGCCTCGGGTTCACCTCCTTCATGAAGCTCATCTCGCTTTCTCTGACTGAGGAACAGGGCGACACGCCCACCTGGACTGGGAGGAGGCGGGTGTTCAGGAAGTCAGAACCTCTTGTTGTTTGTATAAAGCCATAATTGGAAGAATTTTATTTAATTGCATATTTGAATACAATTTCATAAAACCGATTTTTATAAAGCTTATGTGAAACATTAAAGTTTTATTTCTTTGTTGAATTTTAATAATCAGTTGTTCACTTTGTCACAGATTTTACAGATTCATACAAAGGCTCTGAGCAAATCCTGTAGTTTTTTACTCTGGCTCTTTCATGTCTTGCAGTTTCTCCTCAATAACAGACAAAGTATCTTCAATTTTACAATCAATTCCTTTTTAATGTGTCACACAGTGCGAATCCAAATATTTTGCTTTAACATTTTGCTGACCTTTCAGCAAAGAGTTAAAGACATATCCAAAAATAATTACCATAACTTTGGTCTTTTTGTAGTATGAGACAATAAAAGTGCCAAATGAATAATTTTAAAACTTGTAAATGAAAGCAGTAAGCCCATTATTTGTGAATTTATTGTTTTAATCCTTACAAAATAAGTTTGAGAACAAATTCTGATTTTCAACCTGTTTAGAAAACATCAGTGTATCATACAACAAAATATTTGAGTGGATGTCACGAGAATGAAATTGACATTTTGATCATTACAAAAACACCCAACCACCTAATTTACTTATCAGGTGAATTTAACATTTAGGGGCAGTAAAGAACTACAATGAATATTTGCATTTTCTCCTATTGTGTGTTTATTCAGATAAGTGTTATTTTATAACAGTCAAATTCTTGAAACAGCTACTCTTGTTCTTATATTTTCATGCTTTTGTTATCACAATCCAAGCAAGTCTGAAAAGCAGTTCAGGTGGTCATGGGGTTTTTACATTAAAGCTAAACCCAACAGTAATTTTAGAAAGGATCCAGACTTTTCTGACTGATAAAATGGTAAATACGTTTCTCCTCCAATAGAAACTTTTCTAACATCATTGTAAAATGTCAGCAAAGAAAACAAATATTTAAATATGATCTTTCTGCTTGTTTGATGTGGCTTTGATGTATTTCCTCTGACAGCATGTTGCTTCTCAGCTTTGTCCTATACAATTCTGTTGCGTTTTCTGTCAGCGAGGTGAAGGTGGAAGGAAGAGAGGCGAGACAAAACCTCCCCCAACGTGTCAGGCGGGACCAGAATACATAATCTAAAGGAAACAGAGATTATTTTGCACATATTGTCTGGTTCCAGATCAGCAGGGTTTTGTCTCATCTTGTTTCCTACCTGAGATGATGGCTGCCACTTGTTCCATCATCTCCTGCACCTATGATCAAACCCTCCTCCTCCAGTAACATCTGGCAATACAATACATCTGCTTCCAGTCCCAGCGTCTGAAGACAAGGCCATGCGCAAAATTACAACAAAAAATAAATAAATAAAAGTTTGCAACATAAGACAAAGACAGCAGCTACAAGAAAAACCACAGCATGTTTTCAAAATTTTCAACTAAAGTGTCTGCAGTCAATTTATTTATATCATTTTGGTGAAATACTATTTAATCTTATTCATCTGTGTTGTTTTATTCTATATCAGTTACAAATTCTACACCTTATTTTCTCTTTATAAGTGGGATTGGCAAAATGTAATGAAATTAAATGTAATTAAATCTAATTAACAACTTTGGCTTGCTCCTTGATCTCAGCTGGTAGATCCAAATGTGGGTAGAGGTAGATTCCCGCCATCGCCGGGCGGCAGCTCATTCCCGGTAGATCATTCAGCAGCTTCAGAGCCCGCTGAGAATTTTGGGCCAGAGTGGCTCGAGTCAGGAGAGTCTCCTTCCAAGAAAACATCATCCAATATAAGAAAATGAAAAACATTAGTTGCTGTTGAGGCTTTGGTTTTGCTCTTACATGAACAAATGTGTTATATGAAGGGTCACCCGGACTGGGTGGGCCGAGCATGAGATCCAATGCAAGCTGTCCTGTGACTGGTGCATTGATGTCAGTACAGAGCATGGTATCGAGAAAATGCATCACCCCTGGGTCCATGTTGACCACCTCCATGTATCCTGCTCTGAGGCCACACCTACACACAGATCGCCAGGGGGATGATTAATGGGAATTACATGAAACATGAAAATGCTCTGGGAACTTATTAAATTCTCAACTTGTGTACACAAAAAGCTGTCACATTATCATTTTCTGAAATGAAATCAAATCAGTGTGAACTTGTGATTTCTTAGCCAGTAAAGGTAGAATTGTTAAATGAAAACAACTTTGCTAATGTAGACTACTTTGGCCCACTTACATTATCAAATGATAAAATATTGAATATAATTTTATTTTATTTCAATTTAATGTGATCACTGCTTATTTCTCATGTATCCTCTAAAAAAAAGAAATCAATTAGATAACTGAAGTACCATTGTTTGAAGATTATATAATTATTTTCCATTACTTGTGTTAAAATAAAATAACGTTCTCAAAACCATAAAACATAAAAAACAAATAATAAAAAAAATTAACCAAAATATTACAACTATTTATTTCTCAAAATTGAATAGGAAACTAAAGTAAAAATTAAAACACGGTGACATTATAAGATTTGAATAAAGCATTGGTCCATTCTGAAATAGGATGTATCGTCTTAACTGAAAATAAGAATCAAAATAAAACTTAAAATTAATTAATAAAAATAATTAATTTTAAACATAAAACTATTTTCAATCATCAATTCAAAAATAAAAATTTAATTAATTTCAAATAAACAGTAATAATCATGTCATTAAGGATATGTTTTATAGTTGTTGTATTTTTAAATTGTGGAATCTGTAGTTATAAAACTGCATTATGCATACTATTTTCATTTTGTCACCAATGTTAATATTTTTTTCAAAGAGAAATATTGAAAATTTATCTTCAGATTTGAAAAAGAAAAATCTTTTTTTTTCTTCATAATAATCCATAAATTACTATGTTTGTTTATCACAATTCTTCTTCATTGAAATATATTTCATGCAATCCCATAAACTAAAGATTTTAAAAACAACTATGATTCAAATATAGGAATAAACCAAAACTTTTTATGTAAAAAGAAAGTTGGATTGAGTTTGTCTCAAAACTCCTTACCAGTTTTTAAGTTAATACTGAACGTCCCCCATATTTTACTCATTTCAACTAATGAGGAAGGGAGAGAAACTCACTCTGCTACAGAGGCACAGGATAAAGAGTGGAAGGAGACCAGCTCCACAGTGTCTCTCAGATGTTTGTCCATCTCAAACAGAACCTTCTTATATGAAATAAACTCTTTGTTTGGTGCATAAACACTGTCTTGGTAGACCTAGAAGAAAGAGCAGAACAGCTAAAACTATTCTCCTGATTCTGAGGAGACATTTTATCATCACCTCATCAATCAGCAGAAGGAGTCTCTCAGCTGCTACGAACTCAATTACTTTCTCTATGGACTTCCTGTCCTGCAAATGTCCTGGAAACAGAAAACAGCAGCTTCATCAGGGGTTGATAACGACCTGAATTTGGCTTGCATGCAGTGAAGTGTGCAGGCCTGCCTGTGGGGTTTCCTGGGTTGCTAATGTAGATTGCTCTGGGCTCGCAGCGCCCTCTGGAGGTTGTCAGAGCTCTTTCCAGGTCACTCATGTCGACAGCCCAGTTTTTGTCCTCTATCAGCCGGTAAGGCACGGCCAGCACCCCGGCCTCGTCCAGCAGAGGAAGCAGTGCGTGTGGACAAGGCTGTGGGATCAACACGCCAGTCTGACGTGGCCCTTCCCCTCCGGAAAGCAGCTTTATTATCACCTTAAAACACAAAAACAAACTTTATTGTCCCATCTGAATTTAGGCAATAATCTAACCACTATTTTGTTACTTTGATTTTAATAATTCAGGATGATTACTTTTGATTTTCTTCAAAAACAAGCAAAAGTTTGGAAATAGGACATTTTGACTGATATATATCATAGCCTGATCTTTTTACTTTGGTTTTTCTTTATAATAATTACATTTCTTTTGAGGTAGTTTCTGATCCTCATTTCTGGAACCACACTAGTAGAATTGCAAATGTACCATTTTTCAGATGTGGGCAAATATGAACAAAATTGTAGAAGGTCAAGTTCACTTATTTTGCAAAACGCTTATGTCAGGTCATCCACAAGCCTTTTGTTGTTACACCCTTTTAAAGTTCTTCAAAAACAAATCTTTGTCTTACCATCAGGCCCCTCTGAGCTCCAGAGGATATGAAAATGTTTTCAGCACATGCAGGAACACCTTCGTCTCTTTTCATGATGAACTCTGCGATAGTTTGTCTGATGTAAAGCAGTCCAGAGGAGGTGGTGTAGGAACCTAAAGATCATAGGAAACAATCAGTTAACTCATTAAACAGAATATTATAAATATATTTAGAGCTTTATCCATATTCTGTGCTATAGTGAGACTTTTTGGTGCTGCTGAAGATGGATTAAACTGTAAACAGTTTTTTCAAAATAGTTTTTGTTTTGTTGTTTAATATATGTACAATTTATTTACATGTGTGTACTACTCATACAGCATAAACAGTATGACATTTTTTATTCTTCGATTGTTGTATCTGATCATGTACTAGAATTTGCGAGATGGTGAAAATAAAACAAATTTTTATTTGGTCTCTGGCAGCTGAGAGAAATGAAGACACAATCAAAAGCAACAAAAATAATTCCTCCTTTATAAACTTGCATTGATTTTTTTTAATATAGAGTACATTAAATGTCAAATTTAAGTAGTTTTCTTTATTATTCTGTGTTTTAACTTGTAAATATGTAGTTATAGCACTTTGAGCTTCTAAAGCCTGCTTTAGTTACTGTAAATGATGGACAAATCAGTTTTATTTTGATGGGACAAGGAAGGAAGCTCAGTTAAATTTGGGCTTAATAAATGGTGAAGTAAAACGGTTTTGTTCTTGTTTTGGTTTTAAAATCCTCACCCACACTTTCACCATCACAAGCCTCCAAGAGCCTCAGGGCTCTGAGCCTGACGTCCAGAGGAAGATGTTCATCACTCAGCAGTTCAGGGCACAAACACACAGCTAGGACCTAGAAAACGGCAGCAAATTCAAAGAGGAACTCAAGCAGGAAAATATTGTATTTTCATGATATTGATGTTGATATTGATTGTTTAAAAAATAATTATTTCCTGATTGTCACACATTACATTATTCTCAGTTAGGAATGCCAAAATTATTTTTGGTTTGATTAGTGACAGAGTAAGAAGATTGTTTTTCAAACAGTATTTTGTTTCTTTCATCAAAGTCAAGAGTAAATCATCTCTTTTTTTCCTACTACATGACTTTGGATGTCCTTCAGAAGCTTCTCATGATCGTTTTGTTGGACTTTTGGTCCATTCCTCTTGACAAACTGGTCTGACCGAGTCAGCTTGTCTTACTCAAACACACTTTTTCAGCTGTGCTTAAGAACAGGGCTTGTGGTGGCCAAATATTTACCGTCAGAGCTCCGAAATATTTGATAAATTGATGTCAGTGGTTCATTGATGTTGATGAACCACTGACAAGATATATACTTTTGGGATTGTTCACATTAGGAGTAAATTAAAAAGAGATTTTTGTCTGAATCAATTGAATGAATATGAAAAAAAGTCACCTGACGAATAAATGAGATGGGTTTCATTCCTGCTCTCTGGGGATCACCTGAACTGACGTCAATCAGCTCTTTGAAGGGTTGTGGCGCCCCCTATAGGAGAACATAATATAAGGCAGCACATCAGTTTTAAAATACATCTCCTTCCTCAAAGTTTCAACAGGATTAAGTGCATTCAGAGGGATTTTCAATTTAGAGGGATTTTCATATTCAGAGTTTCACTTGAATCGCACTTGGGAGCAAATGTTAGATTGTGAAACACATTATTGTATATTACATTTGTTCCATTCTTCTTTACAATGTGCCTCAGTTAAATTTGCAGACATGACATTGTGCTCAGCACTCTATCCTTTATTTAGGTGAAGTCTGGACTTTAACTAGGCCATTGCAATACATTAATTATTTTTGTTTTAGAGACTCTTCTTGGGATTTGATTTTACATTTGTGTTTTCTTTTTGTAGCAAATTTTCAGTTGTTGGAGACCCTGTTTATTTAATTAACTATTGGTCATATGATGTGAGATATTTTTTACTTTGTCTTGATATATTAAACTTTTGTCACAAAAAAATTGTTTGCTGTCTTTGTCTTACCGATCAGTAATTCTTTATGAATGAAGAAAGCTGGCTGGGCTTACCTTGATGTCGTCTCTGGTGATGTTCTCAGCCAGACTATGCAGCCCACTTTGAGGTGAGAGTCTGATCCCTCTCACTCTGGGATTCACTTCTTGCAGGGACGTCATCAACTTTGGCATCAGATTGTTTTTAGTCAACATTTCTAAGATAAACAACCTTTGTATTGCAGGTTTCTTACAAGGTTTGAAGTCTTTGCTGTAACTGATCTAAGATACATTTAATAAGAGCTTACATTCCCAGATTCATCCATTTAATGTTTGTTTAATCATTTTTTTATTGCTGAAAATACTGGTTCCAGCTTAAACTGTTTCTGTTTATTCAGCCAATTACAATGGGAAACATTATTGCAGCTTATCCTCTTAAAAAATCGTAAATCCAACCAGGTTTGATTTAAACAGAGATATTTGTTTAAATGAAACAGATGTCTCTGTTTGATTAAATGGTTACTTTAACCATTTAAGTGCATTCAGAGGGATTTTCAATTTAGAGATGAAATGTAAAAACAAAAAATATTGAATGCCAGAATGATAAAAAAAATAATAAAACCATGCAACTATGCAAAACGTCTGCAGCTTACAAGATTAAATTTACAATTTTGTCAATAATGATGGATTATACTTTTTAAACCAATCCAATGAAATTTATATAATTTGACTAAATCTTAATAAATTAAATATATATAAGTTTTCCTGATTGATCTCAAAAAATTAAATTTTAATTAGCCATGTGGGTCTTGAGTTTAAATAATTTTAAAAATGTCTTTTAAAAAAAAAATACTTAAATTTAACTTACTGAGATTTCCAGAAGCTGCTTTTTTATGCGATGTAGTTTGTCTGATTGCAGCTATTGAGGTTTTGGTGAAGGTCGCTGGACTGACACTCTCAGAACATTGGATGAATGTTTAGCTGATAAAGTTATATGTTCATCTGGACTAAAACTTGTTTGATGTGTAACCCTCCCAGTTGTTTCAGTTGGACTCAGCTGAAATCTGAGCTGGACTTTGGACAAATTATGTTTTGTCTGATTTTTTTTTTCAACCTTTTGGAGGGCAACAGTATGTACTGCTTTATACAGCAGGGACATATTGAGGTTGCAAAATTTACCCAAATCACAAACAGAAAAGCAGTTTTTCACATTGTCAAGGAATTAAGAGTCAAAACTTTAGCTGTTAATATTTGGGAGAATTGGAGTTAGAGATTTAACATAGTCTGATCTCTTTGCCGAACCATTTGCACCATCTATAGAACTCATTTTTCTGGTGACTCCAGTTTTAGAGCACCTGTTGGTTTCTGAACGCTAAAATGTCACAAGAAGCTGAAATGTTATCAATTGTTTACAGCAACAGAAATGTATTTGGTTTTAATATATCGCTCATCTGTTTTACATACCTCGTAAGTTTGTATTACCTCAAAGCTCCAGCGCAGTCATAATCATTCTCACTTTATTTCATAACTGTAATTGTTTTTCTAGAGAAGGGCTCTGTCCTCTTTCTCGATTTAATTTCTTCAGCTTTGTCTTTATTTGGCATTGTAATTTTTTTAACTTGACCAAAGCTTATTTAGGAGTGAGACTGTTGCTATATACAAGTCATTCTCACCTCCCAAATGGCACAGTATGGTCCACATCATGACCTTTGTGAGTTGAGACGCATATGGGCCCCATAGGTAAACATTGGTAAAAATCTGTTCACTTTCACACAGGCAAACTACCTACCTCGGTTGGTAGGTAGTTATTTTCTCTTTAAGACACAAACTCACTATAGAAATATACATAAAGAGATTTATTAACTGGAAACTTGCACAGAACTTGTAATACAGAGTATTAATACTGGACAGTAAGCATAGGTACAGAGAAAGAAAACACAACTGGAGTCAGGTTTTCTAAAACACAAAGGCTGTAGGCCAAGAAGATGACTTTTGCATAGAAGTCCCAGCACAGTGCAATGCACTGCAGGGAGGAAAGAGAGGATTTTATCTAAGGAAACATCTTTTTAAAGGGAGCTCCAGTTACACAATATTAATTTTACCATAAAGTTACAGAGAGCATCCTTCTTGTAATATGTTCTTTCACCTAAAATAAGTTATGTACACAATGATCAGTTAGTCTAGAGAAAAGTAGCTCCTGATCAGTGGGTCAGACAGGAAGCCATGCAGTAATCAAACCTGCTTTTGCAGGACCAGCTCATCCACATCTTTTGATTAGACTCAGATGATGGAGGCTGATCCAACCGGGTTTATTAGATGTGTTGAGAAAACGGGGATAAAAACCCTAGAACAAATCAAAAACAAGCGCTCTGCTAGTTTTCTGTCATAGCCCTTATTTGACTTGTGTGTAATGGTTGACATCCAGGGGCGCCCTTTCTTTGAAGGTAGCATGAATTATTATAGAGCCCTTACATGTACTAGAAGATGACCTCATGTGTTTCGATGAGGATTTGACATTTTGTGCTCTTCCGAAGGCCTTGTTCACGTTATTGCCCCAAAAAGACTCCATAAGGAGACTTCAGTCTTTAGATTCCTTCCTGATTAGTGGTCTGAGCCAGAAGAGTGCATTCCTTCTTCAGTTTTTTTATGTTTCCCATATAGGAAAAATTTCCAGTTCAACTTTCGAGCCAACTTTACAAAGTTTGACAACAAGGCACATACAGGATATTTCCTCTTTGCTACATGTGCCAACAGCTCCTTTTTTACATCCATATATCAACTTTTTATTCACTTTTTGTGTGTGACCTGAGTTTTCTTCTCCCTTTCATCTGGTTTTTAATTGTAAACTCTGATACACGGTAAGAGCAAATGTAATATTTCATATTCACTTAGTTGAAAACTAAAACCTTTTATGTGAGTCAAACTCTTCAATGAAAAACACACTTCTGTCCACGTGTTAGCTGTTTTCATCAACCCTTTAGAAGTAGCTCCCACAGTTTGCTCTAAATGTGTTTCAGCTTAAATCCTGATTGTTTTATAGCTTAGTTTTATGTCTTTAGTCCATGAGATGTTTGTTTGTAATATTTTCACTATAAGTGCTTTAATATGTCCCACTTTGCTTTCTCTTTCAGTTTCAGATTGCATGTCGCTTCTGTAGAGGCAGCTGCTACACAGCATGCCAGGCACTGTGTCCGTGGGCTAGCGCTCTCTGGTGGTCGGAGTGGTTAACTGCGCTTGGCTGCAAACTGCTGCCTCAGTTTCTCTCTCCTCTTCTTCTCCATCAACCTGGAAAACAAGGAAAAGTTTAGGATATAGACTAGTTAGAATTCAAAACATTTGCTCAAACAAGAAAGTAAATATCAAAAAATGATAAGAAAAAGGATAAGTGGACAGAATAAAAATTTATCCTTGGTTTCTTTTTTTTCAAATCACTTCTGAGTTTAAAGTTCTATTTATCTGAACATCACAACTAAAAACAGTAACAGTTGAGAAGGAGTATTATAACAGCAACAAATTATTTGTATGAACTTATTAGCTCCATATATAATTTTAGAGACATTTTTTTGATGCTGCTTCAGCTCATTAAACTTTCACTCTAGTAGAGTCATTGCAACACCTTGATTCTTTTCTTTCAGGTGTTTGTGCTCAGAGGCAAACACAGATGCAAATTTTTTAGAAAGAAAATTGCCATTTATTTTAATCCTGCAAAATAAGTCATTATTGTTCAGTCTATTATATCTATATTTAATTGTACTGTGATCTGCTTTAACATTGCTAACTTTGTTGCAGCTCCAGTCTGCTTTGGAGCTTCTCATTTGGTCATTTTTTAAAAGAATTTTATGGTTTCAGGTTAACTAAAAATGATGCTAAAGAGACAGATATCTTTTGGTTTTGCCCGCTCCACCAAGCCTTCAGAGCTCAGAGATATTGTGGACAACATGACAGCAGATGGTTTGCGGCTGCTCTCCATGGCGGGGGCGTTGTGATCTAACAGGTTTAGAAATTCAAACATCTTGTTTTCCTGATGACACAGCAGAATGTTGTGTCGATAGAGAGCATCAAAATCTCAGTGCTGCTTTAGCATTTTAAGAAGTGTCGGTTTTTAATACTTACATGTCATGCAATTTATATTTTACTCACATTTATTTCTGTATTCTACTCTATTAAAGTTTTCATGACATTAGAGCTACAAAAAGAGAAAAGCCGCTTTTTGTCCTATTTTTCCTGTTGTCTACGATGTTATGTGATTTCATGTCGATGTCAGGAATGAACATTCCTTATTTCTGCATGTTTCTGTCCCTTCTGATGGTGCGCCATCCGTTACCGGTGGTTACGAGCTTCCACCAGCTCACTCAGCTGGTCCTGAGTTGCCCTGAGCTCCTCCACACTCTGCTGGTAGCTCAGATCTGCAGATCCCGACCTCTCCAGGAGAGAAACCCTGGTGGACAACTCACTGGTCCGATCCCTCAGCCTCTCAATGGATGTGTACATGTTCTCGTCGTCTTCTTCCTGCAGTCGCAGACAGGGTGAGGAGAGCAGCACATGAGAGGTCATGTAAGGTCAGTGTGGGTCACAGCAGTGATGTGCAGTCAGAGGAGGCAGTGTCTCACCTATCAGCATGAAAAGTAAAATACTAACAATGATTAGAAAAATATTTATTTCTCCATCTGAGCGTTGTATTTTTTTCCCATGTGATTTAAAAATAATTTCAAAAATTACTGAAGTTACGCATTGTGCGCACTATCTATCTACCAGTTTCCATATATGGGATGTAAAAAAAAATCCACAATTGGATCAGATAATTACTGATAGATATTTCTATAGTTGGCAAGCTTTAAATCTGAAACCTGAAATAACAATGAACAACATGCCCAGTGGTGATTAAGCAAGCCAAAAGTGTACAAAAGCACATACATTTTACAATTAAATAAAACAATCTTTATCTATAACAATGTTCTACACAGAACTCCTTAAGTGGCTTAGCTTTAGCTTCACTTGTTAAAATTAAATTAATTAAAAAAAGTATGCTTTTGTCTCAAATGAAGGAGGAAAGAGAGATTAATATTTAATTGTTTCAATCATTTAATAAAAATACTGCTGTTGGAGTGATGTGGTTGGTTTAGATCCACAGTCAAACCTCACCCAGGTAAAAACCTGCGCCTACCTTTGCATTGTAGATCTCAATGTGAACCAGAAGTGAGGCCAGCTCCAGCTCCTCACTGTAGCTGTTCTTCAGAGGAACACTCCTGTAGCCTAGGAGACGTAAACGCAACATGGAGAGGGATGTTTATTAAAAACATATTTTCCATCTGATATGACAAGGGGGGAGCGGCTCACCTGTCCGCAGCAGACGGACCGGATACGTGGCTTGTGCCAAGAAGTTGGGATCACTGAACATGTCCTCTTCGAAAACGGTGAAGCGCAGGAAGGAGAAGGTGGGGTTGTGGATGTCGAACACAAACTGCCTCTGCACCCACACAGGATTCAGACCGTTATCAGCTGGGAGGGCCGAGAGGAGGAGATGGTTAACGTGCCGAGTCAGAGGACCGAGACAAAACGCTTCAGATGCAACGCAGTAGCCGCCTCACCTACGACGTCAGTCTTGCACTTAAAGCCATCATAGTCGGCTCCACAGATCTCCACCTCCACAAAGGGACAAACGATGCTGCGGCCATTTTTCGGCAGATGCCGTGCTCCCAGAACCTGATTGAAACAAAAGTTAAAATAGAGATTTTCAGGGTTTATTCTGCTTCTCATCAAACATCTTTTTGAATGGCTCCAACTACAAGTTCGGTTGACCTGTAGCTGGAGGGTGATTGGCTCAATGTGAAGTGTGTCCTTGTCAAAAGGATCAAACATATCGTCTCTCATGATGTCAGGTTGGGGGACGAAGCCACTGCTGCCTCCAAGCAGGAACAAGGCCTGGTTCAGCTGCATAGGCTTATCTGCAAATAAGCATTTTAAAGGACTGTCTGATTGTCTTAATGTGAGATTTGCTCCTGAAACATAAAGAAGATGCCGACCTGGAGTTTGGAAATTGAGAGCAACCAGCTGGGAGCCACAGAGCCACATAGGAAGTGGGTCGTAGTTGGAGGAGTCCAGTCTCTGGCCTCTGGGATAAACTCTGGACAGCTGCCGGCGGTTGTACTGCAGGAAGCGCTTTCCTCTGGCACGAGTTGCAAATTTCTCCGCTTTGGTCTCCGGAAAGGAAGACATGTCCCGATAACAGGCACGCTCGGTCCCGATTTCTGCAAACCCAAAGATCACAGAAACTTAAACATGGAACATTTAACCATTTTTTTTTTCAAAGTAAGTATTAGAATTTTGAAGCTCACTGTCTTCGTTGAACGGTACTGGCCGGCAGTAAACCACAAGATCAGACAGTTCAACAGCAATCTTTTTCCTCCTTTCCATTTGTTTCTCCTCCTGCATCTGTTGCCGTAAAGATCAACCAAATTTAACATCTTCTCATGACTTGTACAATATAGATTTTGAACCAGGTATAATTTTATTTCGATTACTCAAGTCCCTAAATGACTTGACTAATAAAATACATAGAGGTCTGTGGTTGTAATGTGACAAGACTTCAAGAGGCATTAACAGTTTAGCAAAGCACTGATAGTTGGAAAGAAACATCAATATTAATGGTGTTTGTAGGTGTTTTTTGTGTTGCTGTGCAGCTTTGCACTGACCCGTGCATCAGCATTTTGTGCAGCTTCTCTGATTTTGTTGACCCAGCAGGTGAGATCTTCCAGACTCTCCGCTGCCACGTCCAGACTCTGGACTGGGTGAGAGCTCAGGTGCTGCGAGTGGATGGTAAACACAAAAGGCCGGGAGTTCTTCCCGTCTTTATGCACAGCTGGAGAGAAAAAGAAAAACAGGAGAAGGATGGAGGAGAAGGATGGAAAAGCATTCGGTGGTTTTCAAGTTAAGAAATAGTTTTTGGAGAGAATCTGAAAGCCAAAACACTGGCATAAGAAAACCATCTGCACGGTCACAGTAAATTAAAGGTGTGGGATATTTGCAAAAAGTAATGTTTGGAGCCTCTTTAATAAAGTTTAAGATAAGCTTTAAATCTTATTGTTTTTTGCTAAACTAAAAGAAATACATTACTCACCAACGTGGCATGTCGGCACATCGATGAAGCCTTTCAGGAGATTACCCAGAGGACTATTCTCTGTAGACTGAAGCAACAAAAAATAGGAAAAAACCACTGTATTTCCAATTGTTTAATGATAGCATGAAAATCTTCACATGTCAGGTTCAAATCTCAACTCACTGCATCATCCATTTCTCTAGTAGGAGAGTTGGAAACCTCCTCCACGTAGTTTGCAGGAAACCACAGCTGCTTCTTTCCTCCGTAGTCGCCTCGCCACCTGAATGCAGCACACAGCATGTCGTTGACTTATTTTTTATATGAAAACAAGCGACCTAGTGGAAGCTGAATAGCTGAGTACTCACCAGCCGCCCTCCTGCTTGTCCACATTCAGGATGAGCGCTTGTTTGGGGAAACAAAGCTCATCTTCTCTCTGTGCTCGGTAGTCATACAGAGCTTTGACTGTACACTGAAATTTAAGGTAAAGAGAAATGTTTGCAGTTAGACTATGAGCAGAATATGCCATTACAAAAAAAGCGGTCTTTCTTTTCTCGTTAGATATCTTGGGATTTTTACAGATGTTTTAATGAAGTCTTGAGTTGCTTCAGAGATGCATATTATAGTGTGTACAGTTATCTTCTCCTGGTGATAGAAACTGTGTCATACTACTAAAACTACCAATCCTGGTCCTCCAGGGTCACTGTTTTGTTTGTTTACCTGCTGCTGCACCTAAAACATGCAGTACTGTAGGGTCAGTGTAGAGGATTAATGCTCCAGCTCACCCGCGCTGTGGGCATCTTGTTGGCCTCTACATAAAAATGAGGAGTTCTGGCCTCATACAGTGCTCCATAGTCAAGCTCCTGAGAAGACAAATTAAACAGATTTTAACACATCCTCTAAACATGTGGGGCTCTGACCTACCAGTGTTCTGGTTTGGTGTTTATATGGTTTTTCCTCTTTAAATAAGCAGATTGACATTTATGAGATTTACTCCGCTTTGATTCTGAAACGTGATTTGTTCCAAGAAAGCAAAAACAGATTTTGCTCATAGATTTGTGCCAAGCTGAAATGTTTTCAGAAAAAAAAAAAAAAAAAAAAAAAAAACAACACTAAACCTAATAGGACTGAATTAATCCAATAAAGAAACAACATTTCTAATCTCTAAGGCTCTAAGTGATTCGACAAAATGTTGTGGTTGACTAAAATTGTTGATTCAAACATTTTTAACAATGAATATATCATATAAAATGGTCTCAAATTGTAAAAAATTATAGATAAAGAAAATACTGATGACAAATTAATTTTTTCTTTTTTATTTTGAGCAATGTCTTACCACGGTGCCCATTCGGTCCAAAGTGTCTTCATTTATTGGGTAGCGGAGCTTCATCTTACGGTACAGAGGATGTTTCTCATAATAACAGACTAGATCCACCAAACTTTCAAACTCTGCCGAACCCCCCAACATGAAGAGACGACCATCCTGCTGGATGCGACAGTGTTTGATCTTACCCTCCGCCCTGTAAGCCCATAGACAGTAACTTATAATGAAAAAACACACAAAGAATAACTCAACAGAATTTAATGAGCAGTACTGTCCGTATAACTATTGAGCTCTAATTTACGGTTATGTTGATCAGTTACCTAAAGGAGATGGCATAGGAGTTGTGCTCACTGCGTTTTCGCACCAAGAAAGCTCCGTCTCGGGGAACACGCATCAACATGTGTTCAGCTTGAACACGGGACAGGTTGGAGTGGTACCATCTGGACAACAAGAGATGCTCCCAATCAGTTTCATTTTCAAAAATTTCAATCTATTCTGCATTTCCACTTTTAAAAAGGAAATGGTTTGAATTGATTAAAATATTGAGAATGTCCTATCAATCAATAAAGTTTATTTGTGTGGCACAATACAGCAACATGCCTTATGTTTTTATAATTATTATTTTTAGTCTAACAAGGAAGAGGTAAAGTATTGTTTCCTTTTTTTATAAATAGGAAGAAACATGGTGTCAAATGTGACTGGATTTAAATGTCAGATTCCATCTTGAACTCTAAATGTCCTCCCCTGCTGGCAGATGTTTTGCATTACATTTATAAACTATATTGCTTCATGAAGTTGTTTACTATATATTAATGGTCTTAATAGGAAATAATAGGTCTTAGTAGGAGAAATACACATAGTTTTCCATAGTTGGTCTGAGTCACTCACTCTCTGCTCTCGTGTGCATTGGGTTGCGGCACGGGATTTTCCAGTCTCATTTCAAACTCATTGCAGCGCAGCGGCACCTCTCTGTAGTGACAGATGAGATGGTAGAGGCTGTCGAACACAAGGTTGTCTGTCAGGTAGAATCGGGTGGACCCAGACTCCTGACGTGAGTGGATCCTGCAGTGCTGCACCCGACCAGAACGCCTGGAGGAGGAGGAAAAGTATATTTCCTACTGTGATTTGTTGAATGAGAATTTGATAGTTGTAATCTTAACCTAATGAGCACCGATGCAGTTGCCAAGTTAAAAAAGAAATGACTCTAACCAGAAGGACAGGGTGTAGTCTCCGACAAATGTCTCGCTCTCTCGCACCAGGAAGGTGCCGTCTTTACCCCCGCCTTCACAGTACTCCTGGAGCAGCTTCTCTGCAACCTGCCGACCGTCGCGACCTCCTCCCAGCTTCCCATGAAACCAGCGCTCTGCACAATGCTGCTCGTTATTGTTACACTCCTATCAAAGCCCAGAAGGGGGAAAAAGCATGAAGATTCAACATTAAAAATGTCAAACAGCCAATATAGACTTTTTACTCTTGTTAGTAAGTCCACGTTGTCGCCTTACCTCCTTTAACATATCTTCTTCTTCTTCATCAGCTGTTTGGTAGCGAGATGTCTCCTCTGAGTAGTAAATCTTATTGCTGGTCAAGACAAAATAATGTGGTGTCCAAGTCTGGAAAGCACACAAAAATATTTCAGCAAATATAAGTTCATTTACACAGAATTCTTTAGGAATGACTGGAATGTCAAAAGTAAAACACTATTGTAAAAATTGTAAAATATCTTTTGAATTTGTATTTTTTTTTAAGATATTTCCCTTGAAATATGTTAAATTTATTCTAGCTGTATTTTTGTGTCATATTTCTTATTTTCTATTTTATCTTGTATTTTATAACAACGTTCTGTTTGCTCTGGTCCAATCAGGCGTAAGCCACAGCGAGCTTCTGCCTCTTTTGTGGTAAAAGCCGGTTGAATTTGAGATTTAACCGCCTATGTCTTTGCTACAACTGCTGTCCTTACGTCTACCTGTAAATGTTTTCTTATCCTATGTAAGGTGAGAAATTTTATCAATAAAACAAGAATAGTAAAAAGTGGAAAAATATTAAAATGAATGAAATTAGCCTAAATTTAAAAGGCATGTTATGTTTTGTCATTTGATTTTTCTTCATTGAAATGGGTTTAGTTTTTATATTTTTGTATTTCAAAAGTTATTCAGTTTTCAGTACATTTTCAGACATTTGTTATTTATTTCAATCATTGTGGTAACTTCAGTGTCTCCTGAATAAAAGCAGAAATACTCACATGGTCGATGGGGTCCTCGAGGTAAAGGATGCCATTCCTCAGTGAGTTGCTGATGTCGTTTTCAGAGTAGCTAGCTGAAGTCACCTCTTCATACAGGGTTCCTTCCACCAGCTTTTTGTGCTGCCACGAAATAATTAAACAAGAGACTCAGCAAGCAACTTTTCTCTTTTCTGTTTAGAAATTTCAAGAAATAAGATTCTTCATAATGAAGAATTAATGCAAAATCAACAGGCTCGTTACAGATTTCCAAACCGTCTCAGGAATATGAGGGCTCTATTTGACTTCATGTCAGATTTTCAGCATTCAAAGATGTTTTGGTCTCCAATAGGGATCAAGAAATCACCTTGATGAGGATCTTCCTACGGAGCTGGTAGGGTGAAGGAAGCTCGTCCGCGTTATTGTCAACTGGCTTTGTGAGCAGCAGCTCTCCAAACACCTTCTTGAAGTGTGTTGCCATGTTCCTCTGCTGGACCACGCTGCAGTGGTCCTCAATAGATAATATCACAGGATACCTGCACAGGTATAGCAACGGGAAGGTGAACAGAGCTGTTGGAGAGGGTCTGGGCTTAAAAATGTTGTTTCACTCATATTGTGAAGGTGGCCATAGCAAACATAACGGCTGAAGAAGGTCAGCTAAACTCACTCGGATGTGACAAAGGCGTGTTCTTTGATGGTGTGCAGCACATCCAGGAATTTGATCTTGGAGGTTAAAGTGTGGCCATGGTAGATGATTGGCAGATCATCTGGTCCATCCCAGCAGTCCACTGAGAGCACAAAGCGGAGAATCAACATCGGCTCTCAAAGACAGAATCAATCTTCCAACACCAACAATTACTAGCAGCTTTAAAATCCCTTCCTTACGTTCAATGCAGCGGCAGCCCATTCTAAGACAACGAGCGTAGGCTTCTAGAGATGACTCACTCGAAAACTGATCACCTGTCAGGTACCTGAAAGACCAGGTAACAATGTGTACAGGGATAAAACTGAAAAAAAAGGACCAGTAAAAAAACTAAGAAATTAATGTCTAAAAGTCTCAAAGTAAAGCAGCTTCTTCTGAAACAGTGGTAATTGGTAGCTTTAAATTAATGCACATAACATTTTCCTTGAAAATGATTTCATTTTAAAAATACAAAATATAATTACTAAGAATGTTTTTCTTTTCTATTATTGTAACTGATTTTAAACTATACGTTGCCAAACTACACAAAACAAGCTGAATGTTGCAGATATTAAACACCTTTTTGGTTCAACAATCACAGCTAAAATCCCTTTTGAAAAACCTTGAGAATGGGGGCCACATTAAAAGATAATAAATAAACAAACAAACAAACAAAGAAATAAAAATAAATAAACAAATATGAAAGTAACTCTTCACAATGAAAATACAACTGTATTAAGTCAATGAAAACTTTCCCACAGTCTTCATCAATATGTTCTTTTTTATTTTCTTTTTGAAAGTTTACTCTTTCAGCTTTTGAATAAACTGAGTATATTCTCTTACATAGAAATTTGCCATAAAAATATGTAATTTTTTTTTACTCTTCATTTCCTTTAGAGTTATGGACTTGTTATCTTACGTGTTGTGTGAAGAGGAGATCCAGTACTGTGACAGCGGCCTTTTCATGTCATCAGGGACAACTGGTGAAAGTCGAGGGTCTGCCACAGTGTTTTCTTTTGAGAACAGGAAAGTAAGGAACTAAAAGACAGAAATAAACATACTGTAAGACGGCACAGTCTTTTAAATGTTTCTTTCTTGTGTCTCAGGTTTTGACACCTCATCCAGCTGCAGCACTGGTTCAGGCTGAGGTCCTTCTCTCATGTAGGTCATGAGAAATTCCCTGACTCGACTCAAATCTGATGCCCAGGACTCCTGAAATAAACGCAAAAAAGAAAGCTGAGGCAAAGCAGGCTTCAGGGATTTTTGTTTGTGTGTGTGTTGCTGATGAGCACTCTTTACCCTCTGGTCCATCTGCAGAAACTTCTGGAAGTCGTAAAGGGAGATCTGACAAAGCTCTGGTCGATCCACATTTCTATGAATACACCAAATTTAAGATGTTAGACCACAGATGTATAAAAAGCAGAATAAGAGTAAAGGTCCGCTTTCAGAGAAAAGAGATGTGATACATTAGCAGACTTTTTCCTGTGGTTGAGCCAAATCTAATTACACCACTTTTAAGGTAATGCCTCTTAACATTAGAGAAATGTTTCTCGTGCACCAAGCAGAAACAGAAACATTTTAGTGCCATTAAGACAGCACAAACACATGGAAACATTTTTTGAAATACAAGACTGCTGTAATAAAGACTGACTGGACAAGTACACTGGGAACATTGGGGTGTGAAGGAGGAGAAAACAGAGGTGAATGTGGAGGAACTCACCGGAGAGGAAAGGAGAGATCCAGCTGCTCAATAATCTGAGGAGGTAGAGGGAAGGACCCAGGTGAAAAGCAGGTGGGAGAGGGTCAGGTGAGGCATAAACATCAGAGGACAAAATGAGTGCAAAAGGTGGGAATTGTCAAAGTGTCAGTATAAAACTCACAAAGGAGGGATTCAGAACCTTTTAACCTCTTTGTTTCTCTTTACATCATAATTAAGTCTTGAAAATCGGAGGCCTTTCATGCTTTTCATGCAATTTTTTTTAAACTGTTTGTCAGGCTTTTTATGAAATGTGACTATTAAGTCCAAGACTTACACTCCTCTGAGCATCAAACATAAGCGTCCTGTAGAGCTGTGCAAAGTTGGAGTGCAACAGTTCATTCTTTGCCTCCACCTCCTGGAGAAACACAGAAAACAGGAGTTATGACACTAACTGGTGGTAGGCTCAATCTCAAAGAGATCAAAAGCACACAATCATAAAAGCATCTGGCCTGCAGTTTGTCTTTGAGAAAGCGCATGTTGGGAACTCTGTAGTTGATCTGAGGCAGAAGAGCTTTGACATCTTTCAATGTAATGCTGCAGAGGAAAGAAAAGATAAGCATCAGTCATACTATCTCACTGTCATTAATGAGTCACCAAGAACAATTTAAAAGACAACGAACTGCTGTAGAACCTTTTACAGTAAATATCCCAAACAGTTGCTACAGGTGTGTCTTTATTTGCCTCTAACACTGTATTTTCATCAAATCTTATTTTTAATGGTGCTTCAGGTCATCGAGAGTCACAGAGATTTTGTTCTATTCACCTTCTTTATGCTTCTATCAAAGCATATCAGTCAGGTTTAGATGTTGACCATGTTTTAAAATGCTCAAGTTGATTAACTTCTGGTTTGGGATCATTGTCCAAGCGATGATCCAGTTTCTTGGATCAGCCAATTCAGCCGTTTGATTTGGAGGTTCTGCAATAAGGCTGAATCTAAAAGTAGCAGTACCCACGCTACAAAATATCTGGACAGAACTAATACGAGAAACGGAGGTTGCCGGTAGGCGCATATGCTTCAGTTAGTCACACATTTTGTTTTATGAAAGAACAGCACATGGATAATCATTTGGTAATTAAGTTAACAGATGGTACAGTCAGAACCAGAAAGAGGAAGGAAGTTCATAAAGCAGGTGGAGAGAAAAACTTCACTTCAGTCCTCTGAACCAAAGAGGGTTTTTCAAGGTCATCAACCTGGATCTCTGCTCACTTTGAGTCCGGTCTCCTCCCAGGACTCCAACTGGCTACTGTTTCTATTTTCACAGACGACAGGAAGTTGCCCTCTCCCTATTCTTTCATCACTTCCTGCTTCTTATCAAGCAGTGACAGGCTGTTTGTTCTGGAGAAGCCAACACCAAAACAGAAGCATGAAGTCCTAACATGTTCTCTGATGACACCGAGATCTGGTTTTACCTTCACTTGCAAATTGTTGCAAAGCTGCACCATTCCTCACTTGCTGCTGTTAAAACTGTGATTGGGTGTTGACATGTTTGTGGTGAGTCACTCACCAGCCCTCGTTGTTCCTGTCCATGACTTCAAACTGTTTCCTCAACCACCTGCAGAGTCAGAGGAAAAGGATGCTGACTGAAAACTGGTCTGAACTCAAATGTTTACAGGAAAATAAGCAGAACTGAAAAAGAAAAACAATCAGACTTACAGCTAGTTTTTAACGCACTTTTTGTTTTCAGTCACAAGTGACAGTTTTTTGTCAGTGGCGGAAGAAAAATAATATTTGATTAATGCTAAATAAAACTAACAAGTTTCACTGTCACAGTACAACTCACAGTAACATGTGTTAAGTGTTAATTAATAATACATGTATTATGTTTGAGTTTGGTTAAAGTTTTGCTTTTGGATATTTTAAGCACAATCACAATAAAACTGTAATCAGTTATAAAACTGATATGGTCGCCACAGTAATAACAGCTGGGCAACACATTAGTAAATCAACCATGGGCACAGATTACTGGCAAACAGATGACATCTTTCACCAGCGTGAAAAAAAACAAACTTTAAATGTCTTTATCTCTCCTGCTGGCTCAACAGCTGCCCTTTTGTGTTTTTACTAGCAAGGCTCAACATGTATGTACTGCTGGAGCCCGTGCTGGTGTAATGACATGGGAAATGTTTTCCTGGCACAACCTGGAACGTCTAAGACAGAGCACAAAAATATACTGGAAATCATCTCAAACTAGTTTTTCAGGTATGGAGATGGAGATGAGTTTACTGTAATCCGGCTATCTCGGTGCAACAATTTAAAGTTTGGCAGAACAGGAGACTCTAAATGAAGTAATGAAGTAAGAAAAAGAAAAAGAAGAAAAGGAAAAGAAAAAGAATGAAGACAGTTCTGAGGCATAGTTGATAAAATGGGTGGACACCATAGTACACCAAGTATGTCGAAGTATTTACCCTGAGCCTTAAAATTAGGGCATTAAATCTGAAACGTGTGTTCATGAGGTAACAAGATTTTTGCCAGAGTTACAAGCACATGAAGTGTTTGAGATTTATTGGAATTCAGGTTCATCTACTCTGTCACAGGTTTTGAAGTGTTTTCTCTGTTTTTCTCAAATGTAGCTCATCCTGCACTTAATCTAACAGATGAAAAAAAAGTCAAATTAATATTTTAGCTATAGGTTATGTAAATTTAAATGCGAGCAAATACGTAAGAAACATTGTTAGTTTTTATAGGTGAGAACTGGAAGCACTGCTTCTATGGAGATGACTCATTCACACTTTATTTTCCATAGAAAAAAATTTGATTTAATATTTAAACTAAGAAAAAGGCTTAAAATTGTAAACTTAATAAGAACCAGAAAACTGGACTCCAGACACAACGGTTCCAAAAACATTTGGTAAAAAAAAAATATATTTTTTTTTCGTCCTTTAAACAACTCAACTTAAAGATCATCCGAATGAAATCCATTAAACATCATTTAAATCAGCTGATGAAAAACAACTTCAGAAAAACAGATGAAATGAGTCTTTTCATTTCCTCCAAACGTTCCCACTAAGCGGTTTGTCTGCTTCACAGCCTCATAGTGTTTTCCTGCTTTCACCCCTGATGCCAAAAACAGCCTCTGAACATTCACCGGTAATAAATATTTTTATCTCTAACTAAATATTTGTCTTCTCTGAGTCCATATCCAGGTTGCCTCTTCCCTGCTGCAGCCAGACATCACTGAAGGGCATCCAAGGAGGGGAGCACTGATAAGTGCTTTAATTACTTCAGCAACATGTAATTTTATTGCACTGTAAAACCTAGCAGTCTGTCAGCTCCTGTCTGGAAGGTTTATTTAGCTCATTAATGCCAGCACCCTCCACATTTATAGGTGCCTCTGCAAAAGATGTGCCTTAAATTTAATTAATCTTAATTAACCTAAGTTTTAGGAAAATTCAGTCTTTAAGTGGGGATGTATTCTATTATTCTTTAGGCATGGAGAGTTCAATACTAATGTTTCTATTATAGACAATCACTGGCCTTAAAGTTAAAAATATATTCAAAGCCAAAATGGCAACAGCACAAAGCTTCATTGAGTATTTTTCATTGTTACTGTTATGGCATATTTTTGAAAATGGAATGTTTTACAGACCTTTCTATTTGCTGCGGTGCTGGTGCTCTCTGGGTATCGACCATCAGCCAGTTCAGACCCGTGATCCACATGTTGACTTCCTCTCCACTGTAGGCTGCCATCACACAGAAAAAAATGTCCAACAAATCAGTAGTATCCATTACCAAGTTTTTTGGGACAAAATATTAGTATCATTGACAAGCTAAGCAGATTATAACTGTCTTTACATGTTTCAGAAATCCCTGATATATAAAATAAACTAGCTTGGCCCCAATATAAAGCCAAGTGGCACCTCACAGGCCATCTTCAATAAATGTCAATTATCATTACTTAGCTGTGCAAAAATAGTTTCTAAGATAAGTGCATATAAAATAAACCCAAAACCTTTATTTTTCTACATTTTGTAGAAAGGAAAAACTGTTGTCATTTTTGATGTGTCAAAGTTTAACATCAGACCTGCAACATAAACCCATGTGAACAACTGTTAAGTGTCAAACCTATACTATCTTTGTCTAAAACCAGTGAAGTCATTAGTAATAAATTCTTATTAGATTTCAGGATACAAGCAGGGAGAGGGTTTATTCTGCCAAAGCATTAAAGTGGGAAACTGAAATCATTCTGTTGGCTTTAGACCAAACAAAATATACAGACTCTAATGTATTCCTCATTTTTAAAGATTTTTTAGGTCAAGAAATAAATCTACAAAATAAAAGCAGGAAGTTTTGGGACCTTTAATCTATCCAAATTTATGCAGACCTGCCAAGCTGAGAGTCCGCAGGCGAAACTCGAGGCCATACAACACGATGAAGCAGTGGGCCGAGTCCAGTTTACGAGCCTCCTCCGGGTACCGCTCAAAGTCACGCGAGCCTTTTCCCAACCGCAGCTCCCGGATCTCCCGTATGTCAACTGGGGGAGGAAGAAGAGGAGGAGGAGAGAGGAAGGATAGAGTTGCATGAACAGAAGTATGCTCAACCATTAATCACGCTTTGGCACGTTGTTCATTTCCGTGCCAAACACACAGAAACCTGTTTCTGGAAAGCTGCACAAGTGGTCACTTTGTGAGCCGGAGACCAGAAACAGATACACAAACATCTCAACCTGGGGCTGCAGGAAGAGTAAAATATCTGCAGACATCTTTAACTGCAAGAACACTTGTCAGACTCACAAAAAGACCTTGTATCTTAAAGTAACTTTAAAAAGAGAAATTATTCTGGTCACGTTTACTGGTAAAAGCTGCATCAGTGAGAGGGAAAAAGGAAAAAAGGCTATTTGTTTTTCAGTTTTTTGGTTAGGCTGCTTGTTTTCAAAATAATAATGTAAATCACTGCAAAATAAAACAATTCTCTATATTACTTGTTTAAATTTAGAAGAATACTACAAAATGGTAATTTAGGGACCTCAAGGACATTTTAATAAGAAACTATTCCTAAAACAAAAAAGATGAAGTAAATTTTAAGTTTGGAAAACTTTCTGATTTGTTCATGTTCATGAACCAAACCTACAAAGTATCACAGTTTGGTTCTTTGACCAATTTTATTTACCATATGCATGTTTTCAGCATTTTTGTTGTGCTACTCATACTCAACATGGTAAATGACTGATGGAGATAGTCAGGCAGGACCCCTGCTTTCATGCTTGAATACACAGATATAGGCAAAAGATGCTTATGATACTCCCTTAAGCTTGATAAATGTAATTCATTTGCTTAGACTACTGAACTGAATTTCTTAATAAAAAAAAGAAAGGCTTCTAAGTATTTATGTGCTAAAGACATAAAAGTTTGATTAACTTAGTCTTCAGCTTTAAAACTGAGATTGTAATGTTTGCACCAGAGCGCTTCAAAAACAAACTGCTTATAGTCAGTCGTTAACTCTGCATGATTTCATGTTTGGTGTCAAATTTGAGCAAGACAAGCCATTTAAATCCCAAAATAAACAGATAGAAACATTTGAATGCGTTAATTATTCCCATCTTGAAGCTGCACACAGACAGATTGTACCAAATTGTGGTATCCGCGTAGGCCAAGCAACAACCTTGGGTATATCCTGTGTCAGCAGTGTGGGTTTGTTCTTAGCCAGATATAAATGTCGATGAAACCAACTTTCATAAGATAGGAGTCTATCTTATATTTTTTTTCTTACCCAAAATGTATTATGTGTTGTAATTTAAGTCATAGAAATAATCGTACAATGTGTCCATTGTCAAAGAGTCAAAGTCTGACAGTGTGTGAGCAGTGTGTGAAGCTGGCTCTGAAGGGTTAAGGTTCAGGGAGCAACCACAGAATGTGATATAAACTCTGGACTCTACTTTCACACTTGCAGCAGTTGACACACCCACAAAGAAAACCTCCAGCTTATTGACATAACAGATGTCCAGTGCAAACACACATAAACAGACTTTCATAGACACTCAGCACATTCACACACGGCTGAACGGCATTACAAAAATCCTTGAAAACAATTTTCCACAGGTGGAACTTCTTGTACATGAAATCAGCAACTTTATACATTTTGGCCACTGAAAAATACGTCTTTAAGTTGTTAAGTTGTTTATCCAGCAGATAGCAGACAAGCAACAGAAGAAACAAATCATGTCCAAATCAATGGTTGCCTTCAGGAGGTTGTAAATAATCCTGAATCAAAGAGACAAGAGTAGATCTGGTTCTGATCGGAATGGTCTCCATGTGCAGACGGCAGGGAGAATGTTTGGCATGAGATTAATTGAGAGCGTCATCTTCCTCACATGGTGGCTGGATTTTAGTTGATCGTTTTAAGAAATCATTCTTTGATCTCCATTCAAGTGTTCAAAAGCATCAATATAATTTCATATTCAAAAAGGTAAAAAAAAAAAAAAACATTTATCACATTGTTGAAGATAAACATTGCCATGGACTGTAAAACTCTTTTTTTATGTTCAAGAGCTTTGAAATATTTAAAGTGTTGAAATATTTGAAGCAGTTAAAACAATGGTTGATGTTTTCCAATTAATTCTGGCTCTTATTTCTCTTTGAAAAGTTTTCAAATTAATTCAAACTACACAAAGGTTTTGAGTGTCTGTCCTCACTTCCTGTCTAGTTTAATAACTAATCATCTCTCTTGTGACGGCAACAAAGACAGATTGTATTGCTCCATATATGGGCATAAAACAGGTAGTTTGAGCAGTTGAGCAAACTATTATTGCTCCAGCTCCACAGAGAAGAATCACAGTGCAGGAACCATAGATGGTTATCATGAGAAATCAAGAAAAGGAAAGATTCTTGCAGGTCAGGGTACAATGTTCATGTTTGAGGGCCTGAGTCAAAAGATGCATACTTCTATAGCATCATCAATTTATTTAACCTTTTTATAAATTTGGCACTGCACTAGAAAGCATACAGTATTGTGCTATAAAAATATCTCACTATTAAAGGTAATATAGGAAGAAATACCTATATTACCTTATATACAAGTTCTGAAAGTTCGTATCCAAATTAACATATGTTATTCATGCAAATGGAGGCACATTTGTTGTGCTTCAGAAACACAATTATTAAATTGTTAATATTTTTAAAACAAATCTGAGGCATCAATTAGAGGCCTCAGATCACAAAGGTGTTTAAGTGAAAGCAGAGTCACTTCAAAGCACTTCAAAGCACAAACCAAGACGCTGCTATGATTTTTTTTTCTTTCTTTTTGCATTCCCTTTATCATTTCCTGCCACTGAGTTTGGGCGTTGGACATTGAGGAAAACAGGCTCTCGGCTCACAACTCCTCCACTTCACAGAAACACACCACAACCTTTTAATCCTGGCCTTTGCTGTGAATACAGCTATGCTAAGGACGCAGTACAGCTTCAGATTTCAGGCTGACATCACCTTTAATGAGCATGAAGGATCTGAACATGAGAAACATACAGATGGCTCAGATTTGATGTTCTACAATAGTATGTTTCATTATCAGAGCTGCTTCATAGGCAGCTGTTTCTCCCTACTCAGTTAGCTCTCAGTGCTAGAGTGAACTATAGCTTACGAAAACAGCTGCGTATTCTGTTGACCTGAAATTGCCAGCTGCTCATAATTGCAGAGTATTTCCAGTGAAATAACTTAGTTTGTGATACAGTTGGCCACATCGTTCCGTGCCAGATGGCACCCAGAGTTTAGATGAAGTCCAAGAAATTTGATCAAACTAAAAAATGACAAAGATTCTGGTGGAAATCTTTGTCATTTTAAAAACGACTCTAGTGATCACAATGATGGACTTACATTTGAAATAATATCCTTACATCTTTTATGCTTATATTTTGATTAACCACAGCCATCTTCACAACCATTGTCCCCTCCGTGGATAAAAATAAAATGCAAAAAACCTTAAAAGACATAAAGCTTTTACTTCAGTAGCAGAATGTCAGTTCTATTATTATGTGGGCAAAAACTTCTTTGGATCATAGACCATATGGCTTGGGGCGGAACAGGCTGGTAAATCAAGTGCTTTGCTTATTGGCTTTGCTCTTTTACCAGAACAGACTGGAGCAAGGTCCTAATTACTGTAGCCGAGGCCCCTGTCTGTCTATCCATCTCCCACTCTATTCCGCAAGACACCAACCTTTTTGAAGTTCTCTGTTAGAGGGAGATAACACTGATTTTATTCAAATTGCCATGTAAAGGCATTATCACCCTTTCTGTAATCTAGAGAGCTTATTCACAAACTAATAATATACTGTACCCTGTGGGACTAATCTGATGTTATATGAATCGCCAGAAGTAGAAAACATTGTGTTGCTGGAGCCATGAAGTATAGTTAAATATGCAGCAGCCATATTGGATTTTGTACAGGTTGCTAAAGGACGCTCCAACTTTTCATGTCAAAAATCCCATTAAGTGTTTCAGTTCCTTTGTCAGATGTGCAGCTCAGGAATTTTAACTTCCAGAAACAAGTGTAACACAATAACAAGGCAGCATATTTTTTACAGATTACAACACATAACCCACTCATCAAAGCAGTCGTGTGTTGCACTTTTACAAGACATATAAAGTACTGCTACTATTAATAGATCTGTCTTCAAACATTTAAAATAGAACAAATATTCCCATGAGCATGAGGACACAACAATCTTGGACTACCACACAATACATTCATAAACTGGATTTCAAGGTTGTTTTCCAAGGTGCAGAATAAAGTATTTAATTTAACTAAATTTCACTGATCTTAGTTTAATTGCTGTTTTTAAGGAGTCATTCTGTACTGTAATTAACCGTTTTAACTTTAAATTTCATATGAACAAAGCTAACATTAACTGTTTTCAAAAATACTCATTTCATGAGTCAAACCACTCGTAGTACCAGGGGCGCCTCAGTTGTGTTCAATGTCCCTCCTTCCTGCAGAAGATTCAGACCTTTTGTTTTCAGTCCTTCAATCTGAGACGGGAAGGGAGACACTCCCTGATAACCCAACACTTCCTGTGCCTCAGGATTTTATACATCCACTGCTTGGCAAGGGACTCATCTAAAAGCAAAACACAGAATTGGAGTCTGTGTTCTTGCTTTTTCTTTTTTTTAGCTTATTTTAGCATTTTTCCTGATGAAATACCCAACTCTACTGAAGCTAAATCCTACTGAAACTCATAGGTCCTGGTTGGAGCTATGGTGAGAGTCAATCCAAGTTTGGAAAAAACAATTATATCCGCAGAGACTCCTGTGTGCTAGGATAAAACAAATACTAAAGCAAACCACAGAAAAAAGAAAAACAAAGAGCTGGCAGAGGTGGTGAGTTAGGAGGTCAAACAGATCAACGTGAATAACGACCTCAAAAAGCAAAAGAAAAGTGAAAGAAAACAGAGTGAGAAGGGCATATCTGAAAACAAGCAGGGTGTTTAGGTAAACGTGTGGGGGCCGGAAATTTGGAAATTATAGCCGGGAGGAAAAGAATGGAGAGATGAGAGCGGGAGGAAGCAAAGAGGTAGAACTGTAGGAGATAAAGTGAACGAGAGACCCACTGAGTTCCTGGAATCTGCTGGAGGCTTTGTCCGGTGGGAGGTTGTTTATAAAGGGCCGATTTGGGGTTACGAAAACATGTTTGCGTGTGTGCATGTGTGTGTGTGTGAAAAAGGAACATTTTCATTAGTCTGCATGAGAATGTGTGGATGAATAAATCTGACTGGGAAATATAGTGGGGTTTAAAAACAAAGAGACTCCTGGCATTGCTAAATTAGAGAAGAAACCAGAAATGAGACAGGAATTTTAGAAAAACCACAACTTCATAAAATAAGCAAAATTATTAATCTTTCGAATAATGAGAAGATTTGTGCAGTCGCTCTGATCAGTCAATATGCTACATGCAGATTCAGATCAGATTCACAAGAACTGTTGGTAATTCTGAACACCAGAAGAGTGAACAAACAAAAGAAACCAAAGGCTGCTCAAAGTAAATCTGGGAGAAGATTTGAATTTGTTTTCTCCATTTTTGCTTCATGAAAAGCTTCTAATTCAAAATGGGAGTGGACACTTTTCATATCCACACTATATTCAGACAAAATGTTGGTGTATTCATGTTACGCCTGTTCATACTTTTACTATTCCTTCCCTGTCTTGAGTTACCTACATCTGTCTGATGTGAAAAATATCCGGCCTGTTCTTCTGAGGCCGAGGGATTATTTTCTTTACAGAGTTCTGCCATAAAGATAGAAAGACACATGGCAGACAGAAGGAAACCCAATCATGCCAGTTGAGAATGCTTTTAGCCTTTTTTTTCTGCGCCAACTTTAACTGCAACAAATCCGACTTCAGACCACAAAATCCGGGTTGCAGACAATAGCCTCCACGCCCTAGACGAGACGGACGGACCTCGTGACAAGCGTCTGCTTTTTGGGCCCACATCCAGCCAGGAAGCCTGAGGCCAGTCGAGGATCCATGCGGTAGCAGCACGCCGCCATGCCTGGAGAGTTACTAAGAGGTCGAAGTGGAGGAAGCAGAGGTCACAGGGTTGTGCTCTGTCTGTCAGCTAACAGGCCGTGACAGCGTGTCAGCTGAGTGGGAACGCGACCGGACTTTCCACGACAGAATGTCACATTTTGAGGAGGGCAAAAGGACAACTCTGCAAAAGTGTAGCTCTGAATGGAGATCAGTATTTGTTATTTTAAGTTATTTCCTACATCATCAATTAAAAAGTCTGTGAATTGGAGGAAGAAAAAACTAATTTGAATATTATATTAGGTTTTCTTGTCTTTGTGTGTGTATTTTTAGTGGCCAGTTTAGAAAAGCTTTAGAAAGCTAAAATTGCAAAATTATTTTTGCTTTTCTGTGGGTTTAAATAAAGGTTAAGAACAGCAGCTCTCTAAAACAAGTCAAAAGCAGCAGAGAAGCTTTCTGACGCAGCAGCAACTTGCAAGACGACTCTTGTATCTGCTCTGTTTGGCTGACGAAATACTCCGGCAGGTCATCGAAGCCTGATTTAAGACGAACACAAACCAAGCCGTCGCCTCTTTCCAGAAAGAATGCAGCAGGAAAAAATACTTGCTGGTGTTAGAGTTTCTGTCTCCATCAGCACAATTTCTGACATGTTTAAGTCAACATGACCTGGGAAAAATCTAAACAATACACAGGAGCTTTGTGATATGCAGTGACTGGGATGTTATGAACTCTTGAGAACTGATATGGAAAGCATCCAACCTCCCTGACACAGGAGCAGAACGCTACTGATATACTGCTGTGTTTCAGTCTGTAGCATCATCTTGTTTGCATAGCCTGGGCCTCTTCATTGGCTGGGCTCTGCTCTCCGACCTGGAAACTGATCTTAGCAAAAATATTTTACAGGATGGATCGTTCCTAAGACAGAAGGCCTGCAAGAGAAGTTACTAATGAGAAAACTAAAGCACATTTAGGGTACTGTATTTTACGGACTATAAGTCGCAGTTTTTTTCATTGTTTGGCCAGGGGTGCGATTTATACTCTAGAGCGACTTATGTGTGGAAATGAACATAATCAAACCAAACAATACTGTGAGGGATATTGATTTATTACCAAACCCTGCTGTAAACCTCTCCACAGCTGTGGTTTAATGCATCTTTTTATAAACCAGATTTGACCTGTTTGGTGTGTTCTTTGGTTTTAGAATAGAAGATTAAAAGAAGAATAACCCTTATTGTCCCTCGCTGATGTACCTGAAGTCAAGTCACAGGCAAGTTGAAGCATGTAGAGTCACATATATGTCAAAACTGAGTAAGAGTAAAAATAAGATAGAGCAAGGGCAAAGTTTCAGCATAAGAAAATACTATACACTTATTCAAAATACTCCAAATCAAAGAAATTGCTATTTGTTGTTGAATGCTCTCCAGCAAACCTTTGAGGCCTTCACATAACACTTGTGGTAACGTTGAGATTGAATTGCTCTTATTGGGCTTTAATAGATTACTTTGTAAGTTAGGAGAGGATTTTATTTAGAGGTATCAGATTTGAAACGATCTTACTGCTTATCCTGTCAGATTTTAGGTTTTTATTAGTAAAAAAACTTTGAAAATGGTTCACCGTTTCCTTGTATTTTCAGGGTCACAGGGAGAGAGGATTGTCTCTAGCGATCACTGGGCAAACTGGACAAATTGCCAGTCTATCCAGTCATGCACACACACACACACGCATATGAATCTAATTATCGTAACAGTTGTGTTTTTAGACTGTGGGAGGAAGTTGAAGAACCTGGAGAGAACCCATGCATTCATAGGGAGAACATGCAAACAAACTCCTTGCAGTAAAACCCCAGACTGGGATTCAGACCCAGGTCCTTCTTCCTGAATGACATCAGTACTACCAACTATGCCACTGTTTTTTTTTCCTTTCCCATGAAAATGTGCTTATGTTGATTAAGCATAAGCACATTATGCTTAATCATAAATGTGCTTATGATTAAGCACATTTAGTTAGTTTGTGTATGTAATATTTAAAAAATGTGATTACTAAAAAAATGTGGCTTATAAACTATGTTTATAACCATTGACTTAATTTTGGTTTTGCAGCCAATCCAATTGCACCAACCATCTTCTTAGATAAAATAATTTCCTCACTGTTTTCTGTCTATTTTGTGTTTTGCTGCTTGATTGTAGTCACTCTGCTGTTTCATAAACATCTGGATTTGGACTGAACCTTTTTTCTCCCACATCCACTCTGACAGTCCTGGTGCACTCTGCACAAACAGTTTACTGCCTGTAATTCAAATTGTTTCCTAGTTAAAATATGCATGGTCGTCCTTAGTGACATTATAACAGTTTAAAGCAGGTCTAGAAGTGCACTCCTCTGAGCTTCTAACACTCACCTTCTCCTTCCATTTTATCCGGACTCCTGCCCCACACTATCTGCCTGGTGTCCTCCCTGATCTGGAACGTTTTCCTCTCGGGCCTCTGGGACTTTTTCTGGTGGAAGATGGTCATCACTGTGCCCATCTCCAGGCTTTCGAGGATGCGGGGCCCGACCTCGGTCCAGTCCAGCATCCTGGAGGCCATGGCCGGAGCGACGGCACCGCAGGCGGCCTCTTCTGCGCAGCCATTGAGGCAGCCGCTGAACCTGGCTGCGCACATCCTCACTGCATAGCTGGGATGAGGATCACTGATCTGCTGAGGGGGCTTTAATTATGAGCAGGATCCAGGTCCTTCAGCCAATGCACATAGGAGCACCGCTATCTAGCATATCCAAACCCACTGGTGCCAGGAGGGAATCTGGGAATCTCAGGACAGCCAGCGTGATTACAACGATAATTTCTTAGGGAAAAAGCAAGCTAAAAGGCATCCCTCAGCAGCAGCCGCAGAGCTGACACGCCAAAATGTCTGAGATGTGAATTATGCTCTGGTCCTCCAGAGGGGGAGTGGATCCCTGTGTTATCCTTTCCAGATGCTTCTGGCAGCACACCAGTGAAATCCACTCAGGGTTAGTTCTCATCACCGCTGGGCTCAGGTTTCCACCCAGTTCGCGTTTTCCTTCTGGTCCTCCCGAGTCCACGACGGCAGAGAAAGGAGCAGCGCAGCCCCGCTGTAAATACTCCCTGGTCCCGCCGCCGCCTGTCGCCGCCGCTGGGGTGATAGACAGAAATGTCCCGCTGCTGGGTTCAGCAGAACTGAGTCAGAACGAGGTGACAGAAACACATTTCATTATGTAATGAAGCGTCTACAAACACGCTGAGGCGGGAGCAGCAGCTTGGAGTAACTGTGACTGGTTTAAAGTCCCCGGCTCGGCTCCTCCTCGTCCGGGACTCGATCCTGCGCCTCCCTCGGTTCCAGCAGCAGAGGGCTGAAAGGAAACCGGGGCAGGCAGACCGGAAAGACTCGCTCAGATTTTTTGTTTTCCTCCCCTCCTTTTTGCTGCTGCTGGAAGGATCAGACAAATACACCTCGCTGCAGCAAACAGAAAGGGGCGGGGACCGACCTCTGTCAGTCTCATACTTTGTTTGGAAACGGGACAATAGCACTCCGGATGTGAAGGGGGCGCAATTTCCTATGTTAGGAAGAAAATCTGACTCTCAGGATGTATTTGAACTTCTTTCTTTTATTTACGTCAGCGCAGCTCACAATTTTTGAGAAGGACCTGTACTTGCAATTTTTTTTTAACTTGCAATTTTTTAACAAATTCCGTAGCTTTCTAAATCTGCTCCTTAGTCGCATCTTTTCGGGCTTGCTACTGCCTCTTGTGGCGAGGGGGTGGTAGCACAACTAATACAATTACATCACTAAATCAGAAGAGCAGAGACTTTATTATTTTTATTTTAACCGTAAAAATAATTTATCAATAAAACAATTTTTGTATGAAGCTGAACTACGACTGATGCTGCTTATTTTCCACTATTTCAATATAGCAACACCACAACACTGGCGACAAGGATGTCTATTTCTGTGCCTTCACCTGCTCCATTCATGCCATACCAGGGGAACCATTTCCAACATGGCTAAAAGTGTTCGACAACTACATGTTTGGTGGTAGCTGCATGCCCGGGGTACAGGGGGCCAAAGGCTTTTCTACACGTTTGCTACTGCTATTGCTGCCTTCAAATAACATTTTGTGCCGTAGCTGAACGTCATTGGTGAACGACACAAGTTTCGAGAACGAGCAGAGACCGGATGGTAAACCAGTTCTTATCTTCTTTACGGGAGTTGGCTGCTACATGTGATTTTGGGAACAGGGAAGACCAAACACTACGTGATCAGCTGATCGAGAGTGTTGCTAATAGCCTACTCGCATAAGAGAAAGATTATCACTTGAACCGGACTTAACACTTGCTAAAGCTACGACATCGGCGTTGCAATTTGGAAGTTCATAAACAGATGCTGACGTCCTTTCTGGTGCTACTGCTGCTCGCGCTTCTGCTCCAGTTATCTCAGTTTAGAAACTTCTTGTAAACGGATGTTATTGTCTCAAAATGTGGGCTTGTATTATTTTGTTGTTGTTGTTGTTGCTCATCTATTCATTGTTTCGTTACTCCTCCTATATCTCCAGTGATTCAGCTGCAAAGTTGATCAGCTGAAGTGTGAAGAACTTTGTGTGGTCAGTACGACACAAAAAAGCACCATATAATTTCAGGTCGTTTACATATCTGATCAGTATATATCCATTATAATTTGACATTTACACAATGCATTTTTGCCCCTCTACCACAATTAGTTCATGTCTATTAAACCACTTTCTTCCACTACTGGTACTTAACTTTAAAATGGATGTCTCCCAGCATCTGCACAATTGTGAGAAGGCTGTAAAACAGCGCACATGTGAAGTGTGTGAGCGCCAACTGATCCATCTCAGGGGGACGAGTCGGTCATGGATGATATCATGTCCTCTCCATGTCTAATAGGCACCATATGTCCACTGGATGTATGTACTGCTGCTGGACAAGAAGGAGACCAATCAGGTTTGAAACAAACTTTCTTTATAAAGAGGAAGCAGGAAGGGTGGAGAGCCTATGTTGGAGTTAAGAGAGATGATGGACCTCCAATCTTGGAAGCCTGATTCAAAGACATGTGTAAAATTTCTATGAAAAGAGCACTGTTCTCACATTTAAAACACATTAAGTAACAGTATTGTTCTGCTACCACCAGAGGGCAACAAAGTCCTCAAACTGGAGGCAAGAGGGAGGACATGGGCAAGAGAAAACCTTTGAAGCTGCAACTTTCATTATTAGACAAAATAGAAACGTATTAAAATAAATAATACTGTCATGTCTACTTGACGTAAGCTTACAAACATGGTTCTAGAGTTTGGAGGTACTGATGCCAGACTTAATCAAAAGCCTCACATGGTCTCAATTTACGCTCCTCAGCAGATTTAGATTAATGGAGCTTTAAATGAAAGCGCTCAAATGTTTTGCTGTCTTGTATCCTTCAGTGGAGCTTTTTGAGGACACAGTTGATCTAAACAGTTGAAGACGTCTGGACCAAACTCATATCTTTGCAGAATCTTCAGGACAAATGTTTGAAAGTTTTTTCTAAAGATGTCATAAAAAACTACATCTCTCTGCCTCTCACTTTCTAAGTTGGTTCAGTTAGAAACAGAATTTGATGCAAACTCTGCAGAGACGGTTTAGATGACGCATGAAGTTATTTATGATGAACATAAACATACTGCGTTTAAACAACACTGGGTTGCATGGCAAGATGGCGCATGTAAGCTGCAAAACATTCCTCTGCATCACAACACTCCATCAGTTCGTCTTAATATTTTTTTCTTTTACCTTCTTTTCTATAAATTGTCAGCTTTTACTTTTGGGAAGGAAATACTTTTTCTTCCATTTCTAAAGTTGAAAGCACTTCTTTCATTTGAATAGAAACTGCTATGTTTACATAAGAATTTGAAGTGAAAAGGGTGTTGGACCGGTATTAATATTCAATGTTAACATGTAATATTCTAATCTTAAATGTTGTCTTTTCATTAGCTGTATGTGGAAAACTCATAATGACAAACAAGAGCTTGAATACATTTGTTTATTTTATATATATATATATATATATATATATATATATATTTTTTTTTTTTTCGCTTCTGTACTTAGTTACTAAAAAAATTTTTTTCAATAATGTTCAGACTTATTGAATATGACTTTACCCAATGCCACAAACACATTTAAGGCTATAAGTCTTTAAATTAGACTCAGGCTAATTTCATATGTGCTCTTAAGCTGCCTGTCTGATCTTTAAATTAACAGGTTGCCAGATTTTGCGTTAAAGTAGGTGGGAAGTGACATGATCAAAATTAAACAACAAACTGGTAGATGTGATAGATGCTCCATTTATTTTACATGTTCCTATCAAAATATTTAGAAACATTACAGCAGAAAGTCATGTATTGTATCAGCTCAGATTGCAGAACTGCTCCAGAGCAGATACACACTGCGTGTTGCAGGTAGCATGTCTTGTGCGCATGCATATCAATTCAGGACCACAAACGTTTTATACTGCAGTGAAAGTCACATGGTCCGCATTAATAATCCAAACAACGCTGCCACTAAAAAAATGAGAATGTTGACACCTGCAATATGAGCGTAACCCAAGTTACACCGCCCACTTTGTATTTACCAGATTTTTATAAAACATTGTAAAAGCTAGCAAAAACATATGTTGAATAACAAAATGATTTGTTTATTCCCACAAACCCTGACCCCCCTCTACTCTGTTCAGTCGAGCTTGAGATAATTAGTGCAAGAGACCAAAGTCAACTTCAGCTGGTGCACATTGGACTGCGAGGCACTTTGGAAACAAACAAACAAAAAACATCCTTAGTTGGCTAACAGAAAGTTGCTGTTGCTATTGCTACCTTTTTGGAGCTCTGTAACCAAGTTGTGGAGTTTTTCTGAGAGCGCCACCTAGTGGGAAAGAAAACCATCTGTTTAAAGTCCTTCGAATGAAGAAAGTATGGTGCAGTGTTTTTATTTGTCTGTTTAGTGAGATTGAGAAAATCTAAGTAGATTTACATCAGATGCAGACCAAATTTAAACTCACTGTGTAAGAGTCAGGCTCCTGCAGCCTCTTATGTCGAGGGTGCAGGGTTTGCAGGGAGCTCTGGACCTTTGCTCTAGTTTCTGCAGCACTGCACAGAGGCTCTCTGACCTAGAAAAAATGGACACAGTTTAAGTAAGACAGAAGTCCCTTCTCAGATTGGATTTGTAAGAAAAAAATAAAAATCTTGTTTTGTACTGATTAATAATGTCCAGAAGATGAAATACTGAATAACTTGAATATTAGGACAAGATGTTAGATGCCATTTCGGTTTTTGTATGCTCTGTTAGTTGAGAGTGTTAATGAAATGATAGTTATGTCAAAGTTCCTCAAGGAATTTCCTTTGTAGATTGTGACAAAAAACTCAAACTCTACATCTTGTAAGAAAATAAACAACAACAAAAAAACAATTGGATAACTAAGTCTCATTGTTTACAAAAAAAACCTGTTGTAATAACATGTTTGGTTTGCATGTGGAGATGATTTTCTAAACCCTGCAAAATATAAAACCAGGGTTGCACGATGGCTGAATCAATCAAATTTTATTTGTATAGCACATTTCAGCAGCAAGGCATTTCAAAGTGTTTTACATCTTAACAAAAAAACCCACAAAGTCCTAAAGGGGGGTGGGTGCGGTCTTGCCTTTGCATCAACAAAAGGTTTACTGGTTACACTCCTACTGTGTTATATGGAACAAAATACCTATTGGTATTTTTATTCTCACTCGCACTCACAATCACGCAGTTTACAACAGTGTTAACAGCCTTTCAACAAGCTTCCAGCACGAGGCTCCATACACTTCTTTCACGGAATTTCGAGGAGGGACTCCATCGTCCCTCACGGATTTTTGTGCAATTCTATGGTACCTGTTAGAGTCTGGAATTTACAGGGTTTCTGTTTCGCGCAATGACCCTCATTCACTCGCCGTTTTGAAGAGGACTGGGTGTGGCTTCAGAGGACACCTGAAACTTATCATCTTTTTACATTTTTGTTTTTTTAATTTTAAGTGTTTGGGAAAATATTTGTGAAACTTTGATGTAAAGACTAACCTGCCCTTTTAGGAAGACTTCCTTTCGCAGACAGGTCACCTGAGCCGGCGTGACTGAAACAGATGAGTTATCCCCCACTAGAGGATAACAGGTCAATGTACACCCAGCCTCAGGAGGAGGCTCGACCGTCAGACACAACAAGTCTAGGAAGGAATGACCTGCAAGTGGAAACAAACAGGAAGTCGTGTTTGTAGCAAGATCTGGAGCAGCACAAGGTTCCACAAAACAAAAATACAGAGCTGCATGTGAGCAGGGTGAGTATCCTTACAGGCGAAAAGTGGAGTAAACATTCTGAATCTCACCATCAGCATCTAACAGTCGATAGATGGCTTTCCTCCCTGCAACAGTGCTTTTCTTTGGGTCCTCGCTGATCTTCATCCTTGGTCTTCCTCTCACCTCCACCAGCTTGGAGCACAAACATAACACAAAGCTCAACAAGATGGCGTCATCAGAGCGTGGTCACCCAGGGCTGAGAAATTACCTTATAGACGCAGCCCAGAGACGGCTGTTTGGTGCAGGTGACCAGATGTGTTCCGACGCCAATCACGTCTATCTCATTCTCCTGAAGCAAAACATAAAAATAAAAAAATTCAGAAACTTTCTATAAAAGATGATGTTAATAATAATGATACTTCAGTTACCTTCTTGTTGAGTTCAGCCATGCTTTCCTCTGAGATGTTGTTAGTCCCTACGATGATCAGAGAGTTAAATGTTGACACGGAAAACCTGCAGATGAGAGAGAGGCAATAGATTCTCCAAAATAGCCAAGCCAAACTTCAGAAAACCTACACAAGTTTCATGCACCTGACTTACTGCTCGCTGCAGAGTCGAAACACCCGACGGACTTCAATGGACTGCCTGCAGAGGTCTCCGCTGTCCAGACGGACCCCCACAGGCTTGTAACCCAGTTCACACAACGCCAAGGCCACTGCACAGAAGTTCAACAGTCCACTACTACAACACATAAAAAGAAATACTTGATTAACCAGGTCTCATTAAATATTCTCAGACACGCAATCTGTTACTAGTGAATATCAATAAGGAAGGAGATGTTTTGGGTGGGTAATTAAAGAAGCTGGTAAAAAAATAAGGTTCCTTTTGGTATCAATATTTTTTTGCATTGAACTAAAAGGAACTGACAATATAAATATTCATATATAAATAATTGTCTTATATCATTTTCCACACTTATCCTAAATTGAAAAACTACTTTAGCATTTTAAACAAAACATTTTTATTGTGGAAATATTTAATACTTCTTCCCAGTTTGATTTTTTCCCATATTCTTGATTTTCCTGTGTAGGGACCCTGTTTGACTTGGGTTAATCAAATCCCCAAGGAAGAGACCTCTATAAGTCTTAGGTAAGTTTTTTGACAAATGAGTGAGTGAGGGGCTGAGGAAGTTGACGCGAAATCATCCAATAACAACAAAATAAAACCCAGATAAGAGTATCGGGAGTTACCATCCCACGCTGTAGCTGTCAATCACAGGCAGGAAGTTCTGAGGGTAGGCGATGGCATAGGAGAGGAAAGCTGACAGCTCGCCCTCACGGATTTTCCCAGGCTCTGCTCCCAGCAGCTCACAGACTCTCCTCAACCAGCCTTTAGTCAGAGAGATGACGTCGACTGGATCGGGGTCTCCGTTCGCTGTCACGAGTGTCTGAGTGGGAACAAATACAGCAACTTCACTAAACAGTCAGAGCTAAATTAGACCTCAAGATGCTAAGGAACTCTTTAAACAATATGTTACTCAAATTACTGAAAGCTCTTCTGACAGGTATCTGATTTAAGTGTTATGCCCCAAATTCTTTCTTTTTGATGTTGACAAAGTAGTTAAAAAAAAACTAGTTGTTTCTTTTTACTTAAAAGTTTCTAACTGTAACATGACAAGTTTTATGTGACTTCAAAAAGCGCTTCCAAGCTATAGCAATGTATTATTGTACTGATCGTGGTATCAACCAAGAATGTCAGACACTTGTCAAAGAATTTGTAAATTAAGGTACAAGCACAACATTATAACTCCTTCCATTTCAAAATGACTGTTTCAACAATCAGTCCTGATACTTTAAAGATAAAAACTGCTAACATGAAGCCACTGAGATGGTGTTACCTGTGGGCAGACCTCGTCCAAGGAGTTGAAGGAAGTGACATAAGAGTGTCCTATTGTCCCCGCCACAGGAATCCCAAACAGGAAACCAGCCTGAACGTTACTGGTGAGATCAAATCCTGGAAGACAGATTGCTGGTGAGTCTCTGGAGGTGTTGGTTTTGGAAGGACCAGGCTTGTCCACTCACCTCCGATGTGTGTGTATCGTGAGGCGGTTAGCCCTCCGTCTGGTCCTTGTGCCCGTCGGAGGCCCATCTCCAGCAGCCTCCTTTGGTGTCCAGCCGCCAGGCGGAAACGAGCTGCGTTACTGCAAACCAGACTGAGAGGACGAAAGAAATAGAGGATGGGAGATTGAAATCAGGGCAAATTCAAGGAAATTAATCAGGAAGCAGAGGCTAAATTATCCTGTGCATAAACTATTTGGGCAGAAAAATAAAAAAGTTAAACCTTCGTTTGCATATGTAAGTTAAACATTTTTTGTTATTCCGGCTTACTTCCTGCTTAATGATGGATTTCATAAAATAGAGTGCAGCAAATATTATGTTAAGATACTGAAGCAACATTTGAATTCATCAGAGGAAGCAAAAGCTTTTTGAATCAACAATGATCCTAATAGCTCACTTCCACTTAGCGGTACGCAGCAGGTCAAAAAAATTTGATCTGTTTCTATCATAAAAATTGTTTTTACAATCAAACCGTGCAGTACCATTTCTGAGCCCACAAGGTCAAAAGGACAGCAGCATGGTTAAAGTGCAGCTGTTAGCATCACACATCTCAGCCAGTTGACTAGTAGTGACACAGTTGTCGTTGCACTAACTGCATTTGGGTTTAATTCCCCCAGCTCAATGAGAGTCCAACTAGGAATGGAAACAGCTGAAAAAAGCTGGACCCTAAAGTAGTATATTAAACTGCACTAACCTGTGCCGTACCGCTTAGTGGAAATGAGGCACAAGTATTCCCCAAATTAGTTACCAAGCAAGGTAAATGTTTTGGATGGATGGATCTATGTCAATGTGTGTGTGTGTGTGTGTGTATGTATTTATGGATGGATGGATTTCAAAGACAAAACTAAAACAATGCCACTATTGACAAAGGCATAAATGTGAACATGAGGCTGGATGATTTTAGATGCAAGTAAAAGCAGTTCTTTTATTCGCTGACCTAAAGCTGAAGCTTTTACCTCGCGTAATTGACCAGACACAGTAAACTGGTCTCCAGCAGCTGAACCACAGCCAGTGGACCCTCCACCTCCATTAGAGGCACCTGTAGGTGTGAGAAACTTGTCAGTTTGTTATGTTTCCTCCACCCTGACAGCAGCAGTTACAAGGCAGAAACTCACCCTGGCGAACACCACCGAACCCTCCGGGAGGGAGCGTATCGTCACGGCTGAACAGTCGAGGCCTCGCAGAAAGTCGAAAAAGGCAGGATCAGTGTTGGGAGGCAGGACGGAGCTCAGGAACTGTACATCTGTATCCACAAAGACAGCTGGAGCTTGACCTGACCTTTCTATTATGAGTCATGTGCTCTAATATGCAACATGGATGACCTGTAAGGTCATAGAACTGAATCTAATGAGCAGCTAATCCAAATCAGCAGACATGATTTAAATAAATCTGTCAGCTGCTGTAGTAAACTATTATTGAAAAAAATTCATCCCCTTTGATTGTTTTCACACAAACATGAACTTCATTGCATTTAATTGGGATGTGATGTAATACACCAACACAACATAGTGCATGCATCATATTGCAAAGTCAAATTTCTTTGCTTGATGCAACATTTTTATAAGAGTTGAAGGTAACAGTTACTTTATGTGCTATAGAATGATAATATAATATATAACATAATATATAATATTTTAAGCACTCCTTTAAATCAAGCTAAAATCCTATTGCTTGGAGTTGGTTGTTATTCCAACTGTTCATTATTTTTTCCTTATTTTGCCACTAAAATATAAATATTTTTAATCATGCAAAATACTTTGAATTGTCTTGTTATTAAAATGAGCTTTACAAATTAAGGTATTACAGTTTAATTCATTTTTTAAAAGCCTCCATCAGTAGCTTTCATGCACGCAGTATAATCTGTCTCTTTAGGGTACAGATTACTTCATCCACTGTTTGTGTCCTGTTTCTGCATGCTGGCCTCTTAATCTGTGCAACACACAGAGCAGTCTGTAGATTCTTCTTGGTGCTCGAGTTAAAGGTCCAAATCTGCAGAAATGCTACTTTGGAGTTCACGTTTTCTCACGCTGGGTGAGTTGCACAACCATCTCTGTGTGTGTTAACAAAGCGTCAAAGAAAAGACAAGAAAAGCCCCACTTCCTGATCCGTAACCAGAATGTAGCTGGTTCGGTGGGGTTGTTAAGGTTTAAGATGTCAACAATAGAAGGTAAAAAGGCTGAACCCTCACCTTGATCTGTGAGGCGAAAGCTCCGCAGGAACAGCAGGCAGTCATTCAGCCCAGCGAACAGCGAGAATCCGCCGCCGAACGGGTTGTCCCTGAAGAACATCTCGAACACGGCGGGCTCCTGGTGCCGGCCAGCCCGCCAGTACGCATAGGCCATAGTAAACTGGTACAGGTCGGTGAGCAGAGGCGGGACCCGCTCCCGGACCGAGCGCTCCATGAGCCCGCATGTGTCTGTGGACGGAGATGTCATGTTCCCCAGGCAGAGACTGAGCAAAGGACCCTTCCTTGTCTCTTGGATCTCTGGAACTTGCAGTTCCACAAACATCCACATGAGTCCAGCACCAACTGGTGAGGAACAGTTCTCCCTGTAAAAACACCAGATGCTGCACAGCTTGCTTTGGCATCAAGTTTGATAAATCCAAAAGCTTGTGGCGCAGGACGCCCGACTGAAATGTGCATTTAAAATAGAATAAACAAGGGCGAACCTCTCATAACACTCAAAAATATCCTTAATTATAATGTTCAGGTCTTTTTTTGATCAACTGGTTTCTGAAGGTCTTCCAGAGTTTTTGTTGTTGTTCTTTAGTACAGCTAACAATGACTTATGAATTCTTCAAACATGAATAATTTCTAAATCCCAAAGACGCTTTTAACACATCTTATTTAAAAAAAACTGTTTTAGGTATTCAGTCCTATAGGCTCTCAAGAACTAGCAGTCTGTTAAAGACATAAGTGGTTCAAAAGATAACAGATTTTAAAGAACCACCAATGAAAACTTCCAGTAGATGATATTCTAAACTATCCATTAGGTCCTGGATTAGGATGTCATTTGCTATTCATGTAATCACATAGTGCAAGCATCTGGAAAGACGTACGATTGGCATGTAGACTGAATATTTGAAGTATAACATTGTAACGCTTGTGGTGCATTCAATGGAGGAAACGGCAGACTCATCAGGACGGCCAAAAGCTCACAACCACACTGGTACTTGGAATTCCAGTGTTGTCCTTCACCAACCTTACAAAGCCCGGTTGAACGGCTGCTATATTATCAAACCTCAAAATGTTACAACCCACAACATTACTAAAGTTAGTGAACTAACATCATAGACATTAATCAGGTTGACATGTCCGTCTCAGTCCATATGTCGATCTGTAGCACGTTTCACTCTCTACAGAGAAGCAGTGGCACTTATTGTGACATCATTAGCAATACCAGAATTATTTTGTTCATATAAGTAATTAAATTTAACAGTAATTAATATATTACTTGAATCTTCTTTTGTTATGCTCTACACTTCAGTTCACGCCACCTTTATTTGGCAACTTTTTCAACATTTAGCAGTAATTTTGTTATTTTACAACAATGTGAGGACATAAAATAAGCAAAACAAAAGAGAAAATACAACCTTCATTTTTCAAATTGCCCCTTGGGGATTTGTTGTTATTGATTAAGACCAAACTCAAAGCGGAACAATGCAACACGAGATGCAATCTTATCACTGTACTGTTCTCTCACATGAATACACAGAGCTGAACTACAGCAGCAGCTTTTAGCTTGCCAGAGATGAAAACGGATACTTTAGATTTTATTAACAGTTTTGAAGATCATCTCAGCTTCCCCTGCTGTCCACTGCCATCTTCTATTGCTGGGAAGCATCCTGCCAGCTCATTGGTCAGTCTGTGCTTCTGTCCTTTCCACAGAAAGTGTGTGGGCTGTCCCGACTGGCCACTCTCTGGTGGATAAACAAAGCTGGGACTGAGCTCTATGGCCAGGGACGACCTGACCAGTCCGACCCCGCCTGAGCGCTCTAGTCCAGGATGATAAACCCGACCGCTGACTGGATGCATGTACAGCGCCTCTGGTTGGAAAGGAACAGAGAGCTTCTCTGCGCCGCCACAATACGAGAGCAGCTCCTGGTCTCCTGCTGGGTTGGGCAACAGGTGCGTGAAAACCACCGGCTTGTCGTCACAGCGCAGGAAGTTCCTCTCTCTACCGCACAGAGACAGGAAAGGAAAATTGTCCTCGTAACGCCCGCTCTGATTTATCCGCAGGCGACTGAAGAAGAAAACCAAGAACTGTTTATCTGGAAAAATGAGACAAATGCATCAGCTGCTAAAAATCTGAACAAAAATGGTATTTAAAGCGATAGCAGAGAGCTTAGTGTTAAACTGTGCTTAAATCAAATAAAATTGCACTAAAAGATTTTCTTCAGAACACTTCATGGAGACCAGTTCAAAAGGTGCTGGTAGTTTGCAGTTTTGCTGTCTTAAACCATTTCTGAAAAAATGAGCTGCCTGAAAGAGGCTTCCACATTTAAACTTGATGCCATTTCATATACATATTCACGTTTTATTTTTGTGCCCACTTTGATAAACAATTATCTAATAGGCTTCATACTATCTGCTCATAGTGTATTTGAATAAAATCTGGTTATCCCAGTATAAGTATTCACCAACAATCGGGCACCCAGAGCAATCTTGTTGTAATCGAGAGTCACTGGACCTATAGAGGATCATATAGAAACTCTGGGCCTGGAATTGTGAGAGCCAATCTAACAAATTTCAAATACACCAGAAACACCCTTACATTAAGATATTTAAAATACTCTTAAATCTCTTGCACGGTCAAAAGTAAATAAATCAACCCTGTAGTGTCTCAGGAGGGTATCATCACTGTAAAACAGATGCCTAACATATAATGCATTTCAAAAATTATATTCCCTATGCAGAATTATGCAAGGTTTTCAAATAATACGACTTAAGCATTTTACTCACGTGACATCAGGACAGATGACTGGGTTTATAAGATCTACCTCTAGGGGGAAGTAATCTTCAAGATAAATCACTCAGAATTGATACAGAAAACCTGCTACTACAGAGCAAGTATTAATTTAGATTTTATTAATTCACAATAAAAAAAATTAGATCTCCCTGTTGTTTATTGTCTGATTGCTTTTAATTCTGACATATCTGTTCTGTTATCTGCCACTGAGACTGCAGAGAAACATGCTGTAATCTGGTGGACCAAATATTTATTCTCTGAGATCAAAGTTTTCTGTAAAGGATTCTACATAAACAAATAAAGAAAGGTAAATTTGAGTAGACTAGGGCAAAACGGTACCTGGGGACCATTTTGCAAAAACATTTAGTGGCAAATAAACTATTCCATTTATTCAGAATAACTGTCACTGGCTGCAAACTGTAGAAAGTTTTGAGTCTGAACATAATGTCTAATTATGTTTCACATTAATGGACATATAATATTTATGACGTTGACATTGGTTTCACTGTTATTTGGGATATATTTAACCACACACACACGCCTTACTCCGGGAAAACAACTAAAGCATCACTGCATTCATATATTTACCTTTAAAAGATCCCCAGACAAAAAAAAAGGAAAAAAACATAACATATTTAAACATCACTTTCTTAGCAGACAAAATAAAACATGCAGTCATATTAATGGAGCACTGAGTGATACTGGTAAACACTCCAAATATTTCCACAGTTTAGCCCATCCCTCTGCTTTAGAGATACTTAAAATAAGAAGCTCAAACCTTTAAAGCAGGTGACAAAGTTCTTCACTTTAGTGTCATCGAGAAAAAGCTGCAGACGTCACAGAAAACATAGTAAACAACTGGAATACAGTTTGTTTGAAACGTGTTGTTTTTGGCTAAGATAGATGCTCACCTGTCCTTGATGGTCGATGTAGTAGAAATACTCCCTGATGCGGGGTTCGGGACTCTGGCCCTGGATGTATGAAACGGTGCTTCTGCAGGTCATGAAGCCGCCAGGCGGACAACGAAGATCGGTCAGAGTTCTGCAGCTTCGCGCCGCTAACCGAAGGAATGTCATGACCGTTTTGACAGGCAAATGTCCTGGGTTAAAAAGCGGAAAATTTAAGACACACCATTCAAATGACGACTGGTTTGTTTTTCTCTTCAGGGAAGGTTATAACGCTAAACTTGTGTCCTCATGTTTTTGTTTATAGAAGAGTTCACGTATAGCTCACCGGAAGTGCTCATGTTTTGTGTCGCTGCCCCCTGCTGGACAAATTACTTTATAGCTTTCAGTAATACCAGCTGCCCTCTACAGGAAGGAGTGTTTACTGCAGTCAAAATCCGCGGATGAATGATAGGTCATAATTAATATAAACATGAAATGGTATTAAATACATAACATGTCAAATGTCTTTTTTTTTAGTTTTTCTAAATTGAAACAAACACTAACATTATTTAAATCAAACAACAAAAACGTTTAGACAGATAGTTAACTTCAGCGTTGTTTAGTTTATTTTGAAGAGTTTGTTTTTTCCTGCCCCCCCAGTTATTTTTAAGGGTTTTTTTTCTTGTTGGATGATTTGTGAATCCTAGCTGTACCGGCTGTACAGAACCTAATATATATGCGCCAGAGCTATTCAGGTTTTTAAAAGGATTTTCTACATTTAGCCTTTATTATCATATTTTCTTGACTCTTGTATTACCCATAAAACTTTGGTTGTAAGCATTTCTTTTAAATGTAAACTTTGATGTAGAGATTATGTCGGGGACATATTTTTTCTTGGTCCCCTAGTCCCACTTAAAGGAACTTTTTTTTTAGCACTCAAAGACATTTCTGAGACATCAAAGCCAGCATAAGCAGATTTATGCTGGCTTTGAAATTGATTTCTGACAGCTTCACAATCACTTTCTGCATAAGGCTTGGGTGTCATCATGCCTGGTCCAAACAGGCAAGATAAAACCCCTTGAAAAAGTCAAATTCAGAACTTAAGGTGAAATATGTCAAAAGTCACTCGTCCACCATAGAACTAAAGAAACTTTTCCAGCTCAACCCTTACGCCTTTTGTGATGTCACCAACTAAAACAGAGGATAATTAGGTGTTTCATGTGCTTTTTAAAATTCTGCAGTTGAAATCCATTCCTAATGTGGTTTTATTTTCAGTCTACACTGACAAATAAATGAATAAATAAATAAATACACCAGTGCATAGTATGGTGGTGTGAAAAAGCAGAGAATGGCTCTTTAGGGAGATTTCAATCACATAAACAACAAGATGGCTGAGACTCTGAGAGACAGTGCTGCTGCTGTTAAAAGGTCAACTCCTCCTTGAATCAGGGGAAGACAGAGGCTTCTTTGGCTTCTCAATCAGGACTGACAACACCAAACAAAGCGGCTGATTGAATAAATGTTCAGAACTTCCTCCAGAAGGCTCTCAGTCTGTGGCTAAAGCTCCAGCAGAAACCAACCTGATCACCTGCAGACCTTCCTCCTCCTCCTCCTCCTCCTCCTCCTCCTCCTCCTCCTCCTCCTCCTCCTCCTCCTCCTCCTCCTCCTCCTCCTCCTCCTCCTCCTCCTCCTCCTCCTCCTCCTCCTCTTCCTCCTCCTCCTCCTCCTCTTCCAGGTTAGGGTGGAGCTGTCTCTGCGTGAAACTCTCACAACACAGCAGGTGTCAGAAACGGCAGCAAAGTTGGATTAAAAACGGAATCTGTCGACCTCACAGTAAGTTAAAATTCAATAAGTCGAAGTTGTTCCGAACGGGTCGCTAAACTTTTGAAGCTAACGCCAAAAAATATCGTAAACAAACGCAAAAGGCTACTAAATTGTAGAAATGAAAAGTGTGTTTAGTTTACGACTGCGAGATTGGTTTCGGGTGTTGTATGTCGTCACTGGTCGTCTCTTAAATAATTGGGCTTTTTGCCTTTTTAACGTTTAAACTTGACACTGAAGTTAGCTTCCGATTCGGTGCTATTCCTGTACTTTCAGATGTTTTTAATCTCGGTATTAGACTAAAGGCTCGATACGTCACAAAGTGTTCTCTTGTTCTTATATTAAAGCAGAAATATTCAGTCTAGGTTTGACTAGTCACATTTTGAAATTAACTGCGTCTCAGATAATCCTAGTAAAACAATGATTTTGTTTTCATTTAAATAAAAAAAAATAATTACATTAAAATAAATCACTTTAAAAAAATGTGTGTGTATATATATATATATATATATATATATATTTATATATTTTTTTTCTATTAGGACCTTGTCTAAAATGGTTTTAATGTCCAAATTAAGTGTTGCTATTTCTTTCTCTTTTTGAAAATTACAAATAAATGAAAGGCTGCTGGCCGAACTGATGGCAATGATATTCTGTATGCATGCAAACTAAGTTGATTGTCCAAAACTTGAAAGTTGCAGGATAAATAAATCGTTTTTTTTTTTGTTTTTTTTTTATCCCGTTTGAGAAAACAAAAATCAACTTTTGAGGGTTTTCCATGGTTTCTCCCACTCATGTTAAAAAACACGCCAAAGGCCCAACCCAGTTAGGGCTGACCCCATTTCTTGTAGAAATTGTCCCACAATTCTGCCTGGCTGACTTACAAAAACAAACTAATAATTCTAATAAATTATAGTTGTCACTGTCATTATAATTAAACTTTGTAAAGTAAGTCAAAAATACATGGCAACCCAAAAAAAGTACATTTATCGAAATAAATAGCCCCGAGTTTAATTTGTCCTTCTAAAATATCATGAGTGAGTACGTTTTAAATGGCTAGAGACCGACGCCTGCCCTGATGAGACCGTCCTCAAATAAACTGGCAAAGAAGATGGATGGTTTGTTTTTCTCTTCAGGGAAGAGAAAAATGTTTTCACAAAGCACAACTATGTGACACATTTCTTTTTTGTTTGTGTTTGTATTTTTACTAACATAATTAAGGTTTCACAAAACACAAAGTACATTTTAAAGATTAAATTAGTCTTCAATAATTTAGTCCAGATGTGATCAGCCTTAAGTTCCAACGTTTTTCAAGTAGACCCACTATAAAGTCATCCTAATGCCTGAAAAAGCATTGATTGTCCAGTTTATAACTAAAGTGAAATATTCACATATTTGGTGTAGGATTTATAAAGAGTGTCGAATAATCAGTCAAGGTCAGATCGTTCTAAGTGTTTTGCATTTTGAAGTGAAACTGTTTAAAACTCGTGAAGATTCTTTAAAAGAGAGGAAATATTTATTTTTGTAGTCCAAAGCAAGAGCTACGAATCAGATGCGAGCTTCAGCGAGTTTTACGTCAACCTGAGTTATTTCCATCAACGGCTGAGGAAACTTTTGAATTTAAGTGATTAAAAAACGAAGAGAATTTTCTAGAGCGCATTTAACATAAAAATGTCACCTTTACAAGTAGTAGAATAATTCCCTCGTCATTTAAAGGTCATTTCCGTGTAATTTACGCTCGACAGGTATGAGTCAACCGCCCCGTTCCGACCGGGAACACCGGGCCAGGAACGGAGAGCAGCGGCGGCCCCGGGACAACAGGAAGTCCACTCCGGACAGGTGAGACGGTAGCACTGCTAGGAACAACTCTCTCTCCGGGCTTGGTTTTTAACAACTTTTGTCTTTACGGGATCTTATGAAGTCAATACTTTTGTAACTATTTGGACTTAATTTTATGTTTAGGTTTTTGGGTCAAATCTTTAAAATGACTGTCATTCCCTGATACTGACTAAATGTACTTTCGAATTTGGGAAAAGCTACCAAAAATGTTCTTTCTTGCCAGATTTTATGGTATTTAACAAATAGACATAATTTTGGAACTTCTAACTAAGTTAAACCAGACAGTGATAAAATCAGGTGAGCCATTTTATTTAGTGTTTAAAAATCTGGTTTCAACTGTATGTTGAAGTAATCATGTCCTTAATTTCAACATGATAAAAACAAATACTGATGTGTTTGACCATTTGTGCTTTGCTTGCCCAATATTACACAGGTCCTATGGGGCTGCATGATTTTAATAATGACTACACATTTTTCATCTGTTACCTTTATTTTATGGCTTATTTAAGTAGCTATTTAAGAATGGCTATTTCTTAAATGCTCTAGTCTACAGAATGTGAAGCTTAATAAGGAACAAGTTGTGTAGATAGTACTGGTTTATCTCATTTTAAACATCCATGTGAAATGAATCCTACAATCACACAAGCAGCAAAACTGATTTAATTAGCTTTTAAGTATTCAGTGTCTTTACTGTATGGTGTGAAGTAATTTCTCTTGGGGTCCTGAAGGAGCTACAAAACATCACTTATACCAATTCAAATTAGCAAATATTTATTTTTATTTAATTATGAAAAATTATTTATGTATTTTTTTGTCAGATGATCTAACATGACCTTGAACTGTTGTAGATTGTTGCAACAGTTCAAGTATGTTGGTAATGTTTTTCAGGAAAACACGTCTTATTTTGTCAAACAATAGTGGGTTTTATTTTTTTTTATTATCAAATGACAGAAATAATTTTAATGTTTTGCTCAACATAGTCTAAACAGAAGATTGATATTTCCTTAAGGACAGGTTTTACTTCAGCAAAGAGGAGCTGCCTAAAAGAATCTTGTCATGTTTAATTTGCTGTGATCTTCAAATCTGATGACACATTAGCTTGTGCTGGTAATCTGGTGTAGAGCAGCAACTGTTGGACATTTATGTTTGATCTGCATTGTCCCTTTCTAAACAAAGTGTATTGGTATTATTGTCTTGATCCAGAACTATATGGTGTTCCCAATGAATTAAAACAAGAAAATGCTTGTATTCACCCAGACAAACTGTATGGGAAAGTAATTAATGTTATATATGTGTTCCAACTCCTTTACTGCCCCCCATTATAGCTCCCGTGAATTTGAGCCTCCCTCCAGGTATTCGAGGGACGTTCCCCGGATGGAGCACCAGGCCTCCAAATGTACCAACATCTGTTCCCGGAGAGGTATGCAGACTCTCAGAAGAAATATGTAGGTCAAATAAACCAAAAGCTGCTGTGAAGGCAGCTGCAGCGGAAGATTCACCAAGCTTCAGTATTTCATGCTGTGAAGACCGGTCCGACCGGTTTGCTGCTGGGCTCTGTTCTGAGTTTCAGCAGACAAAGGTTGTTGCTAATTCTAGGAAGAAGCCAAGCTACTCTGAGACTTTGAGAGGCTTTTTCTCCCCCCCAAACTGATTTACAATGCTGTGAGAGGTTTTTTCTTCCTTTTTGTTATGAAGCCAATTGTATTAACAAAATACAATAAACACAAGTTGTTTTTCAAGTTACAACTTTGTGAAGTTGTAACAAGTATCCAGACTAACTCTTAAACCCGAGAAGTGGTTATACCAACCTTAGCAGCAACAAGCACATTAGAAAAATTTTACCCATTTTTCTTTGCATAACTGTTCTAAATTCAGCCACATTGGCAGGTTTCCAGCCTGTTTAAGGTCATATCTTAGTTTTTTATTCAACTTTAAGTCCAGACTTTGACAAAGCCACTTTAATTTGGCAACCCAGAGGTGTTTCTTTAATTGTTTTTACTTTTAACGATGGAACCACTTCACCTTCATCTTTCTCGTCCTGGCCAGGCATTGTGCTGATCTGCTCCGTCCTAACCAACGCCCTCGTCCTGATCTGTGTGGTTGCGGCCCAGTTGGTGATGTCGGGCTTGTCGTCGATGGGTGGCATGGGCGGCATCAGCATCAACAGCAACTTCAACATTCAGGGGACCGAGCTGCAGCAGCTGCGAGATCTGGACATGCAGTACAGCCAGATGAGGGCGCCCGGTATCTACGGCGGCATCGCCTTCAGCCTGACCTTCGGGGTCGTCTCACTGCTGTTCGTGGTCGCCGGGAACAAACCCGCCCACCACATGAATCCGAAGCTGCTGGTGGGGGCGTTGGTGTTCCAGGCAGTGGGCGCTGTGGGCTACGTGGTCGCCGTGGGCCTCTACCTGCACTTTGTCATGCAGGTCAACTCCACAGACGTGTGCAAGCAGCGACAGAGACTATACTCGCGGAACGGCTACACCTGGATGAACTGTGACGTGAGCGGGGCTGACGCAGCAGTGGCGCTGTTCGGGCTGATCACCGCCATTCTGTACACCGCCGGGACCGTGCTCACGGTCCAGACAATCAGGGGAGTGAAGCACTACCAGCAGGAGAAGAAGAGGCGGCATGCAGAGAAACAAGAGGACCGGGGGAACCACCACAGGGCCCCTTTGAGGGCAGACACAACATCAGTGTGAGGCTGAAGGTGTTCAACCAGCTGGGTTCAGATCGGAGCCGATCGAGAGAGGAGGACCGATTTATAACGAGATCTGAAACTGATTACCAAAAATCATGACTCCTGACATGAATGTGTTCACAGTGAGATGACGTAGTTCAACATCTGGCAGAAACTGATGAGTCACACATCATTGACATTCAACCCAACACTGATCATAGTTGCAACTGACTCCTTTTTCTGATTGGAAAATCCAGTCGTTCAGGACAAGTGTCTAATATTAAGATTATTGACACCATCAGTTTTCAGCTTATTTAACTTCATAGAATCAGCTGCAGAATTACTTCCTGTTTTTTATACCAATCACTATAAAGGAAGTATGCATGTTACGTAAAGTCTTGGAGCCATGTGATTTACAACAAATACAAAGAACAAGCAGGAATCAATCGTGAAGCAAAATAGGATGTTAACTTTAACTGCTTGTTTTTCACCTATTGCCACTTTTAACTTTCAGATTTTTTATAAAACCCAGGAAATACTGTAGATAAGTTTTTATATTCTGTAAATACTTCTAGTAATTGTAAAACATGTTCCTCGCGTTTATGGTGTACATGTTTGTTTCTCAGTGCTTGAAATTCTTGCAGTTGTGATGTTTGACTTTTTTTTTTAATCACTTTGACCAAATAATGAGCTCAAGAATCACTGGACTTGTTTTTAATGTGGTGGCAGTTATAGAATTTGTTTTTAATTACAAATTTATTCTTTTGTGTTTCTCTAAACTATCAAGTGAAATTAAAATTGATGTGATTAAAGACTTGTGATGTTTGCTGCAATCCTTGGTCCTGTAGGGGGCGTCATGACTACCACAAACAGGACAGTGAAGCGACTGTTCAAAGGCTTGATTACAAACAAAACAAACTCCCACTTCAGAGGATTTTTAGAAAACAGAGCAGCAATTGTTACAGCAGAGGAAAGGCCAGATATTGTGCCTTGCAGAAGTACTCAGACGTCTTAAACGTAACATTTTCTTATGATACAAACTTTATATTTAACATGTCAGACCAACTCAAATCAGTCCCTAATAATGAAGTGGATGGAAATCTACAAATAAATATCTGAAAATTGCCACAAGAACATGGGTCAACCATGTCACCTTATTGAGATTAGCTTTTAGAAATGGTTTTTAGGTGTGTGCAGTCACAAAGAAATTATTTAAAAGCGTCCGTTTGTCCTGTTGACATTTTTGCCACAACATGGAGAACACCAAACCTGTGGAAGAAGTGTCTGGTCAGAAAGGGACAGAACTGGACTTTTTGGCTTGCAAAATGTTTGTGCAGGAAAACCAACATCTACTGGGAAGATGTGGAAACCAATAGATGCTATAAATAGCAACAAAAGGTGGCGGCATGCAAAAGGGTTGCTGCACTTAAGATTTTTCTTTTGCAAAAAATCTCAACTATATCCTATTTTTGCTTTACAACTATGCAACAACTGTGATTTAGTATTTGTAACGTGAATAAATAAGGAAAAGTGTTGCTGGTTCTTGTGAAATTCTGCAGGCCATTGTTGAAACTAAAAACTTCAGAGAAAGAATGCACAACGTAAACATGCTGCAGTTATCTGAAAACTTTATTGTTTAGCAAAAGTAGGTCTCTTGTTGTGCTGCTTGCTGTACCGCTGCTCTGAGCTGTTAGTAACTAGAAATGTTGCAGCGCCACCTACAGAACACGGACCTGGAACGTCACCAGCCTTCAGGAATAATCATCTTTTCTCTCAGAGAATATTAGTTAAGCCTCAGTGACTAAATAAAGTATTAAACTCCTAGGAGTTAGTTAAACAGTTCCTAACTCCGACACCTGTAAGGCCATGAGCTGCAACCCGAATGCTGGTCCAGTTCTTAAAGTACCGTTTAATGTAGAACTGATCTGAAAAGCTACTACAACAAAAAGTGCTTCTTCATATCATAGATATGGTAATAATCATTTACATGTGAAGATTTAAATCAACATAAAGTTACAAAAATTGCATCGTGTTTCACGGTTTGTTAACAGTACAAAATAAAGTGGGTCAGGAAACCTCAAAAAGAGTTTCTGGCCCAAATTGAATTCTGAGTCCGCAAAATCAAAGACTCCTCCCTCAGTGATGCTGAGTGATGATGATGGTGGTGATGATGATGATTCGGACAGCAGCAGTCAGAGCGGTGTGACAAAATAGTCTGCAGGTCTCTGATAGGTGTGTGTCTGCATCTGCTCCTGCTGCTGCTGGATGATCTGCCGGACCTCCTCCTCCAGCTCCGGTGGGATGATCAGCTGGTCGTCTGGGTCAGGCTGGGCGGGGGCATTGAAGTAGCCCCCCTGCTTCCTGATGGGGGCGTCTGCGGCCTCCTCAATCAGATCCTGGCTGCGGCCCTGGCAGGCGACTGAACCGTTGGCCCGCGCCCGGCGGCCCAGCGTGGCTGAGCGGGCCTCCTGGTTCGGGGAGGGCGGCGGGATGGGTGAGGGAGACGGGGATGTGAGGTTGGGAGTTAAGAGTTCGTTACCAGAGACAACGGGTTTGTATGTGCTTGTGGTGTTGGAGTGAGTGGAGCCGTGCCGGAGCAGGCAGTGGACATCTGCCTCCACCTCCACCCGGCTGCCGTTGGAGAACACGCCGGCGATGGGCTCCTCGTCCTCACTGTCCAGCCCGTTGTCCGACAGCGCTCCGGAGAACTGCCTCTGGAAGCCGCCGCCCCCAGCAGCAGGTCGGCGCGCACCGATCCGGCCTTGAGCGTTCAGATGGGAGCTCAGAATCTCCGTGGGCGGTGCCGGTGGCTCCTCTGAGGACGCTGTGGAACCCACTTCGCTGCTCATCTCAGAAGTGCTAAACTCGCTGCTCAACTCGCTCACGGTCCCTGAGGAGGTGGGCGGCAATGGAATACTCCCGTCGCTGCCGGAGGCGAAGGGATTCAGAGCAGGCTGGGCGGCGGGCCCAGGGCTGGGCGGAGGAGGGGGCGGCTCGCAGAAGCAGCAGCAGTCCTCTGTGATGTTGAGCTGGACGACGACAGCGCTGAGGCTGTCAGAGCAGCCATAGCTCTGGGCCAGCGTCACCAGCTTCTTAGCCGCAGTGAGAGCGTCTGGAACGTTCCGCACCGCCTCGATCGCCTCGTTGGGAGACAACAAGTCCCACAGTCCTCGGCTGCCCAGGAGGAAGAACTCATCCTGAGGAGTGAGCGTCACCATGGAGAAGTGTGGGCGGGGCGTCACAGAGGGACTGAGGAAAGAGTATCCCATCATCCTGGTAGAGTCGGTCACACCACTGACCTTGTTATCCTGCAGAGACGAAAACAGACATGATAAAAACACAGCGTCTGATCACACGTAATAAGAATAGTTATTATTGTAAACTATGTTTAAAATATTAAATAAGGACTCAATGTTTGAGCAATGGAAGAAAAATTATTTGAATGGAAGCAAAACGATGGAGTTGAGCTAATTTAATCTCACTCAGCATCCATACAGATTTACATCACTTTTAGATTTGGAAAAACTATGAACCACCTTTGATTTCAACCAAACCATGGATGTTTTCGACGTTACCTCTGTGATGATGGCGTTGTGCTGCCGGACCCTCTTGTACTCGGTCTCCTCTCGGACGGTGTGGACTTTGGACAGCAGCAGCGCTCTCCCTCCTCGGCACAGTACGGCTTGGCAGCGGCCCACGTTGGCCGCTTTCAGGGTGAAGCAGCTGCCTGGCTCGCCAGGCGCCACCGGGTCGTGTCTGATGTGACATAATGCTGCCGAGCCGCCCATCTTCTGACCGGCCGTGCCCAGCTTCCTGCAGACGCCACAAAAAAAAGCAGTGTCAACAACAGCCAGCTGCTTTCTTCCTTAATGAGGAGTCCGGTGAGGTTTACCGCTGCATGGTGAGAAAGGTATTGGTCATGTAGTCTTCCTGCTTTGGCCCCCGGTGCAGCTCTTCGGCCAGAACATCTCCCATAGTGCACTGCAGCAGGTAAGGCACCTCGACGTTCTTGTCTCCATCAAAGACGCCATACAGAGCTTCTCGCATCCCACAGAAGGTGTCCTGGGCCAGAGCGGCCACACACAGTCTGAGGACGACAACAGTTCATCAACAGAGATAAAAGCCAGGAAACACTTCTAATTCTAGACATTCTAAACAAACGAGTGTAAAATAGAGCCAGGAATTAAAAACTGACTTGTTTTTGACTCCGGAAGCCTCTGTAAAGCCGTGACTCCACACTGCAGGGACGCCGTGGCTTTCGCTTGCGGCAGAAGCAGACGGAGACGGATCCACCCGGAAACAGCGTATGTTGCTGCAAGAAGAAAAAAAAAACATTTTTTAAAGACAGTCCTGTGTCTGAAGGTTTCTGCTGAAGATTTTCTGTCCATACTTGAGGAGTTCCAGGCTCTTGTGGTCGAGGTTGAGTCGAGGGTTTCCGGTGAGGTCGAGCTCCAGGAGTTTTGGGGGAAGAACCTCAGGCAGTGTGACCTCTGTCAGCTCGTTGCAGCTCAGATCGACGCACTGAGAATGGCATGGCGAGAGCTCAACATGAACGTGATTCTTATTAGATTCTCCGATTTTAAATTTTTGCCTTTGTTTGGATGTTTAAGGACATGAACAACAGCCTAACTACAACAGTCAGCTGCTGTAATTTCACCCAAAAGCTTTAGCTAATGTGAATAAGTGGAACATAAAAAATGTTTGAAAACAAAAGCATTCACTATTTAAATTTCCTTAAATTTGGTTTCTAAATGATAGTTATTTTATGGATATAAAAATGAATATTTTCAGCATTTTTGAAGCACTCTAGATTGATGCTGGGATTCCTCTGACGAACCTTAATTTCGGGCAGCTGCAGCACCTCTGGGAAGGTATTGATGCAGTTGGAGTGGGCGGACAGCGTGTGCAGCCGCCGGCAGCTCAGGATGGTGGTGGGAACGGCTCTCAGTCGGTTGCCGCTCAGGTCCAGCTCCTCCAGCAGCTCCAGCCGAGCCAGTTTACTGCAGAAAGAGGAGAAAATGCTCTACTGTGCCTGACATGATAATTGACGTGCTGAAACTCTAAAAGAATAATTTGATATATTTACAGAGACATGTTTATTGCGTTGTACCTGGCAGTGAAGGTTTGAAGCTGGTTGTAAGCGAGGTGCAACACCCTGAGGCGGCCGTGTCCCGTCAGCAGAGGGATGCATTTGTCTGTCAGGCTGTTATTGGTCACATACAGCTCCTCCAGGCTGCTGCAGGAATCATCTGACAAGCTGGCTGCAGGCAGATCGTCCAGCTTATTGGCCGATGCATTCAGGTAGCGCAAGCTAGGATGAAATCCAGAACACAGAGTAATTACTACACTTGAAAAATTGAACAAAACAATAAAAAAAGCCAGAGAAATGTGAGGAGAAGAGAGCCACCTCTGGGCTTTGATGAACAGGCTGTGGGGGAGCTCCGTCAGGTGGTTGTGCTGGAGATCCAGGACCTCCAGCTGGGAACTCTCCAGCCTATCAGGGAGCATGCATACGTCATTCCAGCCTGCCAGCAGCTTCCTCAGACTCCCACTAGAGAGCAGCCTGTCACACAAACACAGTCGGGTCAGGCTGTGGACTGTAAAGCTGTGAGTGGAACTCCAGTTTGTTGCTAAAGTTCAATGAGTTTAAACACTCAAGAGGGACCAGCAGAGAACAGAAACATGTTCAACACAGCTGGATCCAGATTCATGTTTCCGTGTCTATATGGAAACTGAAATGAATCATGTAGATTGTGGCCAAACAGACAAACTGTAAAACTGTTTCTCCAGAGAAAGCAGAAAGTTAAGAGTTTGTTCTTCAGTTGTTTAGTGGTGTGGTAGAGGCTCAGGCTGGCTACATAGAATATAAACAAGCAATGATGTTGCACTATGATTAAATGAAAATAGAGAAGGTAACATTTCAAAACAAAGTCAAACATAATGGCTTGTTCAAATTGGTCTACAGCAGAGACATTGCAGAGTTTCTAATGGGCTCGACCAGATGGAACAGAAAAAGATGCAGTTCCATATTAAGGAAAATATAAATATGATACTGGAGTTTTATTTGATTGTATTTATAACTAATATATCAGTATACATAAGTGAACCTAATCTTTTTATTTTCTGCAATCTTGTCTTTTTGTATCCGCTTGTACACATTAACGTCATTTTAATCTGGGACTTTACTTACAGATTAGTTATTCTTTTTCTAGGACAGAACAAAGGTGTAACTGTGCTGATTTTTGACAAGAAGGTAAACTTGAATTTATTATGTATATTTTATACTGTGTAGATAAGGAAAAGTCAAAAAGAGTGTTAAATTCCTTAACTGTGGTTCGAATCAGTTTCTAGAGGGTTGAACGTTGGACACCAACAGGGAAACGTCTTTAAAAAAAAAAACAAGCGCAAACTGGTTTATTGGTTTGCCTTAAAACCAACTCAACCAGTTCAGCCATAAAGTTTGGTCAAATGTTTAGCCAGAAAAATACCAGAAGCTCGTCCATTGCTACAAAGTGTGCTGAATGTGCAAGTTCCAACTGAGAGACATTTAACCAAACATTAGAGAGGATTTATGTTTCCATTTCAGTCTGGATGCATAATTTTAATCCTGAGTGGATTAAAGAGAAAAAAAAAAACAACTAGTTTCCACAAAGAGGTCATTTGGTTTTTTGAATCGAAATCTGAAAGTTTTCCAGAAACCACTACGGTTTTAGGAATCTTTAACTCAACCTTTCATCATTTTTGGTTCATTAGATCTTCTTCGGTGGCTGTGTGTGGTGTGTTTTCGTGCTGCTCACCATACGGGCAGCTCGGTGATGCAGTTATGGTTAATGTCCAACACCTCCAGTCTGCTGCTCTGACACAGCCAGTCTGGGACACCTCCCAGCTTGTTCCTTTAGGAAAACAAACCCAGTCAGTGCGCAGCTTTCACACACTGTGAATAAGAAAACGAGGTGCCGACATTTTCCCTACCTGCAAAGATCCAGAACTGTCAGATTCTCTGGCACGGGCTGCACCTCAAGCTGCATCAGCTCTGTAAACACAGGCACAGCAGTGTGTGAGGGCGATGTGTCAGGCCTCGTCAGTTTAGGTCTCATAGTGATAAAAGTGTCAGTACCATTATGGCTGGCGTGCAAGCTCTTGAGGGCGTGGCCGCTGACTCTGAGGAGGGAGAGAGAGTTTCTGTCACAGCGCAGCAGCTCCAGCTTCCCTAAGCAGCTAACGTCCAGCTCCTGTAGGCCGGCGTCCCGCACGTCCAACTGGATGATGTGCTGCAGCTGCTCCCAATCAGCCACCGTCACTTTGTCAAGCCTGTTCAGTCTGAATTACAGCCACAGGGAGAAGAAATTATACTGTTCAATTAGATCTTTTTTAAGGATATATCAATTTATACCCAAGGGTATAAATATATATTTCAAAGGGTATATCAATGACTTTATGACTCAGGGTTCATAAACTGTATGAACTCTGAGTCTTCATCGAAAAGAAGAAAAATGACTTCAGGTAGTGGGAAAAAAGTGTGACTTTTTCATTAGGTCTGTGAAGTATCTGATTTCAACTGGAAACGTTTTCTAAATTAAGGCTTTTAATTAAAATTCAGATTGCATTTTATTACAAAACTGTGCAGTACTTTGGAAACCATGAAAGAGCTAATTGACAGGATTTCTGGCATCATAAAATGTAATTATTAAGAAATGAGTAAGTCTTTCTCTCATATTGTCTTTTACATGTTAAGTCAGGATTCCTTATCTTCCAAAGACTGTTTTAGAAGGTGATTGATCTTTTTACCTGAGATCTACATATCGAGTGTGCAGCCACTGCAGCCCAGCCATGTCCAGGACAGACAGCCGGTTCCCTGCCAGGCAGAGCTTTTCCAAGCCTCGGAGCTTCTCCAGGAAAGGAGGGATACTGCTGAAATAGTTAAAGGACAAGCCGAGGTAGATGAGGCTCTCCAGAGAGCCCAGCTCTGCAGGCAGTGAGCTTATAATGTTCCCGTCCAGGAGGAGAGTCTGCAAGCTGGCCAGAGGAGGAGAGGTAAAGGTTAACAGAGAGCACCGAAGACCCATATCAAAACAGCCAGCATTCGTTTTCCTATCAAATCCAAAGATATACTAATGATGAGCTTCGAACAAATATGGCTGACATAATATTTCACTTCAGCCTGATTCACCAAGATGGAAGCAAAAGTTGATTAATTGCAGCACTGATAAATCTAACCATCAGTTCCAAGTCTTTGCACATTAAAATCTGAGAGCATATTAGTTTTGGACGAATTGAAAACATAATCTTTAAAAGATTTCCAAAATAAAACTTCTCCAAAACAGGGTCTAGTTACAGAACAGTTACTCCCTGTGCCTCACAGGAAATTAAAAAACAAAGTTTTCCAAATTAAGGTTTTTAATTAAAATTCAGATTGCATTTTATTAAATTCTCACATAGATTGAGTTCTTCAGTTTTTTTAGCTCTTGGAGGATCATATAATCGGGCATGTTGTCGAACAGCCCATCGGTGGCGGTGAGAATTATGTCACCCAGCTGCACGTCAAATTATTTTTTTCCTACAAGATCCATGAAAATAAAAATGATTGTATTCAATGTAATAAAGGGAAAAGGTCTGATCTACTGTTGATTATAAATGTTTATTTCATAATTAAAGTAATCTAGCGTAATTATAAGGAAGTCTTTCTGTAATTGGCCATGTTTTACACTAAAGGAGCAGAGGCATTAGACTCATTCTTTAAATGAGACTGCAGAAAGTCTTCATATATTTCTTAATCTGGCATAAAGCATCATGTTCCATCATGGATGTAACTGGACCCAGTGACCCAAAAGTACTAAAAGAGCAGCTGTGCCATAATCTAACAGCATCTCCTTCACTCAGTAACAACTTCCACACCAAAGAGTGTGGTTAACCTAAACTTGGTGTAAAGTGTGGTGCATTCCCTGACAGAAGAAACGTTCTGAATTTTGCATTCTGGCAGAGTGATAGTTGATCAGAACGGTCAGCAACACTGATTGTTCCCCATCAGTGTTTTGTTTTCACATTTGTGATGTAACACCATGTTTGTACCACTCATGCAAGTGTGTTTGTGCAGACAATTTTTTTTAAAGATTATTTATTATATCACATATTGACTTATTAAAATCTCAGACTTTAACATTTAAAACTACTTGCAATAAAACAAACTCCACTGTGACAGTCGTGGTGCTTTCATGGTCTGCCGTCCAGACCTTGGTGTGTTGTTAAACATTAACTTTTCTGAGAAAATCTACAATGTCTGACAAACGGGTCACTAGAGATCCAGTTGGTTAAATTCCTGATGCAGCGATAGAATCAGCATGACTCTGCACTTAAGCTGGAATCTCTGCACTGTCAGGACACATGTTTGGTTTTCAGCCAAATCCTCGACTAATGCACAGAGGGATTATTCTGGACTGATGCCTCAGCATCAAAGTCTCTGTCAGCCGCATGCAGGTCAGTGAGGAGGCATTCTGCGCATGTGCAAAACGGTGCTTCAATGCTCACTGCGGCCCTCACTTACTTGTTCATGGTCGCAACTTCTGCAGGCAGACAGGAGAGACGGTTTCCAGACAGGTTGAGCTCTGAGAGCGAAGTGATGTCGCAGAGGGCCAGAGGAAATTCAGACAGAGCGTTATTTGACAGACTCAGGCTTCTCAGTTTACAGAACCTAGAGAGCAAAAGAGACAGACGAGTGAAACAGGGAGGGAAAAACAGACACAGAATTTTACAGATATTTATCTTTGCTATAATAGAACTCTGACCTTCTTCTAAATTAGGTAAAAACTTTTTGTATCTAATTTAATAGTTATAATTTCATTAAATCTCTTTGATAAACAAATTCACCGTGTATTTTAGTTTAAACCTGATTGGCTCAAAAAATCAGATTGAAAAATATTTAGAATTTCTAATTGTCTCAAATATTTTTTCATTATATATCCATATCTATTCAAGTATTTCGATAGAAATTGCCTCATTTCTTTCGGTTTATTCTTGTGTTGGTTCTTTTATTCCATGCAAGTTGTGCCTCCCTTACAGGCCTAAACTGATCCAGATTTATGGTCAGACTGAGGCTGGAAGACAGTCAAAGTGGAAAGTTGCTGGCAATCCACAATTAAAAAAAAAAAAGTAACTGGTGGAAAACCCTTTGTGGGAAGTTTGTTTTTATCGAGAAACAATACTAGTGTACATGTGAATTTCCATCAGCTTTCAGTGTGGAGCTCGTTCAACATTAAGTTATAATAAAGAGAGGTAAAATTTGAACACTGATTGGAAAATATCTGCTTCCAGCAATGTTTTACCAAAATTCTGATACTGCAAGCTATTAACAGATATACTGTGGCTCGTCTCCTCTATGTGAAAAATTCTGGGAACACAAACGCGTATAGAGCTGTAAAAATGTCTTCGGCTGAGTTGTTTTTATTCAAAACAAGTAGTCAGCGTCTCCCACCAAATCGACAGCTGTGTACACAAACTGTAAGATGAGCCCCGAAGCTCATCTGAGGAAGAACATCTTTGATGGAATCCAACCGACACGCTGCTTTCAGCACTCACATGGTAGATGACAACGTCTGAAAACGCTATATTATTTAGAACAGACTGGGGACGTTTCTTACATTACATTTACACTTTCTGTTCCAAGTTTCAGTTTCTATTCTGACCAAAAGCGAACAATCAACTTGTTCGCTTTTGTGGTTTGAAGAGGGAATTTTTCAAGAGTGCCAGGTTCAGTTTTATCAAGTGTTATGTAATTTCTCCAAAAGTAGGATTTTTCATGGAAAAACTGAAGATCTAGGTTTTGAATGGTTAAACGGCAAAAGGACTCCTAAACCTCACAGGAGCTGAACATCAGTAACTAATTCAGAATTTTTGAATAGATGCCCCCAGTCCCAAGAGGTCACATGATGTCGTGTCTGTCTGTCATCTCCACTGCAGCTCATTCAGAACCACAAGAGCATCATCTGTAATTTCAGCATAACTGCTTCCTCTTTCAGGCATGTGGCATATCTTCCCCCCCCCAAAAAAAACCCCAAAAAACTGATAACTGCAAACAGTTTCAAAGTGTATTGTGAGTGAGCTGAACAGTCTCACCTGGTGAGAGCAGGAACACCTTTATGCAGGGACATGAAGTTGTTCTTGAGGTTGAGGTGTGTTAGGTCCTGGCTATAGAACAGCTGAGCGGGCAATTCCTCCAGGCTGCAGCACGACAGGTCCACAGAGTTCACCCTCTGAGAGGCGATCTGGGTAGAGACGGCACGAGAAACGCGACTTAAAGGCCAGGAGAGAAGCTTGTGACATCCATCTGAAAGACCAATCTTTAAAAATTAAAGAGGTTTTCGTGAGCAGAGAACAGAAAATTGTTGCTTTAAGATGATCCCGAAACATTATGAAAGAAGTTTGACAAAAGTTGAGGTTTCAAATTGTGAAGAAGTTCAATTTTTGGAGTTTGTACATTAGAGGCCATCCTGTGCCAGCGCAGGTGCTCGGTGTACGAATCATAGCTGACGTAGTAGATCTGATTCTGGGGACCGGCAGAGCTGAATGCCAGACAGTGGCTGTGCCTCTTCACTTCTTCCACCTGAAACAAAGGAGGCATTTTAGTTCCCACCGTCTACAAGAAACGCAACTCTCCACCTGATCGAGGGATGAACCAGGGTTGTTTATGTACACAAGCTATGTTGATGCTTAAAGGCAACAAAAGTCCGAAGAAACAATATTTGCTGACAAAATATGCAGAGCTGTTACTTAAGAACTTGAACGATTAGAAAAAAATTCTAACTTTAGAAGGAAAAATATGTAATGCCCCAAACATCTCACTAAAAAAAACAAAAGATGAATTATATTTACAAACTAAAAGGGAAAGTGGGTAAAAAGCACCTACCCAAATCTAAGTAAACAAAGGGTGGAATCACACCAGCCCTGTTTATTCCACTGGAATGCAAATGTAGATGCATTCAAGGTTGCACTCTGAATCTTCTTCTGAAGATTCTGAGCGTCATGTCATTTCCATTTTTTGTATAGCACCACCACAGGTGAAGAGGAGTAACAGGCTTTTCAAAAAGTTTATTTTATTTGGCACAGTGCAGTGCGAAAGCAAAGCACAACAGCTGAAAATGTAACAAATGTTGCAGCTTTGGTCCCCAATTGAACTGAGACTACTAGACTACCAGGTGTGAAAACACCCTTACACTCCTGTGACAGTTTAGATGTTCCTGACTAAAAATCAGCAGAAAACATCTGACCTTTCCTCCGATGAGGGGCAGGATGTGCATCTTGCCCGTGTGGGCATGTTTCACTGATGACACTATGAGGCAGGTTCCACTCAATGTGACCTGACGCTTTGACCAGCGGTTCACCGGCAGTGCCAGCTTCCCTTTCCGCACGTTGAACACCCCAGAGAGCTGCACGCGCTCAGAACCTCCCACGCTGCGAGGCTTACCTGTTAGGACAGAGACAGGAGGGTTAAATGACACTGAACAGGATCATTAATGATCAGACTTACCAGCAGTTGAGAGCTTTTATTTATTTATATTTTTTAGTTCTTTGGGATGTTGTGAATTATCTCCCTCTCTGTGGGTGTCTCTTTCAGAAAAGGAGAGTTGTTATGTAAGAGAACTAAAGCTCAATAGGCTGCCACAGTGAGCAGTCACTCAGATGAGATTTGCTGGGTTTTTAAGCATTCACAAACACAAAACCAGAGTGCAAAAAACTTTGAGGCTAGCAACAGTTCCTGCAGTCCATTTAAGCCTGCGTGTTCAAATTTCTCTGCACTCACATCCACTATGTAACCTCTACTAAAACTGTCAGATCAAATCCACCAGGGAACAAGAGAAAGTGAGACCCATGAAGGGCCTGAACCACAAAGAGGCCTGAAATTAGATTAGCTTGTTACGCAACGTCTTACAACAGAAGAACCTCCGTTCTCTTGGCTGCTCCGTCCAGCGACAGAGACACACAGAGGGAGGGCAGCAACAAGGACCCCGCTCAATGAGCTGCACTTCCTTTTCTTTAGTGAAAATCGTGTGAAGCGTGAGTATTTCAGGGTGCTGAGTAAGAGGCAGAAAGCCAGTAAACACGAGTTTATGTGTCAACAAACTTTTGCCCATTGAGCAACAAATTAGGTAAAGCTAAATATGAAGATATATTTACACACAATGAAAATATCTCTCCCCCTTCTTTTTAGACACACATAAGGATTTAGATCATGAATGAGGACATAAAGAAAATTAAAGAAGCTACATAAAAAAGCTTTGGAAAAAACATATTGAGCCAAAAGCAAGATCTTTGTCTGATTAACAAGTCCATTCAGGGAACACTGCCTATGACACACAATCAAACAACTTGCTTTGTCATAAAACATTGTTGTAAAAATTAATTAAAAGATTGTTATGTTTGTTCCAATCTCACAGGGTATACATGATTTATTTGGAGCATTTTTAAAATAAAATCTTGCTTTCCACCTAAAAGAAAGACTTTTTTGAATTTTAATTAATGTTCAGAAATCTACTAAGGACACACATTCACCGTTTCACTTGACTAGTTGAAGACTTAATAATAAAACATATTGTTGGCCATCAGTGTTGCAGGGTGGGTACACACAGGAACAGAAAACACTCTAAACTCTGCTGATGCAAGACAACTTTTGAAACAATTTGCTTTAAATAGATGAAGCCTGACAGTTGAGTCCAGAAAACCCAAAAGATGTGCTTCTGCTGCATATTTCAAAGCATAATGAGGTTAAAAGTATCTTCTTTCTTTCAGATGAACATTTGAGGTTCCTGTTTCTATTTGAACAATACAGTGAATTATGTTTTGCGTGGATCCACCCTTCTCTGGGCGGTGTACACATGATATGTTTTGTTGTTACATGCCCTTTCCTTCCTTCTATTTCTCTGCTTAGAGGAAATTCTGCCTCTCATCAAGCAATTGCTAATTCTTCAACTGAACCTTTATTCCAATTCCACCAAGTATCCAACAACCTTCTTCCCTTTTGCGACAGAATAGCCAGCAACAACTTTGCCTCCAGATAGCGTTGAATTTCGAGTTCAGAACGATTGAGGAATCAATCTTCAACCTTGTGGATTATAGCAGCGTCCTCTGGATGGAGGAGGAGCCCTCGCCTCCAGCTGTCTCAGAGAGATCCGAAACACTGAGGAGGTGAAATCTGAGTTCCCCTAAGGTCATTTTCTCTTACTGTCAGCACTCTGTGAGTTGCTATGACAGAAAGAGATGTGTGCACATGGCACTTTGCTGGTGGAATTTATGCCGTGTCAAAATTCCTTTGCCAGAAATGAACATCCCAGAGTGAGTCAAACCACACTTACTAACAGTACATAAAGATTATAATCTTCCAAAGAACTTTACTTACTGGTTCTTCCCAAAAACAAAAGAGGCATAAATTACTCAGAAGGATGGATGAATGCCAGTGAATTATTGTCACCTGACATCTCTTAGCTGTTTATCATGTCAGTCACACATATCAACCTCTCCCAGTTGCCTCAATGCACAACTGCTTTATCTGTACGGTTCCACCAACACAACTGTAATTCAGGTTGCCGCAGATGTCCCAGACTGTTGCGAGAAGCTGGCTTCAAAGTCTGATAGTTGTCTAAATCACTGATGAAACCAAAACAGAGGACCCCCAGTATAGCTGAACTAATGCTTGAGACCCCCTCTAAAAATGCTTATATCTGCCTATCTTAATAATTCAAACACCACCACAGTGGAAACCATGTTGGGACTAACACAAAAGCTAACATCCACGATCTTTCTTGTCTTAATTCTTGGGTGTACAGCCAATCAGTATCAAGCCAAATGAATGGTGCACCTGGATTGGCTGCTTTACATACAGCAACCAAAAAAAAGTGTTAAGTAGCATTATGTCTATGTCAGACCTTCCTAAGGTGCATTTTCTATCAAATTTTTTAGCTATGCTTTAAGAAAAATTCTGTAAAACAGTAAATTTTATGCAAACAATTAGAAGTTACTTTCTACATAAGAGTCAGCAAATACTGAACCACGAATAAGTGGGGGTCCTCTGTCTAGGTTCTGTATGTCTTCACTTAAAAAAAAGAAAAACAAAAAAAAAAACAAGATTTTGTGGGAGTACATCAAAGCAACATCTCAGCTGGGATTTTTAGGCACCAAACAGCACTAAGGGTCAAACTGTAGCTGTGTTTTGAATTTTTTCCAACTAAACAGGGAGGTCTGTTTAAGGACCTGAAATGAATGGACTGTGACACAGGCACTTCAGTAATTCAAGATGTTCATGACAGCCAGATGTATGATTGGACAATATATTGCAAATATAAAGTGGTAGTCATATTACTGTGTACAATAATCGTATTGCAAGCAAGTGTTTAAAGTGCAATATTTGTCAGCTAATACATTTCAAGTGTTATGAATTTGCGTTTTTGAAGTGAATGTAATATTTATCCAGAAGGTCAGAGTTTCGTGGCAGTAGATGCTTACACTGGACATGAATGGAGTTTCTTTAAATGCATATATGAAATAGAATGCATATATAAACATGATTTCTATTCTATTTCTAACAGTAAAAATATTTACTAAATCTAACATAAAATAAAAAAAAATAATTTTGTATCCAATTATTCACCAAAGCAACTGTCCCTAATTTAATATGAACACAATGTAAAAAAATCCTCTTATAAAATAACTTTAGCTGTCAACATAATATTTACATGTTTTTAAATTCCCAACTATTATTTTGATAACTGCATTTTAATGCTCTTCATCTCAGAAAATTGCCATATTTACAGTAAAAGGGAAGATATTTTCTCAGGACAAAACAGTGCATCCTGCTTTATTTATTGAACACCTCTGTGTTGAAAACATGACAATATTAGTTGCAACCAAGCATTCAGCTCCTGATTATGTAGCTCCCTGTTCTTTGTTGATGGTGTAGAAAACAAGGTCAAAAAAACAGTATCCAGTTGTGCTAATCCCAAAGGAGATCATGGATGTTTTTCTATCCTCTTACCAGGATAATCTGCAAAACAGGTTTGTTATCAATAACAAAAACAACAGAGGGGCTTTAGGAAGAGAAGCCTGCCGTGTAAAGACCGAACATCAGTCTTCAGCGCACTGAGGGACGACACCTGTTACTTTCTTATGTGTCATCTTACTGGGCAGCAGCTAGAGGGGCTGGAGCTGCTTTAAAGGCACAACACTGGGCATTGTGCAGGCAGGACAATACACTCATTTCACAGTTTCAATGACCAAACACAAAGACGGTACTCACAGTACACTGAGAATGGATAAACAATGACTGAGTGGAGACAAACCAAGCACTGCTGAAGTGGTCTGCAACAGCTTGGGTCTCTCGCTGCTTAACATGCAAACATCGAATCGGTACTTCAGTTCCTGCAACAGATTTGCAATCAACCCGTTTCTGTGATACACAAAACATTTCTTACCTAAGTAGAAGCGTATAAGGCAGCCAACTTCAGGATTCATCCCCTCCTCCTGCACCCTCCACTGGTCTTCGAACCCCAGATTGGTGAGGTACTCGTTGAGGATCTGCAGAGGCCGTTCATCATCCCCCAGCCGCCGCACGACTCCCCCATGAAGCTGGATGAAGAGGGTCGGGGTTGGACAGGTACAGAGGGGCTCGGGCCAGTCTCCGCCGCTCCCAGGGATCTCCTGGTCAGGCCTGACAGATGGCTGGCTGGTGAGAGGCCGAGTCAGAGAGCTGCTGGAGCATTTGGAGGGAGCTTTGATTAATTCGGGGGTATCTACAGTGTCACTTTTAGTATCATCATCCTTATGGGCTTCTGAGGGCAGCTGGTCTGCTGCAGAATTGTCCGTCGAGTGTGTTGGGGAGGAGGTGAGCTCCAGCTCATCTGAGGAGCTCTCAAATGGGTCAGGTCCCTCTGTAGCACTGTCGCAGCTGGGACTCGGCACTGAGGAATCGACACCCACACCCTCGCTGAAGGAGTCTTGGTGCTCTGTGCTCCTGGGGCCACCTGGACTGAAGTCCTCACAGGTGCTGCTCTCCATATCTGAACCAGAGTATGCCCCAAAACAGTCTACAGCGCTCTGGCTCAAATCAATGCCAATATCATTCAAGCAGATCTCAGATGAAGAGTTACTGTCAGTTTTGTCATCAATAAAAAAATTTGAGGGTATTTTAGAGTCAGGGCAATTTTTTGCGTTTTCGTTCTCCTCCAATTTAGGAGTTTTCACATCCACAGTGTCCATATGTCCATTACTATCTTTACAAAGATCATTTGGGTCAGAAGATACAGCAGCGGGTTTGCAGTTTATTCTCAGGACAGCCCCAGATTTACTTCCCTCCAGCTTAATGGCCACCTCTTTCGCTGTGGTGTCCACGGTGCAGAGCACTGGGCGCGGAATGGAGGGCGTGAGCCAGTCGTGGACGTGGATACAGCCTCGCCGGAGGTCCGATCTCACCCATGACTTGTCAGAGGCCTGGAGCTGCTTCGACTGCTTCTGCCGGAGGAAAGTCTTCCTGTCCAGGCTGAGGGTGCTCAGTGGAGAGGCTGAGGGAGCGGGGTTGGGTGCCTCGACTGAGGACGCTCCAGGCGGAGCCCCCAGAGACAAATTCCTCTTGTGTCGGTGTCGCCGCCTGTTCAGCAGCGAGTTTACCGAAGTGCTGCTGTTCACCGACGTCAAGCTGTACATGTTGGCGGCTTTCACGACGGGAATGTTGCTACCTTTTCCCGTAGCGTTGGCAACTTGGTTCTGGTAGATCCCGTTTCTTATCGCAATCTGGAGAAGGGAGGTGGCTGCAAGTCCCTTCCCATAGAGTTTTGCCTCGGCGCCCCCACCCTCATCCTCCACGATGGAGGGTCTCTTTCCAGGGGGGAGAGAAGATAATCCGCTCGGCTTTACGATGTCCCCGCCATACTCTAGTGTCCCCTGTAGTGCTGGTGAAGCCGAAAGCGTTCCAGAGTCGTTGTCCTTCCCACTTTCCATTCTGTTAGCAAACCACGTCAGTGGCAGAGGAACAGCCCGCAGGTGAATGCTAGGGCGAGTTAGCTTCCAGCAGCTGGCTCGGTCTACTTACTGGCTTTGCGTTAGCTTAGCATGCTAAGGTACTGCGTAGTTGTTCCAGAGAGTTATCCTGCTACATCATCCCATTTCATCAGGCGGCCGTTAGCTCTCCAACCGGAGCTAACGGACTGGAGCGGAGAGGAAAACTGGCCTCTAGCTGTTTGACATTAGAGCTACGGCGACGAAAAGAAGCAGCAGTTACTGATAGAACCCGGGAGATTGACGGTCAGCGGCTGAGCGTGGACAGGGCGGGGTCTCATTGGATATGAATTATGATGCCTTCAAGTACGACCGTAAGGTTCGGGAATTTCACACACATATAGGCACATGACCCCGTACACTGTGGGAAGTACCTCATAGTGTTTATTATAATTTAGTGAAAGTACCAAGATGCCCAACTTGTTAAGAAATTGCGCTTGGCATTCAAACGAAATGTAATTATGAAATATGTCGGCCTCTTATATTTCACAGTATATCATAAAGTCAAAATTATGTTAAAGACTCAAATAATTGTACATCTCTTTATGTTGGAAACATATTATGGTTACTGACAACTGCAGCAACCATATTTTAATTTTTTTTTTTTTTGCATAAAATCATAACACCAACTGTACTGGACTTTCCACTAAATTAATGATTTCTGCAACTGAAATAAAACAGTGATGGTACCATAGCTTGAAGTTACAGAGGTTTGTCAAATAATAATAATAATAATATATAAAGTTATATGAAGAAAAAAGAAATTCGACAGAAACACTATTCAAACTCTTTAATTCACAGTCTCGTTTATTAAGTCTCTTGTCCTTATCTGTAGGAAGTCGCCTTTAAATCATATTTTAACGCCATCTAGTGGAATAAATGTTGATTAATCAGAGATATACTAGCAGTGCTGATAAGTGAAAGAAGTATTGTTTTACTGAAAAATTATCACTGTAATTTTCCTTTTTCCTTTCCTACGTACACTTAATGTAGGTATTGTAACTTATACAATAAAATTGTATACGATTTTATTGTTTGTATTATTGTTTTTAATTTACATATATATTTAACAAAGTTTTAACATTTTGAAGTATTTTTAAACTATGATTATGATTATTATTTTTTGTTGTTGTTGTAACAGTCATTGGAGTTTATAAAACATATAATTGTTATTAAAACATGTTAGTAGCCATTTAATATGACAAACTGGTTTCATTGTGTGATTTCCTGAATCGTTTGCAAATTATTTTGTTTTGAAATTTGTCTGTAAATAAAGTTTGACACACATTCACATAGTCAATGCAATTTTTTTCCAACTATAATTTCCAAAACATCATGACACTGATGATTAAAATATGTTTTCACAAATCATAACACCATAAAAGACATGGTTAGTTTGACAGGTCCTCTTTCACTCTAAGATAATCAAAAGTTGGCTGAGTGTCGTTTTTAAATTTTAATGTCATCATCTGTCACTCCAGACAACACAGAGATAAAACTGTTTAATCAGCCCCTGTTTGTTTTCAGAGAGGGTTGCTGGATTGTTATGGGTGTCCATGCAGACGTGAGTGAACTGCTGTCACATTGCAGTCCAACAGAGGGCAAAGTGCAAGCAGAGCTGTCACAGTATACTTTATCAAGCCCTTTTTCCTCTTCCTTCCTCCTCCCACCTTCTGTCAAGTCTCCACCTCGTCTCTTTTTAAGACCATTCACTCAGACTTTCACTCATCTTGCAGTGCTGTGCTGTGAATATAACACATTGTTTGTTCCAGCAAAGGTAAGCCTTTTTTTGTCGTTTTCTGACAGGTTATAGAAAAGTTTGAACTAGTGTTGACCTGCTCATTGTTCCATGAAGTTTGTCTTTCCCCTCCATGTAAACGGCCACTGAAGGTGAGAGCATGTGATGACTGGCAAATCTCACTGAAGAATGGTTCTACTGTAAATGCAAAGATTTATTCACTGGAACATTAAGGCAGAGAGTATACACAGATGTCTTTGCTGTGGGATTAAGATGCTGTTTAATCTCTGGCTCTGTATTAAAGGACTTGGAAGGAGTGAAATCCCTGCCAGTAGGAGTGCTATAATTCAGCTGATTAACATAACATAACCTTGATGCTAATATAATTTCTAAAATGAATTCTATTTTGAGCTCTTATGAAAACCGGAAGTTAATTTGGAAACCTTTAAAAAGTGCTTGATGAAAGAAAAAGCATTTGAATAAAACAGAATGAGAATTTGCAGTCATGAGATGCTGCTGTTAATTTCATTTCAGTTTTTTTTTTTAAATGTACTTTCAGTTTCAAATGATCTCCTTTTTAGGTAACGATCAAACTCTGCATCCAACAAAGCAATGGTGTTCTCCTATAAGATCATAAGTCAAACATAAAATAAACAAAGGTGGGTGATCCACTTGGGAATTCCATTCTATAAAAATGGGAAATAGAAACTGTAATTATATGTGGCCCACTTAGTACTCAAGGACTTTTCAGGGTAGCATGAGCGTGGTTGAGACATACACTTCTTGTTTTGGTTTCTCAGGCGGAGCACTGACAAATTTAGATGTGCAGCAGTAAAAAATGTTGGAAAAACAGCCCAGAAATACATCATTGCAAAGAAGTCACTCATTAAGATTGTTTGCCCAGCCCTGTTAGTGCTACTGCACTACTGCATCCCTTCTTTCTCTAGAAAGTGGGAAGTAAAGAAACAGGCCAGGACTGAAGAGTCATGTTTTTCACACAAAGAATTCGAATTTAAAGCCACATATTTGAGAGGAGAAGCACTATAAGGGTGGAAATTCCCCCAAATAGTTCAAAACAGAGACTGTTTTGATTATGTTCTTTTAGTCATTTATGAAATCATGTTTCTCTTTTTTGTGTCCTCTTTAAACTACTTAATAGGCTATTTCATATGTATTGGTTTTTGTATTGCTGTTATTTTGTCATAACCATGTTTCTGAATGTGAATTCACTTCATTTGAATTTTTAATCCCCCCTAAATTAGGAGGAATTTCTCAAAAATCTTTCTGAAAATGTGAATTTTGTTTGACATGTTTTATAGACATGACTTGAACATTTTCCCATTGTGCAGTTTTAATTCTTACGATAAAACAGAGCGGGAGGTTATTATTATGTGCAGCTGGTGAAAAGGGCTGCATCACAGTTTACTCTGCTGTGGTCACAAAGCTTGAGTGAACACGAGTTTAATCACGGCTCTTTGTGTTTTTCTTGCAGCCCAGCTCTGTGTCAGTCTCACTCCCAAACCAGAATTTATTTTTTCATCCAAATACTGACATGTAGCCCAGTGGATGGGTTACTCAGGAGTGAGGGAGGAAATTGCACACCTTAGAGTGCCTTTTAATTCGGTTAAAACAATTTGAAAATAATACTTGATATATTAAGAAATAAAAAATTGAAACCAAATTGAAGACCCTTCTGTTAAACATTGTCAGAGTGCATGTGTTGATCATTTCAGAGTGGATTAATAGTCATTTCCACTATATAAAATTTAAATATACAAGCACAGAAACACTAAAATTGTACAGATGAGAATACATCAATTTTGTCATTCTTGATTTCTGATCATATATGTATGTCAGATCAATTTGTCAAAATGTCCTGCTCTCAGATATTACATTTCCGTTTGCCATTTTTCTCAGTTTCAGTTTGAGATCAATTTAAATTATTAGTAAATAGCAGCATTGCTTAGTGATTTTACAGGTTTTCTTCTGTTCTATTCATGTCAAGAACAAAATAGATGAAATTAGCTATAGCAAGATGGAAAAGTAAACGCTGTAAAACAGTTTTCCTAAAAAGGTGAAAAGGACAACTGATTCACTGAGTAGAATTAGACACAAAATCTATGGTTTCTACAGAAATTTTGTTGCTGTTAAAGAAAATAAAGTAGATTTTTTAAGTCCAAATTTATTTTCTTTGTCTGTTAATTGTTTTAAATTTATAAACTGCTGAGTACTAAGTTCATGAACTCTCGTTTGTTTTTTTCCCAAGTCTCAATGTCGGTGAGAGTTTAATGTAAATAAGCATGTGCTTGGTCATGACCCTACTTTGTGAAGCAACATGTTCAAAAAAGGAGTGCATAAAACTGATGAAATCAGAAATTTGTTGAGTGGAATCCCAATGTGGCTCATGTGGTCAATGAACTCGTGACAAAATCTTGATAAATGCTGCGTTCACAGCTTAAAAATCTCACTTCCACAAATTTTTAATAACTTTCTTTTTACATATGTCCTGCATCACTTCCTGAATGTTTTCAGAGGCCAATGTAACTAAAAGCTGTCATGGAAGAACTACGACAAATTGATCTGACATACATCACAGAGTGCATCATCAGCATCATCAGCCCTTCTACATGTCCAGAGGATCTCTACCTGAAGAATCTGAGGAAGATTATCCCTATGCTAGAGTCTAAGCATGGGCACAACTATATGGTGAGAAAATATTGTTTTTAAACAGCTGTTTTTTTCATTATCCTTTTTACTCATGTATAAATCCAAATAACTACTTTGAAGGTCTTTTTAAGGACAATAACCATTAACATTAACCCTGACCACACTAAAAGATTTTTTAAATATTACTTTTTATGAGGAAAAACAATTAATCCACCAATTAATTTCAATTAATTGGGAAAAATCAACAGTTTATAAAAAGACAATTTAATTCCACTGATGGTACAAGGGCATGATTAAAAGAGGATCTGTAGAAATAAGAAATCCTTTAAATATACCTCTTACTTGATTAAACATAAATTAATAGAACTAATAAGTTTAATCCGATTATAATAATTATGTTAATAATTGCCATAGTTAACATAATTTTAATTATATTAATAATTGTCATTGTTAACATAATTTAAATTATGTTATTTAGCATCATAATTAACATAAATGTTTTCCACTTACAGGTACTAAAAACATGACATTTAAAATTAGAATTATTTTTAAAAACCAAAATAGAACTTATTTTTACATCGAACAAATGGCCCTCATCTGAGTGCTTATTCTGAATTATTGAATATGACTGTAATTTCTAAACATTCACTTTTCTGTTCTAATACAGGTCATTAACCTTTCTCAGAAGCACGATGTTCTTACAAAAATCACCCACAAGGTAATTAAACACTCAAATATATTTGGCTTCAAGGTTTCAGTTCTGTGTTTATGTGACGCACCAGTTCGGTTTCCTGTCAGATTTTCAACACAGGCTGGCTGGATCTCTTAGCTCCCAGTTTGGATCAAATCTTTAAAGTGTGCACAGCAATGGAGAACTGGCTCCAAGATTATCCAAAACACGTCCTAGTGTTACACTGTAGGGTAAGCATGGGGGCACTGGCCACTCACAGTAACATTAAGATGTGTTTGAGGTGATCTGTGTGGTACATGGGTGGGCATAATATTTACACTTAAATCTGTGAACATCTTCAACAGGGAGATATGGGAAGGCTTGGAGTTCTCTTGGCATCATACATCCACTTCAGCAACATGTCTGCCAGGTAACAAGTTTAAGAACAAATTTTTCTTAAAGAGTAAAACTGCAGTACATCAACAAATACATTTTGAAGACACTATGAAACAAGCCTGTTCTTCACTCTTTCCATTGAACTAAGCCTGCACCATAACCCTATGTAGACAGAAGATGGATGGGGTTTGGAGGGTCTTGGAGACATTTTTGACATCTAATATGCATTAACGATGGAGTGCACTTTAAGTTACACATAACAAGATTACCCCACCTGTTTGAGAGTTCGTAAATCTTAAATGTTGAGAGCATGTTGGTTCATTGTTATTGTTGGAGCATAAGTGGAGTGCCGTGTAGGAGAGCTTCCTGGCAGCAATGGGAACAAATCAATGAAGTGTTGCCTGCACAGACTGGTTGGCTTTGTTTCCAGAGAATTTCAACCTGGCTACAATGTGATTAAACAACCACTGGCCTTTAGTGACCATGCAGTTTGAAATTTGAAATGTAGAATGGTTGTCAAGGTCTTGAAAAGAAGTCTGGTATTATATTTGGTGATAATAAAAAGGAGGAAAAGTAAAGGCAGTGGTATATGGTGTTTCTGATTCCATGGCTCAGGAGTTGCAGCATGAATAATGCATCTTTAAGCTTCTGGACTTTGGGGTTGTGTGCTCACAGGAATGCAAAACAGGCACATTATAGATGTGTCAACAGAACAGGATTGCTTCTGTTGGTAATTATGGCACTGCAGCAGATGCTTGTCTGAAAACTTCATTGTTTACTAAATTTGCTGTGATCCAGGCACTGATTGAGCTAATAGAGGATTTCAGCACGTCCTTATCTCCTTTCTTTTGATAAACAGGAATTGTCCAACAATATCAAAGCATTTTAACACAACATCATCAAGAAAATAGTAGAAACAACGTAGTGATTGTAGAATGTTAACTTTGTTTTTGTGGAGTAGATATAAGAAGTGTTCTATGAGAACACTTTAGTTCACATGGTTTTTAGTTTTTAACCATTCTGAGAGAAATCCTGTAAAGTAGAGAGCTTCTTTGGATAATTTTAAAGTTGTTATTTTAAAGTTTTGTTTTAAAGAGTTTCCTGTCAAAAAAGATCTAAATAGGCGTTTTCAGCCTGAGGCACTGAATGTTGTTTGATTTAGTGAAATCTTGAAGAGCTTTTCTGGGTGGTTGTTAAGATCAAAGAGCAATTGACACAACAAAACACAGAGGCTAAGCTCTTGACAAGCCAAAGGACAGCTTGTATGATTAAAGAGACTTTAAACTGTGAGTTGTTTGAATTTTAGCCACAGATCTTGTTGTGTATGTAGGCAAGTCATAATAGTGCGAAAAATATAGCTTTTACAGAGCACATCTTCTATTTTTTAACAAGGAAATCATGTTAGGAAAATTAGTTTAGGTTGAGTTGGTCTTCAGATGTCAGAAAAGTTCAACTGGATTCTAAGCAAATTCCTGCTCTCTCCACGTGTGTGCAGACATGCTGACCATGGCTGAACAGTTGGGAAATATCTGATTGTGACCATTGTCCCTGTGTGCACAATCCATGAGCTTGTGATTGCAGGCATCTTAAGACTGTGAAAGACGCCTGGTTTCTTCAGGGAGCAGAGCCTAAAATACATAAATAATTTTGTCAGAAAAAGACAGTCAAGGCAGTAAAGACATTCAGTTACTTTGTGTACAAATCAAATCAGGAAGATCTAAGTAGGCTTTGACAGAAATCTCTTCAGGATACCAAAATGTTTCAAGCCATCTGCAGCTCAGCTAACATCTGCAACTTTATCTGAACATGTGCATTTCTCTCAGTGCAGACCTCTCTCTGGACCACTTTGCCATGAGGAAATTCTACAATGACAAGCTATCTGCTCTGATGACCCCCTCACAGAAACGGTAACAGGCCCCTGGCCAAATAACTCACATTCATCCTTCATCTGTCATAATCTGATTTATCCTTAGATTGTCATTTAGTGGTATTTTTATTGGTACACTTGCCAGATACATAATCTCTGTGTCTTCTCAGGTATGCTTGGATGGTGGGAAGCATACTAAAAGGAGGATTGAGGATGAACCCATCTCCGTCTTTTCTGCTCTGTATAGTTCTTTATGGTCTTCCCAAAACAAGACCAGATGAAGGTAAGCATCAAAAGAAAAATGGCAGCTACACATTTGTAAAGGGGTTTTGCAAATTGGAGTTGACACACTTAGAACAACAGCACATTCAACTCATCTAAAACAGTTCCACAGGGAGTGAGTGGTGGCATGAAGCATTGAGATGGAGTTTCATAAGCTGTACGACGTTCTTTGGAAAAAACTGGTGAAGATTGTGAGACAGAAGACACCTCATAGACAGCTTAAAGAGCACCACCGGCAATTCACTGAGTTTGATGAGAATCTCACTTTGAGAGTGAAACCCGTGTTTTTCCATTTTGTGCTTTTGCTGTTTTCCTGAATTTTTAATAATAAAAGGAGCAAAAAGGAGTGTTGTATTATGGAAAATTTCATGCTGGGTCATATTTGCATGGTGTACTGTACTGTACTGTATCTTCATACAGTTTTGTAAAAAGACTCTTAAAAACTGCCTTTCTGACTAATAATTTGAAGTTATTTTCTATGATCTACTCCTTATCAGTCGCAAGGTAGCCAGATTATATTACTCTGATAAATTCAGTGTTATTTTGGTTTCATCAATGATCCTAATGTCATCCTTGATTTCCAAATGAAATGCAGAAATAAGTCCATATTTTTTATCACAGAGCAATGATCCAACTAATTTTCTTCTTAAGGTGTCTGAAAGTGTAGCCCGTATTCTAGACACAGATGTACAAACGTAGACTTGAATATTATTTAAGTGTTGTACTTGTTTCAGTAACTCAATTCAAGTAAAACACATTACATATTTCAATTGCACACAGGCTGATGTTTTCTAGCCTTCATTTTGTTAGCTAAGATGATTTTTTGCTTACAGCTCATGAAAACTATTGTGTATTCTTTAAATCCCACAGGATGCTGCCTTTTCCTTAGAGTCTACCAAAGTCTGCAAGCAGTTTGCACATCACCAGTGTAGTAAGGCTCATCATTTAGACACTGTAAACACAGTAGATAGAGGACAGCGACTAATATGTGTTTGCCTTCACTTCAGTCACGTTAATGCTGCTCAGACAGATCGGCTGTACATCGTGCTTCAGCCAGCTCAGCTCCTCAAAGGGGACATCATGGTGAGAAAGTCATACTACTTCTCTATGTGTTTGTTTTCCACATAACACATTTCTTTCACCTTCCAGTTTGCAAAGTAACATGGGTGTTTTTTAACTATCAAGTCAATTGCAATAAGACACTTCTACCCATATATATATATATATATATATATATATATATATATATATATATATATATATATATATATATATATATATATATATATATATATAAAAATTCCCTTCTCACCCACCGCGGGTGGTTCTTATCCTCTGAGCTCGGGTCCTCTACCAGAGGCCTGGGAGCTTGAGGGTTCTGCGCAGTATCTTGGCTGTGCCAAGGACTGCACATTTCTGGACTGAGATGTCTGATGTTGTTCCTGGGATCTGTTGTAGCCACTGCTCCAGTTTGGGGGTTACTGCCCCGAAGGCCCCGATGACCACAGGCACCACTGTGGTCTTCACCTTCCAGGCCCTCTCCAGTTCTTCCCTGAGGCCCTGGTATTTCTCCAGTTTCTCGTGCTCCTTTTTCCTGATGTTGCAATCACTTGGTATTGCTACATCTACCACAACGGCTTTCCTCTGTTGTTTATCCACTACGACAATGTCTGGTTGGTTCACCTTTACCATTATATATATATATATATATATATATATATATATATATATATATATATATATATATATATATATATATATATATATATATATATATATATATATATATATATATATATATATATATGGTAATATGGTAAAAAAAAAAGTCCTAAATATTTAACTTGATTTGTTGAGATCTTCTTAACAGAGGGTTATGTTTTTGCATAAAACTTATTATCCATTGTTCAAAGTAGCTACTTTCAAGTCTGAAAAGTCATCAGATTCCCTTCAAACAAATATTGGGATGCAATTGGGGTAAACTGAATTAGATGGAACAGTAAACAAGATGCGTTGTCACCCAACTTTTCCTCATTTTTAGGTGGTGTGTTATGAAAAAAACCTTCAATCAGTGAGTCGCCAAGTTGTTTTCCGCCTCCAGTTTCACATGGGCCTGGTGTTCGGACACTCCCTCTCTTTCTTCAAGGCGGACCTTGACTGTGCTGCTGAAGGTATTTATAACCTGCTTTGTTCCAGCTCTGCTCAGGGGCTCTGTCAGGTTTTAATCTGTAACTGATAAAACTGTTGGCTCTCGGCACACCTGAACTAACACTGGCACCTTGAAGGACAAATGGAAACACGTGCAGCTGTCTCATTTCTGCTCTCGATATTCCAGATTCCCGTTTTCCAGATGATGGAAAAGTGGAGCTGCTGTTCTCAGAGAGCCCTGAAAAGATCACAGGTAGAAAACTACTCTGCAGAACATTCATGTTGTGGGAAGAAAATAAGCTTTTAAAGTGTTTTATCAGAATGCATGACAAGTCAACTCATTCTTTAAATGTATTTCTCTACATTAATATTGGTCTCCAGAGACATAAAAATCAGTTTTGTTTTGTTTTTTTGGTGAGGGGGTTACCGATATTTTTGACTTAGTAGAAGAACATCTTGGAGGATTTACAAACTCTTTCCGAAGTCTTTAGATCCTCCAAGCAAACACTTATTCCGCTGAATGAATGTTATGCCATCCTGAATGCACCACATTCATGATAGTGTTTTGCAAAAAAAAAGAAAAATAAAGTCTGAAACAATGTTCACATTGACTGAACCGCTTCTAGAATTTGATAGCTACATTTTTAAGGTTAAATATGTACACTTTGTTGCATCTCTTTCTGTGCTGGTATCAGTTTCATAATTGATCAATAGTTCAGCAAAAGAATTTGATTGATTTCCTTTTCTAAACAATCTTAACACCCAATTTATTGTCAGAATGTGCAAAGACTAAATTCCACTCGTGAGCAAAGCAAGCACATAAAATGTTCACCACTCTGTGTTCTCAAATAAATAAATCAACTTTAAATAAATCAGTGAAAAATTGTAATGAAGCTCACAACAGACCTCTTAGTATATGAAAGGATCCTACTTTATCAACTGTAATAAAAATGACTAGCTTTTATTGACAGTTGAGTAAAGTCTGTAAACGCAGGGCAGGGCCATATGAGACAGAGAAGCAAAGAGAATACACATAATGTAGTAACTGGCAACAATATTTATGTCAGTGGTGGCTTAAAACAGGGCAGTGAAATTTTAGGAGCAGTTTCTGTTAACAAAAAGGTACAAAAAACTAAGAAGACATGGGAAAGAACAACAAAGAGCACAGGGATGGCTCCAACTCCAATTCCACTCAGGAAAAGACACAACTAAACACAAACTTGGTGGGTCCAGTGTACCTTCTGCAGGAGAAAAAAAAACTGGAGAATGGCAAGTTAATGTCTTACTGCTCCCTCAAGTTATAACAACACAACTATGTTACCTCAAGATAATTCTAGCTAAAAATTGACATACATATGATGTAGTTTCACTTAAAAATAGGCATCACATGAGAAATGAGCTAAAGATTTAAATGAACTATTAGTCTAACATTTTTGACCCCTTATAACACAAGTGTCAAACTCCAGTCCTCAAGGGCCATTGTCCTGCAACTCTGCTGCACCACACCTGAATAGAATAATTAGGTCATTAGCAAGGCTCTGGAGAAAAAGGAGGAGGTCATTAAGGCATTTCATTCCAGTATTTTGTACTTGTGGCACATCTAAAAACTGCAGGACAGCGGCCCTTGAGGACTGGAGTTTGACACCCATGCAAAAGAATTATGTTAATTAATTTTCATTTGTGAAAGAAAACATTTTGCATCCAGAAGGGGGCAGTGTTGGACAGCACGCCAAAAAAAACCTCCCTCGTTGTTCCGTAGGAGCAACGAGGCTCTTCATTTCTCAACAGGAAGCATTGTGAGGGATTTATCGGACACGCATATCAGTGAGTAATTTAAACCGGTAGATACCAACACGGGGAGAAAAACAAAGACAAACAAAATGGGAGGATGTAAAAATGTAACATCTCACGTCTTGATTTTTATGAGGAATCGAACCAGGGGATGAGTTTCATTCCCTAAGTGACTGGTGTTTGTTATTTTTTTCTGTCTAGGTAGAGAACAGTGGTTCAATGGGCGCTGTGTGACAGTGGACTATGACACGATGGACCCATTAGTCAGACGAGATTCTTTCCAGGACTGGCCTCATCATGAAATAAGTAAAGTACCTTTTATTCTTATTTATCCTCCCTGATTTGTCATTTTGTCTGGATTAGGTTGGAAACCTAATACTGTGTTATCTGAGGGGAAAATATGAAAACATGGAAATTACGCTGTTGTGACTTATCAAAAAGAACATAAAACAAACAAACATTATGAAAGTAGAGAAACGTTTCTCCCTATAAAACTAAAATACAACTACTTAGACTGTAGTCAAAGGTATTTCATAAAATGAGACAAATAGAGGAACATGTTTGACAAAATAATCTTTTCAGCTGTGTTTTTTGTTTTCTACATCGTTCTTGATTATTTCTTTAAATATTTATTACTTATAAATATCACAGATTTTTGCATTCAGCTTACATTTGTTAATGTTTTTAGATTTTTTCTAGTTTATATATATTTTTTGCTTTTACTTCTATCTAAATAAGTCTCAAAGAAATACGGGCCAATAATGTTCCAGGAGGAGCTCAAATACATTCAAACTGTAGGAGAATTATTTAAGACATGATGCTTGTTTAATGTGAAGCATGCTTGAGGGACAGAAAGGCAATAAAATTTAGGATTTTATTTATTTTTTAGTCAAAGCTGTTTGTTGCAGTGACAGCAATAAACAGTCAACAGGTCTTTATCTTTATGATGAAGACCTGTTGACTGTTTGCACACAATTCAAGTTCAAGTTTCAACACTTTCACACAATTTCAAAAGAAAGAATCAAATTTTCAGCTTTCTTTGGATTGCGTTGCTGTGGTTTCTTTCTTGGCCACCTACAAAATATCTCATAATTGTAGAAGATTAGTGATAAAGACTTTCCACTTAAGGTTTCTGGAAATTCTCGTGAAAGCAATCAAGACAGCGAACAGACTGGAAGCTGCAAATTTTTTCCCCGAGAATTTTCCAGTTCCTCGGAATAAAAACACCAACACAAAATCACAAAATCCCACAGCAGACAGCTGAAACAATGGCTTTAAGCTGTGGCTGAGGTTTTAGCTCCAGCTGTTTTATGCCATGGCTAAATCTGCCCCTTCCAGCCATGTAATTTAGATTTAAAGACATGTGGAAAAGCGGCACGTAAACACGGAAAACACACACAGGACTGCAAACAAGAATGTGGAACTCAGCTGCTCCTGCGACTGTTGTTTTGGAGCTCAGGTAGTTCTACTTGAACGTCTAACATTTCTCTCCTGTGCTGCTTCTGTCACTCCATCCCTCATCTGCCTTCCCTTTCTATATGCACTGCTCTCAGGTTCAAGTTGCAGGTTGCAATTTGTCCAGTAAATTCCCTTCCCCCTGCTCCCCCAGAGTCCGCCTCCATGTTTACATTCTCCTCACCAAATTTGGGCAGCTCAAGGTCCTTGTGGAGGTTTTTTTTCCTTGAAAGTGCATTATGTGTATAGCACACACTTCCACCTGTGTGTTTGTGTGTGTATCTGAGGGTAGTGAATGATCCGCCCTTTAGTTTCCTTCCTTTCCTGAGATGAAAACGCATGAGTGCACCCTCAGCTACCTGTGTCGGCTGGGACAGGATGCAGGGGGGTAGGGGAGAGGGCCAGAAACAGAAAAAAAAAAACTAAAGGGTTGAAGGCGGGGATTTGAAGTGCAGCAACATGAGAGAGGGAAAGGAGAGAGTAGAGGAGGGGGCACACCAGAGAGCTGTTAGCACCTTAGGAGAAAGAATGTACTTCACATGTCTTCCTGCTGCTGACTAGATGAAAAAACAGGAGCAGAATCAGGAGCTGCTCTGAAACTTTTCAGTCTGCTTTCACTGTCATCCTTCTCTTTCCTTTTCTGTCTGTCATTCGTTTTGCTTCCTCCTTCTCTGAGTCCGGAGGGAGGCTTCGGCAAAGTATTTTCATCCTGTTTCCAGTTAGCAGAGCGGACAGTGAAAGTTTCCTGCTGGCTGTGGGTAAAGTAAGCTTTCTTACATTTATTTCTGTTGGGCTGATTGAAGCTTTTGGATCTCTGTTTACCGGTTTATCAGTTTGTGAGCATCAGTGTATAAAAAACCTCTTAGAATCACTGGGAAGTTTTTTACCATGGATCTTTGGCATTTCAGTTTTATTGCCTCTCTTACACTCAAGAGGCTGTACTCATACAGCTGTGCCATTCACTGTGTGTTATGCAGTAGTTATTGTATATTATTTTATACTTTATTAAAATTAAACAAGCTTAACATGGCACAGATTTGACATTGAAGTGGCTTATTTATGCCCAAATCTATATAATTTAGGAGGTCAACCACAAATTAGAAAACACTAAACAAGCTTATATGCTTAAAGCTTCATATATATAAATGAGAACATCAATACCTTAATAGTAATTTAGTTAAAGAAGTGACACTCTTGTATTTTACTGATTGTTTATACAGAGAGTGACATATTGCAAGCATTTATTTGTGATAATTTGAATGATCATGGCTTACAATTAATGAAAATCCAAAATTTTCATTAATTGCAAATAATGAAAAATTGAATATTCCTCCAGATTAATACATATAATTCTTCATTATGTAATTGGCCATCATGGCAAAGCTGCTGTAGAAAGTCACCCTTACCAAGGAGGGAAAAAGATAGGTCATTGCTAAAGAAACTGGCTGTTTATGCATGTAAAAAGCATTAAAAGAAAGTTAAGTGGGAGGAAAACATGTAGCAGAAAAAGGTTCACAAGCAGCAAGGGTAGCCTCAATACCAATATATGGAGTGCTTTTCAGTGATTCAAGAGTTCCCAGACACAAACAAATTGAGGACAGGAGCTCCAAATGTTGCATTGTGTGACTAACCCACACAATGCAACAAGGAAAGGAAAACAAGGAAAAATATCAGCGGTTACTTCATTTGAAAGAAAAAAGGTTCCAAAGTCTTCTATTCAACTAAAAGTAAATTGTGCATTATATTTGAAACAAATGTCCCAGAGTCTGAAGGAAGAGTGGAGGGCAACTAAAACACTTCATGTTTCCTTCTGCTGACAAGTTTTATGGAGATGCTGGCTTGATTTTTCAGTGAGACCAAGACTCATTTGGTCCTACTTACTAGAAGAGCTGTTAATCAGATCTCTTCTTATTCAAACTATATGTGAGTCAGTTGTCTGACCCCAGGTAGATGACTGTGATGGACATGTCCTTTTTCTCGTGACATGCAGACTCATGCATGGTACCGTCAGCCTACACAAAAAGGTTATTGTGTTTTCTACACCAAGTGTGTCTGAAGTCATGATTCATGGGCTGTGGTGATGCAGGTGCACACTCCATTTCATACAATCAGACAAGTTTTGACTGTAAATTGGAGTTTTCCAGTGGAATGTAAGTGATTCAGAGACAAATCGCAGGAGCCAGTAAACAACAATCAGAAAACATAATTACAGCAAATTGCTAGTGTGTCATTTTTTTCTCTCTTGTTTAAATGTATTTATTTACCATTAAGATTATTATCATGAGAAACACTTTACAATCGAGCCTGGGAAAAAAAAGAAGAACAAATTACTTAGTAAGCAATAATTTTAGAAAGAACAACAGTGAAACATTAACCCAAAGGGAGAGCTGTCAGTGGAAACAATCAAAGAGATTATGAAAATCATCTTGAAGGTACATCAACAAAGAGTATTTAAAAAAAAAAACATTGGCTATGTCCCATCAGCTCAAAGCAAATACAAACAAAATGTTCCAGAAAAATCTACACAGATCTGAGAATTCAAAAGAAATAGCAAGATAACTCATAGTAATTTCTTCATTTTATCTTCATCATCATCAAAACATCAAAACATAAGTAATGTTTAACCAGCAGATCCAGTCATCTCCTATGATCAGCATCACTTCCTCTAGTCACAACATCCTCTTGTCTCCTTCAGTTACAAACCTCAGAGTTAAAATGAACTCCCGCCTCACCTCCGAATGTCATGTAGAGCAACTCTGAAAGATCTACTTCCATTAACTTAACACTACCAAACTTTGCTCCTCTCTCACTCTACCAGATTCAGGAAAATGGGTGTGTTCCATTGCCTGCTCCAGGCTGGATTGATGTGGAGCTTAGAGCTTGGGATATCTTGCAGGAGTCCTCAGAGGCTCCAGCTAGGATCCCGATGAGAACGCAGAAATACGAACACATTACACCTATTCTTCACCCGTTTCACTAGCTTCCCATCCCACAATGCAGTGGGGTAACTTACAAAATCCCCCTCCTTATCCATCAACACATGAATAGAAATTGACATTCTTAATTCAAAGAACTTCTCACCCCTTCAAAACATGCTTAATATTTCACCAAATCTCTTCCAAAAGCGGTAGTTCTCTATTTTTTTTAAACCAGGTTTAAACTGATGAAAGTGATTTCTGTCTCCTTTCAGGCCCTCCTGATGTGTCTGAATCTGGAAATAGAGATTTGTACTCCAAAGTGAAGAAGAGCACCGAGGAAGGAGCTCTGTATCCTCTGCCGTCTATCAGCCCGAGCTGCAGCGACAGAGCGCCATCAGCCAGCAGTGACTCTGGCCTCTCCGTTGCCTCACAGGGCCGGACTGGAGTCGGACCCAGAAGAGGAACCACGCAGGACATTTGTAGCCAGGTTGAGAAGCTGATTTTTGGGGCTGAGTCAGAACCAATCCAGGCTCTTCTGGAGGTCATGACTGAACTGGGTTCCTCTGGTGCTGGAGATGGAAAGGTGACTGGAGATGAGTCCAGACTGGGAGCCACCATCAATGGCGATGTTTCATCAAGCGAAAGGGAGACGGATATTCTTGATGATGAGGACGAAGGTTCTCCTTCACAGGCTCCAGACTCGAGCAGTGGTTTCTCACTTCCTTCTGAAAATGTACCTGCAACTCAGAGACAAGCCCAAACAGAGTACTCCACTCACTCCTGGGTTCGACAGCAACAAATGGTGGATCCCATCCCGGACCAGGGAACCAGCAAGTCGAATAAAGAGAGACCAGCACCTCTGGAGCTTCCTGAAACACCGACACGAGGATTAAGCAGCAGGGAAGCAGTGAAGAGAGGCCTCTTAGACCAGGACAACAGACAGCCTGAGAATACTACTTCATCCTGTCAGGAAGATGAGCTGGCCTCCTTATCTACAGACATCGACGAGTCCATTGAGCAGCTAAACAAGCTGATTTTGGACTTAGACCCCACTTTTGTTCCGGTTCCCACTCGATGCTCTCCTCTGTCCCGCTCGGCCTCTCTGCACACCAACGGCCTTAGCCACAAAGGACAAACCCATCAGTCAGGTAATGTTAAACAAAATGCTAGATGTGAAATGTATCAGAGCTGTTAGAAAACATTTGTCCCCCCAAAACCCACGCGAAATCACAGAAGCGTCATTTTATAGTTTTGCAGAAGGGTTGTCTGCCAGTTAGGGCTGAAAAACATATCGCGATAAACTTTTTACCCCAGTCAAAATTGATAATTACCTCTAGTTTTTTCGATTTACGTATCTCAAATATCGCCGAATCGGTGGTGTGTGACATTTCCTCTTGTCATTGTTTATCTTAAAGCAGTTTTGAGGCAAACAGTGATGATAACTGCTGTTACTCAAGTTTCTCAAAAGGTCATTGCGAGGTAACCAAAGAGTGAGTGAGCTAGTTGATGCCATCAACCTTTCTTCGCTGGCAGTGAGAACAGCTAATGCCTTTCCTCTGTCTTCATCTCTGGAAAGGTTCTTAATTGGAGTTCAATTAATATTTTTTATATTGAAAATTTAATTTTATATCAGATGTATCATTTATTCATACTGATTGTGTGTCTGTCACATTCAATATACATTGTTATTGATTTATTGTCCAGCCCAACTGCTAATGAAACATAAAGAACATCTTTTACTGAAAAGTTTCTTGTTCTATTGTGTTTGGACCTGCAGCTTACAATTTCCATGTCCAAAATTCAGAAAAGCCCAAAGAAAGCAAGCAAGCTATGCATAAACAATAATGTAGAAAACACACTAGTACTGATAAAAGAAATAAACATAAGTCACTGACTTGAAATTAATTCATACCATGATTATTTATGTGTTTATTTGCTCAGAGAGTTGGAGGAAGTGACAAAAAATGTTTCAGAAGCCATGCTCTGTATTAACAAAAAAAAAAAAAAAAAAAAAAAAAAAGTCAGTTTTAAAAAAAGGAGCTGCATGAGCATTTAAATTTCTGCCCCAGTTCTGGCCACTTCTGCTATGCCAGTGTGCTCAGGTATCTGCATCCCTTTTCTTTCAAAATTATGTCATTATAATTCTTTATATCATAATACTTTATATTATAATGACATATACTACAGGGAGTGCAGCAGTTGCAATTGTAGCTGAAAATCTCACAATTTTAGAATATTTTTTAATTACGAATGGTTAACATTATTCAGAGTACACTGATTCCCTTGCTTTTCAGTCTTAAGAGTTGTAGCCCTACTACTTTTTATTTATTTATTTTTTTATCTTGCTGTGAGTGTGAATCTAAATATGAAGTTATTCACATTTTGAGAAAGATCAAGTTTTGTCATGTCTATAAAGTATGTCTGTTGCTTTTGCTATACCACTCTTGTACAATGTGTCACATTATGTTTTTCTCAGTATATGGTACATAACAAAATGTCAGCATAATTTTTTTTAAATTATACATTTTTAAACTACGTCTTGTGATCATCTTCACATTGTTAAATTATAATTTAGATAATAATAGTAATTGAATCACTGACTTTATTCTGATAGTTGAGGCTCCAAAACACTTTTGGTGTGGCAAAAAAAAGTATATTTTGAAATCAAATTATTTAGTTTTGAAGACAATGGAAACACAAACTTTATTAGCGTGATACATTTTTAAGCTTAATGTGTTGCCTAGGTTTAAGATATATTTTCCCTTTAAATGTTTAGAAGGCCAAACAGAAACTCTTCTTACGATGAGAAGCTTTAAAGATTTTTATGCATTTCAATGTTTGCTTGTCTGTCGGAAATATAAATCGTATCACTTGTATCAGTCCTTGATGGTTCTCTATTTTCTTTAGAGCCCAAACTTGAGCTGACAATTGCACAAAAACATGGCAAGTGTGTCAAGATTTGCTATGCAGACAATGAAACTATTGAAAAAAACATAAATTACTTAAAAAAAAAAGCCTAACTGCGACAATTCTGCTTGTAAAAATAAGGCTCCACTTACTCCTATTTAAAATAAATATCACATCAAGTTCAGACTGAGAAAATTGTGGTAAGACAAGTACAATTTATTACTGTTAACTGTAGTTTAACACTGCACAGACGTCCAGTCCCAGATATTATCTGGAGTATTTCTTAAAAGAATTGGCCATTATACTGAAAACACTTATGCTGCCTCACTTTCTAAAATGCACAATTTCCAGCATGTTCAGGTGAGGTGAATGAAGATAAGACTGAATTTCATGTTTTCATTTTGCTGATCCAAACTATTTGTTTTTTCTCTCTGAGCTTCAGGGAGCCGGTGTAAGACTTTAGAACTGGGGAGATGTACTCTATCTTCCTGTTTTTTTTTTTTTTAGGTACAAATCACCACCAAGTGGTGGAAATCTACACTTACGACAGAAGTATGAATGTTTGCTGTAGGACAGAGGTTTGTAAATGTGGGTTCTTGCTGAAGTTTGGAAGAGTTTAGTCAAACAGGTAGTGAAGGATTCTATTGTGAACCCAGTGATAACCAAGACCTCTCTTGGTTATCAGAGTTTCTTTTATGAGATGTGTCTGCATGTGACACACAATGATGTGTTTACTCTACTGTTTGCTTTGTTATCACTGGAAATATACAGACCCTGAGGTTACATTATGCAACCACACATAACGTGAAGTGGGTAAAGTGACTAAGAAAGATACAATGATTATGGGTACAAATCACAGATGAAGGTAGATTAGCCCTAACCTGAAGTTTTGTGTGTTCACACCAAGAGATGAGAGGGATTTCTGTGATGCAGGGCAGAAAAAAAATAAAAAAATAGAAAACACTACCTGAGAACTAAGCTAAACTTAAAAATCTAAAAACACAAAGCACTAAATGTTTATTTTGAATATTTTCTTGATCTCATTTATTGTTCCTTAATAAGGGGAAGAAATAACAAGTGTTTATGATTCCTGCTGCTGTGACATATGTATACATAACCTCTGACAACATTTTGGCGTCATGACGGTTTACGTAGAAGGAATGAGCAATATCTCATGGAGAATTGGCTTCTTAAAGGATTATCTCATGTCAGAGTGGAACAGTTTAAACTGAGCATTGGTGTAGGAATATGACTGACACTCGGAAACCATTTATACATTGAATGCTGAAGCCTTCCTCTGCTTCTGTAATGCTTTTAATAGGCCCCCATGTGGGCCTATTTACAAAATACTGATTTAACATACTTGGTGATTTTGCAAGGCAGTCCAAAATGTGATTGGATGTGGACAAAGATTGAAATTCAAGCAAATTGACGAGCCACCATTTAGTTCCAATTAACTCTGCATGGCAATGCAGTGTGTGTGGAAAGCTTTAATTTATTTTTTGTAAATTAATTCAGGAAAAAACATTAATATTTCAGAAATGCTAAAAACAATGCAATGCATGAATTTGTAATTTTATCCTTGAACCTCAAAGTTCAAGAACTGCTAGCCTACTGTAACAGACTTAAAAACAGAAAACAGAAATCTTTTTCAAATAGTTATTGCTCAAAAATGAATTTAATATTTTGTACTAGCAAAGAAGCAAAGATATAATGCAGTCTCAAAGTACTGCATTTCAGAAATCAAGAGAAAGTCAACCAGTCATTGATGATACTTTTTTGGAAACTCCTTTTATTCTCCATATTGTCTCTCCTTGCTTGGTTCCTCACAACCTGATGGCACATGCTGTATTGTGATTTTATTGCATCATATCCACTGGGACGATGCCTGCAAGAACAGTAATTCTTATTCTGTGACCTCTGTCACTTATTTAATTTATGGTGTCAAATGAGGATTATCTCCACTTTGATGCCATCTGCTTGAGAAACAGTCCAAACTGAGCTCAAAGCAGTGATAATTTGGCTTATCTGGAACATATCAGAACAGGAATGTCCTTTGCAGGAACTCAGACAACTCTTGTTAGTGTCTTTGCTTCAACATTCTACCTCTCATCCTTTACTTATTAGTTTTGGCTGCAACCTAGAATTTATGTTCCGGAAACATGGTCTGAGTGTTTGTACATCAGCAGATTGATGTGTCAAAGCATTGGAAGCTGATATTTCCTCTCAGGCGCATTTTAAGCTATAACTATCACTTGTCTTGGTTCATTATTATAGTGAGTGTTTTCAGGGGACGGTTTGAAGGAGGAACTTGTAAACATTCAGGAATGCTTTTGAAGTTTTGACATAATGACTTCACCCTCTCATCTTCCTGAAAAGACTACAGTCCTGTAACAAATGTGGTGGACATTAGGTGATACTTGAGACTTCCATGGAAGCTTTTTTGGCAGGCCCGCTGCAGGGACAGTAGCTGAGTTAGTTGCAGTGGCTCATTCCAGCGTTTTTTTTATGAGACGTTTTGGGTGGCTAAAATTGAGACCTTAACATTTTAGCCTATTCCTAGGTTTTGATCCTCTAAATACCAACAGCAGAGACTTTAAAGCCAAGCATAACAGGTTGAAGTGTCTGAAAATCAGTGGTCCAATGAAATGACAAACCCAAAAGCACTTTTTATCCACAAATGAATACTTTTTAGAAATCCTGTGAGCACTGCTTGTACTTCTCTCCCTTCTCTCCCTTTCTCTTGATCGCTAGATTTAGTGTCAGTATTTTGATAGTGTCACTGATGCTTTTATTATTTGAACTGAAGAATGACAAAGATTCAGAATTTCTTCTGTGTTAATGAAATCAGCATATTTAGAATTTGGTTTCTCAAAATAATGTATTTCAGCTCGGAAGCATGCATATTTAGAACAGACGTCAAAATAAGTGATTGTTAAAGCAGATGTTTTTCAGACGAGACACAGCGATGTTCCACCATCTGTTTATGGTGCAGGCTCTCTTAGTCACACTAGCTGTACCTCCACTGTTAAAACACATGGAGAGAAGCCTTTGTTGAAAGCAAACAAGGCAAACACTGATTACTGTCATCGCCCTTTATTGGCAAGTCGGCATGTGTTTACAACAAAGTGTCAATTTAGTTTAATGTCATGCTTTTTTAAAAACATAACCAGACTGTTTGTGTGTGTAAATGTGTGTAGCAACAGAACACATGACTGAGTTTCATTCTCAAACGGATTGCGTGTCAGATTATAATCTGTTTTACTGTCTGGCTCCCTTCCTCCTCTGCCTCTTTATTCTCCTGATCAGGGTGGAAACAGCAGAAACATGTCAGCGACGTGGTGGACTATAGTGGCCCTCAGAGTCCAGGATGGAAAAGAGGTGGAGCTCAGAGCTTTAAAAGCTCCCCAGCCAACAGCCCCTCCTTCTCAAGTTCCCAGGTAAACTCAGTTTCACCTCATCTGACATCCTGGCAGTTAGAAAGAAAGGAAGGATTATTAAATCATTTTGGATTTAGAGCTTTTGTGTTGCGTTGAATAAACAATAACGTGTTTGCTGACATTTTAGATGTCTTTTTGCTACCATTACATATACAAAGGTATACAAATTATTTTATCAGGTAACATTTGGGGCTCATGAATAAATTAGATAATATTTTAAAAGCATCTGAAAGGAATGTTGGGTGCAAAGAGCATAAACCTAAAACATGTTTGTAACAACAAAACCCCAGACAGCTTCAAAATGTTGAAGAAAAATCAAGAATTTTATAAAGAGATCTCCACCTGCTTTAGGCATTTCAGAATATATAGAATTTTCTGAGAATAGGTCCAAATTCTCAGCACTATAATGTTTTAGCTTCTTCATAATCACTTATAGCATGACAAAATGCTCCATCTGGCCAGAAAATAAATCATCACCCCAATTTTTCCTGGATCGTTGGATAAAGTTGCCGCTGTAGAATGTTTTGATCCCAGCCTTTAATCATTTCAGTGCTCTTGGGTCTGTATTGTAGGAGAAGCATCCCGACACCTGGATTGTATCAGGATGCTTAACTGTTGGTGCCACACAAAACTCAGGGAGCTCTTACCTTTTCTTCTCAATATGTTAGGAACATATGAACTTCTTGTTGAGTTTTGATATGTCCTTCAGTTTTTCACTTATTGGACTAAATTGACCCTGTTACTTTCCTTTGTGTCCAGTTGTCTTTACTTGATTGCACACACATTTGCTCTCACACCCACCTGGTTCCAGTGATGAGCAAGCTTGTGACAGTCTGATCTTAGTTTTACTGTTTTTCAAGGAGGAGACAGTTATGCAGCTTGCTGAACTCTCAGGGATGTCTTGATTGTTTCCACCTTGATAAGCCAGCAAAACTTCAGAAGTAAAAATATTAGCAATTGTTTTTAGGACGTGGGCCTATTTTGATGCAAAGTATTGATGACTTCATGCTCTTTCTTTAAAAACTGATTGGCACAACAAGAAAATGACTTAAAGAGCTCCTGTCATTCTTTTATTATTAGATAAATAAAGAGAATTCTGATTGAAATAAAGTCAGTCGATCATTTTGGGAAAATACAATGGAAAATTAGTTTTTGTTAAAAATGTTTTTAAGTTATTAAGAACTTGAATAAATGTGAAGCAGATTCATTGGAGAGCAGTTTTAAAACTACCTTAACAGTCATCATAGAAACATAAAGAAACAAAACATTGATGCACTTCCAAAACATTTAAATGTCACTCCATGTTTGCCTTTTTTGTTTTGGAAAATCTGGACTTCTCTTTTCTTTTACCCAGCCTTTTGCCTGTGTTGCATGAATGCCCTGAGTGTTTACACCAAAACACACGCTGCAGCCACACACAGATCACAAGACTGATGTCTGCTGCTGTGTGTTTATATGTGTGTGTGAGGGGGGGAGGTTGTCATCTCTTAGCACTTCATAAAAAAACATTTCCAATGTTCTCTTGGTTTTCTCCTCACCTCATTCTCCTTGCTGGTCTTTTTAAAGCATGGTCATCTCTACAAAACTAACAGTGTGGACTATCGCGGACAAATGAACAACTCTGACTTCATCCCAACAACTCCAGCATTCCCAGTGTCTCCCCAACGCCCTATGGTAAGAAATGATGTCAAAAAATTGAGCCGCTGTGGGTGTGTCTGCATTTGGAAATCTTATCAGTTTTTTTTCCCCTTTTCTTTCCAGTGAAGCATTTCTCTGAGTTTTCCCAGTTCAGTGCTGGCAGACAGTGGGACCAACACAGCTGGACACAAGGTAGTTTCCCCCCACCCCCCTAAAGTGAATACTTAGCAAGATGCAGCCCTCTGCAAAGAAATACCCATATCCCCTGAACTTTTTCAATTTGTTGCAGATTTGATACCTCAAATTTGCATGTCTATGTGCCTTTGGCTTTTTATGTAAAGTTGCCTACCAATCTGCTTCCATGCATGGAAAAGACTCTGCAGTAAATATGACAAAATTATCCCCAATTAACATAAGTTGTCATCAAACTGAAAACGTAACTTGTCACCTATGTAACGCCACTCACCATCACACAAGAAGAAAACAAATACATTTTTACAAAGGAAAGAGTAAAATTTGTAACGCACAATGACTTGGATGCATTATTTTAATCTGATTACTGGTTTGGAAATAGTAACCCATTAAATAGAAAGTGGTCAAATTAGAGTAACGCTTTACTGTCATAATTGTTGTGTCCCTTTCATGTAATGTGACTCTTTAAACGTGGGATATCAACAATGTGTTTCTTCTTCTAAAGATCACATTTATATTGTCTGATAAGTAGCTGACATCACATGCAAACCGATTCTCCCACCTGAGCTGTGGACCTCTGCAGATACCCCAAAGTTCACATGATGCTGTTTACAAATGTTTTCTCTCAAGCCACTAAAGCCAACTCAAAAGAGGAGGAGATTGATAGCAGAGAGGTGACACTGTGAAGCCAAGCAAATCAAATTTTATTATTTTATTTTGAACCTCTCCGAAATGTTCAAAGCCTTTTTTCCCATCTGATAATGATGCGCCATTTTGTCTTGGTCTATCACATTAAAACCAAATAAAATACATTATAGCTTGTTCATTAATGGGACAAAAAAAGAAAAATGTTCATGAATACTTCTGTAAAGCACCGTGTATGAGGGTGTGTGTCTGATTAAGAGTTAAGCTCTTGATTTCAGATGAACAAGGATCAGGAGAGAGTTGGAATGTCCTTTTGGCTTAATGCACTAAAAACACACACCTTGTCTGGAGTTTGTTTTTGTTGACTGGACATGTGAATATGACTTTTTGTCTTTGGCGATTCAGAGGCAGACTTATTTCTAATCAATTAATATTAGACATTTCAATAATTTCAGAGATGGGATCGGATTGCCCGCTAAGGCCCTGTGGAATAAGCTGAGGCTGGATTCCTGCTAATAATAGCTAACAGAGGAAAGGAGTTCTGCTGACAGGATGTCCACTCGTGTCCTGTTCAGGGAGGTTACAGGAGAAGAGGGGAGGTTCTGTTGTTGTTTGAACATCCTGCCTGAGAAGATATTCAGCTCACAGCTGCAGCAGGAATTTACTGTAGTGTCAAAAACATGATTGTCTTTCAGAGGTTGGAGCTTATATCTGAGTTGAGACACTGTTCACTGTTGTTCTGCACTAAAGTTAGGTTGAATGTTTTGCTGATATTAATGGTCATGCTATTCCTAGTGCCCTTTTCTATGTGTTTTGTACAGTTTGGCCCCTTAAAGGGCAGTACTGCTTTGTTGTAAACATGTTCAGCAGAGCAGAGGGCGATCGGATGGAGGGAGAGTTGATGAAAGACAGAACAGTAAAGCACCTGATTTTCTCCCCCTGTGAAACTGAAAAGGGCACAAAATGTCTTTTGGTGGTTGACATTTTGTGACTCAGACAACAGTTTCCTGTTTCCCACATTAAATGCAAACAGCTGTCTGGGAAATAATTTGCTGTGCCTTGCCAGGAGCAGTAAGATTATCCATTTAAATAATTCTCATTTTATTTTAAGTCATTGTAAATTGTGCTCATGTCTATGAGCTAAAGACAAAGAGCTATTTTATTTCAGCGTACAGTTAACTTTTTTTTTGAGTTTTGCTCAATCCAAGCCAAACTCTGAAAAACACTATTTTTGATCAAAGGTTAAAGCTACATTTCAGTTGTATAAGCCAAAAACTGCAATAACTATTAATGCAACTAATGGTACTATTAAATGCATTAGTTTCTTTTTCGCTGACATATAGAGATGAGCAGATTAGTGTAATGTTTTGCATTTTTGGTAATAGTTACAGGGCAGTTCAGTCAGTCAGGTCTGAATTTCACATGATTTAAAATGTTTAAACATTTTCAGTCCTATTATATAGATTACTGTTAGGAATGTGCATTTCAACAAAATGCAACCATATGATATGAATGAAACCTATATCAATTTCAGAAGCTGACAGAGGTCCCTGTTTTAGTTAAAGCCATCTTCATTACAAACTAGATTTTTTCATAGCTTTACAGTATCATTTTTTAAAACAGATAGTGATGCCATTAAAGGCAAATGTTGCAGACAGTTTGGTTAGCACATTTTTTTTCTTTCTTTTGTTTGCAATATTTTGTTTTGCATTTTTGCTTGTAGTGAGAAGGTTGTTTTGTGAGGTAAGGTTAAAGTGGAAAAATTAATGTTAAATATAATTTATATTATATCTATTGCCTCTAAATGTTAACCTTCATAAGCAGTTGTTGCTTTGTAGCAAGACTCTGGATCTGAATCCTGGAGTCTTTCTGAATGAAGTTTGCATGTTCTCCCTGTGCAGATGCGGGTTTCTCTGGGTACTACAGTCTTAAAGCATGACTATCAGATCAACTGGTCTCTCTAATTGTCCTTAGTCATAAAGTGTTTGTGCATGGTTGGTTGTCCTGTGTGTTTCTGTGTTGTTGTATAATGGATTGACGACCTGTTCAGGGTGAACCTCGCCTCTCACCCAATGACCGCTGGAGATATAAACATTTATAGCAGACACTTTCACAATACCATCAAATGTGAATCAAACCAAAACCCTGCTTCACTTGTGTACTTCCCTGTGTACATGACAGCAAAAATGCAACTCTGAACCGTCACATAACTCAATTTCCATTGTGTACTTGTGGTCACATCAAAATAAAGAGTGATATGCAGAAGTGGTCAGCCAGAGGAAGAAGAGTGCAGTGGGAGGAATGAGGTCTAGCAAAAAGCAGATGGCTCTCTCAGGCAAATACTTGACTGTCTGAACTTAACTGGTCAAAGGTCAGGTGAAAGTCTCAGCAGACTTCTTCAGATGGTTTGAATTGTTGTCTGTAATGAATGAGAGGTAGCTCAAGGGCTCTAAAAGCTTCAAGTGCCAATCTGTAGGGATGTTTTATGTTGCAATAATTGTGCCACCCGTGTGAGATCCATATGTCAATCAAAGAAGCTTTTTCCTGAGGTTAAAAAGGCATAATACAACAAATAATAAATAATAATGTTAACCCAATAAATTGTAATGTTAACCCAGAAAATACTTTGCTCCCAAGTTATCTTTTAAACAGCTATGATGAATTAGTAGCTGGAGGTAAAAGATTGTGCTTTCTTCTCATGAGGATAATAGGATTCTTTTCACTTGGAAGGCAAAACTGGGAAGGAAACATTGCAGTCTGTTTTTCTGTATTTTCTACCGTCAACCATATGTAAATGAAGTATAACATACAATATATAACAGTAAAACACTTTAAAATCATGCAATTGCTGCTAGTTCATTACTGTTTTACTATAACATCATGACAACAGAAGGAGTTCTAAAGATGACCTAAATGTCCTGAATTTAAAGGCTTTCTAAAGTTAAAAAAAATATATTATTTTTTATTATGTGTCCATATTATTTGTTCATCCAATAGCTTCCTTTGATTTAATGATTGAGACTTAAGGAAAGCTGCTCTTGAAGTTTTAAGATCTTTCAGTTGCACTTTGTGTTTGTTTACAGATATTATAGACAGCTGAGATATAAGGTCACTTCAGTAGACAGGCCATTCATCCAGTATAGTTCACCTCTTTTTGGTTAGAGTGTTAAAAAACCCAAACATATCAAAGATGTCCAACTATATTCTTCAGTTGAATCCAGGGAATTTCCATGACAAAAGGGTTATTTAATCTCTCCAGCATTCACTTTGTCTGTCTTAGGGTCTTCTTTAAGTGGGGCATGCCTGGAAAGCTTTATACCATGTCCTTAAGGGTCCCATGATACTTGGATACATCATCTCTTCTAGTGGAAACAAAGGCTGAATGACAGATTTCCAGCAAAGATGGAGGATTAAAAATGCTAATTCTGAGTCATAATCTGGTTGAGTAGAGAATAGGAAAAGTGGTAGGGCAATCTTAATACATCAAGAATCTTCTCTGAATTGTTATGGGAAAATTAATTAATCATCAATAAAATCATTCCAAAACCTGTCCTCTTACAGCTAATCATTTTGCTCCAAAGAACCACTTTAAATGTCATTCGAACTTTTTATTTTCTTAATTCCCTGACAGAATTAGGCAGCTGGATTTGAGTGTCATAGGGTAACCAAAACATTAAAGGTGACATCAGGAAACATACTTAGGCTACTACTGCTCTATTTCTCCAACTCCCAATGTGTTTTCCAACTGATTTCAGTTTCTCTCCAGAAATGTAAACATACTGGTATCTGCTTTTATAACTTTAAGAACAGATGCAAAATGTTGACATCCATGTCAGCTCATTTCCTGTGACACCAAGGTTAAAAGGAGGCACATGCTTTCACTAAAAACTAAACTAAACACAACGTAACTCAATTCATCGCCAGCTCCTCTCTAATTTATGACATGCGAAGACAAGACGCATGGCAGGAGTCAGTGTCAAAGTGTCTGCATGCCTTTGTCCTCTGTGTCTGTGGCGAGCAGATGGTGGGAGTGGACACACATGCCTGGACAGAGAGGCCTTTTTGAAGCCCTACAAACCCCACCACCTCCTGTCGCTGTTGCTGCTCCATAAAAGGCCACATGTCACCCCTGACCCTGCTGGAATCCGCTCTGATTGGGGGAAAACTCTCGCAGTGACCCAGCAGGAACAATGCTCAGCGGTCAGTAAAACAGAAAGAGGGATGGAGGAAGAGAGGAGGAGGAAGAAATTCCAAACACCTCCTCCCCGCCTCCCTCTTTCTGACCCTCCCTCCATACAAACCCAGAAGTCGAGTGGCGTCACAACACGGCAAGAACAAATGGGGGGCTTATTTTT